GAGGCGGACCCAATTTACGCCATTCCCCAGTGTTGACATCAAGAATCCGGAAATAGTTGCGATCAAACACCATCCGAATCCCATGGCCGAACATCCAGGCAATATAGTCCACCATGGTCTTCTTACAGACTTACCTGCAGAGCTTTCGTGGTCATATTCGTAATAGAATCTAAGGAATTCTCCGGTCCAAGGATTCAAAACGTTTGACCCAAAATGGTACCGGGAGGCAAACCAAACCGTTACATGTCAACGAAGTTGGTTTGTCATCACCACATTGTAAATAGACCATCTCGATCTCTGCGTCGCCTCCTTTGAATCGTGGCGGCGACTTGGGCCGTTGTTTTCCGACGACAGCCAGGATTTTCAGCTTCTTCTTTGCAAGACTCATACGCCTCTCCGCGAACCTCCTCGACTCCAGAATTGATCTCCATTCTCTTGAGACGGTTTTGAATTCCAGAATTGATTTCAAGGGCAGCCTTAAGAGTATCTCTTCCACCAGATCGATCGCCATCTATGTACATCGGATTAGGTTTTGATGATAACACAGGATGACGTTTGAGATAGATTACAGCTAATATTTTTATTATTTAGCTGTGGTTCTTCTGGACAGGAGAGAGGCCCAAAACCTTCTAAAGTTCTAAATAATCCCAAAAAAAAAATTGCCTAGGGATTAATGTTTTCTTACTTTGGTCCTAGTTCTCTAGCCGTAATAAAAGATTTTTAGAGTCCAAGGCTCTTCAATTAATTCAATGGAATATTCTGTGTTTTTACAACTGATGAGATCGATCTCTTCTCTTTATTATATAAGTAAAGCTAAACATATTCTTAATGGGAACAATAAGCATCAACTAAGCTAAATTCTTATCTAAACGTTAAATAAAGAATTTTATGCAAATACACCTTTCAGGTTTTTTTTTTTTTTTTTTTTTTGCAACTCTACCTTGAAAGATCATCGATGGTCGAGGCGAAGATTCAAGCTCTGGGAAACCGGTGGATCGAGATGGAAGAAGCAACGGGTTCGTAAGACTTGAGGTTGCCACTGCTTCTCTTAGGTTCTTGACAAACTTTGAACATGTTTATAAGGTTATGGAATTTCGTGGCCAAGTTCTTGAGCCCGGGTTTTGCTAAACAGGGGACACTCCCAACAGTTATTGAAGATGATGATTCTTCAGAAACTTAAAAGACATGACGCAATGGATGCAATTTTTTTCCCTTTACTGTACTTATCTGTTATTATCAGGGAAAATTCTCATGAATGATTCTGGGAGGTTATGTGAACAGAGACGATTTCAGACAAGTTTGCAGGCTGTCTGCATATTGTAACTGTTCATTTATTTTCTGTCTTTGTGTCACACAATTCATTGATCATTACCTAAGGTTTGGAACCAAAAGATATTTCTTCTATAGCTACTCTCTGTGATTAATGGGTTTTGCTTTCAAGATCCCATTATCTTTATGAGAAACGCAATCTCTAACGCAGATTCCTTGGTCTGCAAGAAGCGATTTTCTTCGACAATATCAGTCGTCAAGTTGAGTAAGACTGGGCGTTCTGGGTCATTGAATGTGCTGTCACGAACTCTAGCAACCCATTTTGCAGCTTCCCATACACCAAATCTGACAATGCGTGAGAAGAAATCATAAGCGCGTAGAAATGATCTATGACCATGAGAAGATTGGATACTTACCGAGTAGTGAATGAGGAAGTTACTAAGACTGCTGGATAAAGAACATCTTTAGGAATGTTGTCATAAGGTGAATTTTCACGTATCGCACGAAAATCATCGATATCTCCTGGGTATCCAAACTCTTCATAATCCGCTGCTGTTAAGGGTAGTATTGGATGTATTAGAGTATGAGTTGGATCAAGAAAAGGAACCTGAAACAAAAACAAATAAATCGGTTGATGATTTTTGAGGTTTCTTAACATTTTCTGGATCCGCAGTTTGCTGATTACCTTTAGAACCGCTGCTTGGAAGAGATCAGGACAATGATTGATAGCTGAAGCAACGACTAGCCCTCCTGCACTGTATCCCCAACCGGCAAGCTTGTTTTCTTGAACTATATTGTTCTCAACAAGGAACTTGGCACAGTGAATATAATCTTTAATGGAGTTGAGTTTCTTGGCGCCTTGTCCTTCTTGATGCCACTTCTTTCCTTTCCCTCCGCCACCTCTGAAAACAAACCCGAGAACAACATAAGATTACGTATCTACACATAAACTCAAGTATTTGAGAGAGAGAAGATAATATGAGACTGACCTAACATCTGCATATGCAAGAACCCATCCACGGTCAAGGAGGCTTTTCAGTTCACTACGCCATCTCTTATCGAGAATTTCACCATAAGCACCATGAACATGAAGAAGACCAGGTTTTTGGTTCTCCTCTCTCTGAGATCTCGAGTAAACAACAGTTAATGGAACCATGGCTCCATCATGAGAAGAGACTTCATGATAATCACACGCATAGAACTCGGTTAGGTCATTCCACAAGTTGTCATTCTCGGCACAAGTATCCGCCATATCAAAACTGACAGTCTTGGTGCCTGATGGTATATTAGGGCTCTCAGTTGAGTTAGCAGTGCCATATAAAACCCTTGTTCTTTCGTGAAGCATGTTTTGCTGCTGTACAATGTTCCATTTCCCATTTAACAGATCATAATCAACCACAGCATCTGGCATCTGCAGACCCAAACTGTTTTATTAAACACACAAATAAATTATCAGCTAATAACTCTAATAAGCAGAAAACAGCAACATGAAGAATTTTCCTACCACCAGTGAAGAAATCGTGAACCGCATTGTTGGAGAATCATAGTCGTAGTTCGTGCCAGGAGATATTTGAGAAACGTGCTTCGGAAGAGGAAGATAACGAGGTTTGGTATCTCTCAGAAGAACCGGTACCTGTTTATAAGAAATTAACATGGTCAAACGTATTCACCGAGCATCAATCTGATCGACGACAGTAACTAAGCAGAGTAATCTTTACTCGCTCTGTCTTGAGAGGTAGATCAACCACACAAATCTTGTAGCTACGCATTTGCTTCACAATGAGGGAGAGATGTGTTTTGCAGAAATCAACGTCCTCTATGATCAATTCAGGGTCGTCCATGAAAACTGTCTGCAAATGAAAGATGAACACTTACAAATCAGATCATAAATATAATACTAACAGCAAATAAAAACAGATATTGTATCAGGCGAACTAACCTCCCAGATCCTTGGACTGGAAGAGGAGTGAACAGGAGTTCGAAGAAGATAATGATGGTCGAGTGTTCCACCGTCTTTGGAAGCATCTGTAAATAAATAGAGTAATCCCTGATGATGCTCGATTATGCAGTGTGCTGGAGCATTGTGTTCCCAAACCAATGCCAAACCAGAAAATGGGTCAGCTGCATTTATCAGAAAGACCTAAGACATAGTACTTGTTATGATTACAAGTAGTTCGACAAAAATAAGAAAACAAAGCTTTTTAACATAGCAATTTAGAGCATTCACCTTTGAAAATGTAGGGGAGAATGTATTCACAGTCACAAAGTGGAAATCTTTTGTATGTCTTATGTTAACATGAACATTGCCTTCGAGTTCTTCGTGAAGCAAAACATCTTCATCCGTTGACCCGATCGCGCTACAGTATATCCTAATAACAGAGCAAGAGATTAGGTACACAAGCAATTTGTAGTAGAACCAGACAACCAATAATGACCAGACGAAACCTGAATGGCCGTTTTTTCTGATCAGTCACGACATAGAGCAGAGCCTGTCCGTTCTTTGCCCACGCTATGTTCGAAACACGATCTGCGTGAGGCTTACTACATAAAGCTCCAGAATTCAAGTTTCTCACACTCAGTTTGAAGTAGTCGTTATCTTTATCATACATAGTGTATGCAAGAAATTTATGGTCAGGAGATATCTCCGACATTTCTTCATAAGCATAACCTACAAAACCACACGCACACACACAAAAATTGTTGATTTTTCTTGATCCTTGCAAGTATAAGAGCCTCGAATTGCATATTTACCTCCAAATCTTTCAGCTTCCTGATTGTAATCAAGAAGCTTCTGCTCAATCCTCTTCCCAGATGTAAAATCAAACCCTGCAGCAGGAGATTTATGAGAAATGAACTCTTCGTGCAAGCTCGCTAGCCTCCTACAAAGCACTGGATACTGCTTCCCTTCTTCAACCCGTCTATAATACAACCTACTTCCACCAATTCAACCAAAAAACCAGTGTCGAATTACTCGAAGAGGTATACAACAAGAGAAAAAATCCAAGCTTTTCACCACCCTTCAATCTCAAGGCCCCTGGAATCTATTGAATTCTAAGAAGGAACAAGAAAAAATGTTAAATTCAATAAACCCACCAAGGTCCCCAACGAAGCGGAGGCGTAGAGAGCTCAAAAGACAAGCGAGAAGCCATCTCAGACTGAAGCTTGGTCTGAATTCGATCCGTATCGGCCAAGATAGCTTCGGTATACTTCTCTTCTTGCTCCATATAGATATCCATATGCCGCATCGCCACTTTATCGTCCAGCTTAGACATCCAGCTGTAAGGATCCTCCCACGTCGCGTCGTGGAAGGTGAAACTCTGAGGCTTCTTCGGCGGTTTCGGTAATGTCGGTGGAGGTGGAGGAGGAGGCGGAGACTTCGGAGGCTTGTAACGGCGGCATTGCTGCCGGAAACGACAGTTATGACGGAAGGTCCTGGAGAGATGTGCAAGCATTTCGACCCCTTGCCCGTTTATTATTTGGGGTTTACAGAGGTTTTGCATTTATATTCATAAACGCTTCAAAATTGAAACATTCTAAAGGCGTTAATTTGTAAAAAACAGAAGTAAAGAGGCTGTAGACATAAATAAATAAGAAACTACGCAGAGAAAGCAAAATTCGTAAAAATTATGATATTCCTTGAAAAAAGGTTTCGTCTTTAACCTTGTCAGATTGAGAATATCAGAAAAGATAGATCCTCTCGTCTTTTCTTATTAGATCCTCTGGCTGCTTCTCACTTATCAGATTTAGTTTAATCAACCCTCTATTAGAAGAATGGTTGAAAGTGGTGAAAAGGTTTCTCCTCCATCTTCTTCTCAGCCTAAAGACTTGGAATTTTTCAAAGTTTTTCTTCCCGAATTCAGTGCTCGCGAACTGGTAATGTTTCTATCTCTGTTTCTTCTCTGAAAGTAAAATAACAAAAATTCAAAAAAAAACAAAAACAAAAATTCAATGATTTCTTCTCGAAAATTGATTTCAAAATCAACATGCAGGAGATACCTACAGCATTCATCGACATCTTGGAGAAGCCGATACCTAAGCAAGTGTTATTAGTCGATGAGATCGGACGGTTGTGGGGTGTGGAGACAAAAGCAGAAGAAAGAAATCGTCTTGTTGTGTTCCAAAAAGGTTGGGAACGATTCGCAAACGATCAATCTCTTGAATTTGGAGACTTTCTCGTGTTTAGCTACGACGGCGATTCGAGATTTTCCGTTTCGATTTTCGCTAAAGAAGGATGTAAAAAAGATCTCGGTGTCGTATCAACCAATAGGGTTTCGGTTGAGAAAGGACCGGTTGCGGTTGAACCGGCGGATATTTCTACCAATCCGGGACGTCGGGAACGTCGTGGCAAGAGGGTTAATCTGAATCGGAAACGCGATTTGGTTAAGGAAAAGCCAAGTGTTCGGGCTGAGACTGAACCGCAGTATGTTTCAACTATCAAAACCGAACCAGATTATGTTCCAGCTATCAAAACCGAACCAAAACACCGGGAAAATACTCTGAGGAAAGTCAACCGGTCTAGAGGTAATTAAATTTGAGAATGGTTTTAGATTTTAATACAATTTTGATTTGTTTGTTCAATTGATTTATTGTTCGTTGGGTGTTATGCAGATCCGTGTGGTATATCATGGGTTCCTAAGAAGAAACACAAAGGTTTTGAAGAATCGGAATATAAACCGAAGAATCCGCATTTTGTGAGGAATATCACAAGCGGTTCACTTCGCCAAATGGTGAGTTGAAAGAACCGGTTTTCTAATGTGCAGCAAAATCTGTCTTAATGGTTAAACATTATTAACCCATAGGAATGTCTATGTTTGCTAGGAAATACCGACAACTTTTCTGAAATCCAACGGGATCGACATGGAGAAAGACATCGAGCTTTGTGATGAAAATGGAAAGAAGTGGCCATTGAAGATTGTGAATCACTGTAGTAGAGGACTCAAGTTCTCGTATGATTCTTGGTTGTTGTTCAGTCAAAGCCATAAGTTGAGGAGGCCCGATAAGTGTTTATTTGAGTTTATTGTGACAAGTGATGGGAGATGCAACCAGGTTCTAGTCCGTATTCTCCCTGGGAGGCTGCTTACTACTGTTAGCAAAAATCGTTACCAAGTTCTTGCTATGTAATATTTTGTGTTTACTGTTATTTCTTATTTGCATAAATATTTCTTTTTTGTTGACATTAGTAAGTTGCATATATATAGGTGCCATAAGTTCCTCCTTTCCATTAACGTGTCTTTAAGACGGCCTAGCTCTCTTTTCCTTTTTTAGCCAACGGTTTTGCTTCGTGGTGTACGGTGGAACTGTGTTTCGTAACATACAAATTTCGGGCTTAAATAATAATAATACCGCTGTTTCAGATCTTCAAAATATTGTATCCGTTGTTTTTTATTAACTCATCGTATATCTACTATGGACATGTTAATGGTATAGTTAAACGAAAAATGAAACATAATTCAACATTTAAAACCAAATTCTAAATGATTCCGTTATATACTATAGACCTCTTAGAGTATCGCCGTGGTGGTATTTGATCATCTGACTTGTCCGTTTTACACTACTCATGTGTCATATAATCTTATCCGTTCTATATACAAGTAAACTAGAAAATAAAATAAATAAAAATTGGAGAAACGAAATTTGCAGTTCCAATCTAATCAATATAATTATTAAAAAAATATAATGTGATTTTGTCTCATGGTGATCGATGATTCCTTTTGTGAACTCACCATACTCGAGTTCTCCGAATGCTATTTTAATCATTGACTAGAAGAAACGTTTTAAATTACAAGAATATTTGGTTCTTCCACATACAGCTTAAATTAATTTGAAATTAGTTACGGATCTCAGTTTATACATATATAAAAAGATATCTCATTTTGTCTCACTATGCAAGGAGTGATTAAAGATAAAATTGATTGAAGGCATTAAGAACGCACTAAACGCAGGAAATTGAGTTATTGAAAGCTAACTAAAGAAAGAAATGGCACGTAGGAGAGCACATAGTTTGTTGTGTCCCTTTCTCTTTAAATCAATGAAGAGCCAAATCAGCCACCGGTTTTCGTAATAACCAATGGTATTTACGGCCCAAAGTAATGTCTTCAGAAGAAAAGAAAAACAATTTTTTTCTTATACACAACTTACAATATCTGATTCACCACCTATCCATTAAACTATGTTCTGTATTTTTTTTTATATATAAATACACACGAGTGTGTTGTCTTTTAGACAACACAATATCTTTTCTGTTCTATCAACAAAAAACTTTGGAGAGCTTTCTAGTTTTTTTTTTCTTTTCATTTGTTATATAATGGAGTTTGTGATATCGAAACGAGTCCAATCGGAGGATGGAGAAGAGAGCTTAAAAGAGGAGCAAGTGTCTAAGCAGCTACATCTGAAATCGTCGGAAACGCAAACGCAGACGCTGAACAAAAGAGCCGTCCTCAACCGCATCCGCAACCATAAATGTATTCACAAAATAAAGAGTCTTCTTCACACCACCACCGCTAATAATGGTTCCACCGTCGACGCTGATTACCGGTGGATTGATGGCGGCGATGTCTTCTCTTGTCCGTAAAAGTTATTTTGACACGTGTACGTCCACGCGTGTATTTGTGATTCTCTTGTCTCTCTCTTCCTGTATCGAGAAATTAACTGAAGCTGTCTTAAATGAATCATAATAAAATTGTAGAGATTTATTATGTTCACGATGAATTTTTGATGATGATCCCCATTGGGATTCGGACGTACGCAACGGATAAATTGGGCCATTAGTGATTAACAGCTTTATTCGGCTTTATTGAAACTAATCAAGCCCAATAGTATAAAACAATCTTGTAAGCGTCCGCGACTCAATCCAAAAAAATCCAAATTAAGCAAAAAAACATATTCATTCGATTTTTTTTTTTTAAATAAACCAACAAATCTGGAAAATCAAAACAAAAGCCAGAATGAAAACCAGATTAGCACACGCAAAGTAACCTTCATCATCATCAAAAGAAACTACTACGAGTCATAGTTGGTTAGGTCTCTTTCTCTCTCTCTCTCTCTCTCTCTCTCTCTCTCTCTCTCTCCCTAGACAGGCTCTTGCTCCCAGGAGAGAGACGATGTGGTAGAAACAGACGACAAAAGCCGTCTTCGTTTGTAGTTAGCTTTAAAGCAAGCCTGTCTTAACCTCTTAGTCTTATCCGCAAATTTCAAATGAGGATCCTCCTCAATCATCTTCTTCTCCATCTCCAGCATCTCCAAAGCATTTCTCAGCTTAGTCCTGTTCATTTCTCCCCCCGTCTTCCCTAACTCATCCTTTCATAATTAAAAGACCATGCATCACATATAAATGTAAACCCAAAATATATAAGCAAGTCCATTAGTTATATACATGCATGTGTGTGTGGACGCACCTTGAGGTTAGTAATTATGCCCTGGATGCTCATAAGCTTACGGTGAGGCCAACGAGGAATACCCAACTCACGACACTTTTTCTTCAAGAGGGTTACTCCAATGTTCAGCTCTTTGGCTGCTTTAGTTATCGGCATGTAGAAGTATGGTTTGAGTGCTTCTCTTGACAAACTCTTGATGACTCCATCTTCTCTGTATCTCCTGTTCTGGATTCCTGTCTCTTTCATCGTGTTATTATCTTCATGCAATATTACCTCCATTTTTGGATTCACTAAGCCATTAGTTCTTGATATTTCATCTCCAATTGGTTCGACCTGATTATTGTAATTACCAGTATTTTCATACCACGAACCACTCAACACATCTGCTATACACGACATAAGGTGTGCATCACAATCCAAGCATGTATATATATATATATATGTGTATACAAATGTGTATTCATGTATACCTTGAGACATTGTAGAGATGGCTTCAAGATCAACTGAAGCCATAAACATATGATCACCAGCCGATAAACTAGTAGAGAGAAGATTAAAATTAATGCTATCTTGGAAAGAAAACCAGGCTTGATTTTGAAAATCCTTAAAAGGGTTAATGAACGAACTGCAGAAACCCAAAACAACCAAAAGAGCATACTAGATTAATTTCTAACGCAAACATACTATTTTTTTTTCTTTATCAATCAAAAAGAGAAATCCCTTATGACTTACTTGTAATAATCCAAGGAAAGTACTGATTGATCGAGTAACGAGGATAAGTTTCCTTCTCGAAGGAATGATTCATCAGCCATTTCGATTGACAAGGGATACATAATTGTAACGTTCTTTGAAGTGCTAGAAGAAGAAAACGAATCGTCTGTATATATATGAATTTGGAATGTATAAACACTTTAAGTTGTATGTATAGGTAGAGAAGTACGTGAGAGGAGGTTTAGTTCTCGGAGATGATGAGCCGTCAAAATCATTATATGTCTTCTGTAAGTTACGAGAGAGAGAGATGGTAGTAGAAATTAATGATTAGTGTTAATTATTTTGGCTAATAGAGAAAGTAATGAATTAATGTTTATTATATCTATTAAAAATAGGCTCTAGCTAATATAAACGTTCGTAAATTGAATAGATTTAGGTTCCCCATCCCATCACATGCAATGCCAGTTTACAAAATCTTTGCTTATCATCTTTCAAAATCTTTCATTTTTTTCAAAACTAATCATGAAATTTTGTTTACTCTTGAAGACATTGTATATTTTTTCGATACTTTCTAATATATATTCTTAAATATATTGAAAATCATCATTTGAATCTTACGTCTTAGCACCACATTTTCTCTCAATATTTTTTTTCGTTTATTAAAGCTCATATTTCGTGAGCAATTATTATTATTCCATCCATTTGATCGGATTTATATTAGGTAATATTCAATAACTTAACTGGATGTTACTAATTTCGTTGGAACTTAAAATAGCCAGAGCAATAACTAGAGCACGTACACTTTCATCGTTCAAAACTATAGTCCGTATTAAATAGAGTTCATACCGACGTTTAGTCTCTTAGAGTATTTGTTTGTACTTCTGATACCACATTATATATACCCATCATCACATATTATATTTATATATTCCTAAAAATATAATAGACGAAAAAGAATTTTGTCGAAACTCCATCCACCATATATACTAGAGATCAAGCAGTAATACTAATTCATTCATTTATTACTTTTCTTAGGAATAGGAAATCGCTAAAGAAATCATTCATTCATATTTTTTCTAATTTATTAATTTCATCAAACTATCTATTAATATAGTCTCATGCATAACATATATAATTCCACTACGTAATACATTAGTATTATTTTTTTCGAAACGCATTTATTTATCGTCTTCATATATAATTCCACGTCTACGTAATTTGTATGATCGCTGACCAAAATATTTTTCAGTCATCTCCGTTATCTGTGCCACGTCTCGCTCATCTTCTTCTGACAAGCGCAGCATCCGCCTCCTCGTAAGCCTGCACCGCCATCTCATAGGTCGGAAACGTTCCAAGCCACCTACTTTCTTTCATATTAGGATCCCATATCTCCGCCGACCATTTACCTAATGGGTTTTAAATTACATAAGTAGAACAAATTCTAAGATGTTGGAACATAACGTATTGAAACATAATTTACCTGATGGTTTCTTCCTCACTCCTTTGTGCTTCTTCTCCTTCTTTTTGATCTCTTCTTCGTGTCGTGGGAATGCGCAACCGTAGCAACCGGTGACGCCGCAGAGAGGACAAGGGCCAGCTTCCGGACGCGGAAGAGCTTCTCTGGCGAACGAGTTTGATGATGACGTGTCACCACCGGGGCTGGTTATCACTTGACGCAAAGCATAGACTATGATCTCATGCTCTTGATCTCTTGTCAGGTAAGGAGGTTGTGAAGCAGGGGTGAAATTTTCGTTTTGATCATAAGATGGATTACTTTCTGAATTATCCATTTTCGTGGGGTCAAAATTAAACTGCTAATAATTCCTCTCGCAGGGAAGGATCGAAAAGTGTTGTGAATATTTGAAAACAAACCGGCGGAGCTTAGGGTTTATATAGTAGGAAAGTGAAGTCTACATGGCAGCCACATCATCATCGTACCAATAGGAATACATCGCTAGTCCACATATGGGTCCCATGTGAATCTACATCGCTAGTCCACTTATGGGTCCCATGTGAATCTACACGCGGCACGGAGATGTTATAATTATCCGTAGATACTGTAGCTGTAATAAATGCTATTTCTCGAAGAAACAGGTTATTTGAAATAATTCCTTCCACTTTTGGAACGTTACAAATAGTTAGTACGGTAACTATCATTTTCGGGTCGGCTTCTATTTAAAGATAATTCAATCATTACACCGAGTAAACCAGTTCTCTTAATTTGCTTCACATTGTATACCAATTTTGGTTTGTATATATATATATATAGCACGTTTTAAATATAAGAAAATGTGCTCTGCAACCATATTTCTTGTGCTCTGTTTTTTTTTTTTTACATTACTATGTTTTTGCTTCTGCAACCATATTTCTTGTGCTCTGTTTTTTTTTTTTTACATTACTATGTTTTTGCTTCTGCAGCCATATTTCTTTCATCCCTTTCTGAGAAAATGTATGTAAAAGAAAACAGATTTTTCTGAATATAAATTTAACATTATTTTCAAAAAAAATATATAAGAAAATGAAAGTTTGGACTTTTTTCAAGTCGTCTGCTATGGTCATTATGAAAAATGTGTTAAACATATGCAAAACACCAAGCGGAATTGGACAGTGAATTTTAAAGAAGATGGGACCTTATAATTTTTCAGTAAAACATGTCAGTAAAATTATTTTCTCACTCTATAATTTTTCATTTCTTGCTTCCTACGTTTAATATCACCATGATTCATTAAGAAAACCCTAATTATTTTATCATCCTATTCGTTTTTTTTTTAACGGCGAAGTATTTATTATCTTCTTTAATTTGACTCCGTATTTTTTATTTGTCAACGTAACGGATTGATTTGAAAGAGATAAACTCGATAAATTTTCAAAGTGAAACAATTTATTTACCAACAAGTAAAACAAGCTTTTAAGTTTGACAAGCAAATGAGGAGTAACGTTTTGTATAATTATCTTCTGTTTCGCCCTATATATACATTCCAATGCAAGGAATAGTTTTTTTCCTCTTCTTTTGATACAATTACTACACAAATTATCTTCCAAACTGATCAAATCTTAAGTTTCCACCGTCGCTTTACTTATTTAAACTGCCTGAAGTAGTTTACCGTTACTCTCCTTATTCTTACTCGTTGACTTTGGAGTTGTCCTGATCACCTTGACCCTAAACGCCGCCTGATAAGAACCAAACCGGTTTAGTTTTTTCAGAACCAGAGCGAGATTTGGTAGTACAGTACGTGGCTCACCTTCTTATCTGAACCAAACTCGATGATATCGGAAGATCTAAACCGCGCCGGGAAATTCGGAGTCACTCTGTATCTTCTTCCTTCGTTACTGGTAACACAATTTCAAAGATCAAATATTTGATCAGAAACCATCACAGACTCAAGAGATAACCAATTCTTCATTGACTTACTCGGTCACATAGGTTCCGTGTTCGCTTCGAAGATCCATCAAGAAGAAAGCTCCGTCTTTGTAGGTTACACGGGCATGCATCTTCGAAACCTAAACCAAAGATTTGACAGAAAATCTATGTTACTTGACTAGTCTCTGAACCTTCTTACGTCACTATATGATATGCAGAGGTTTATATATACCTGAGGGGCAGGGATCACAATGTGCATTCCAGGAAAATCTTGGTCTGGTTCACTTCTGCAATCAGAAAGAGTTTCAAAATTTAAAAACTTGTACTTAATTTCTCAACAATCGTTGATTATAAATTTCATACCCGATGATGCAAGGTTGATCTTCATCTTTGGTTAGACATAATGTTTCCGAAACGCTACACTCGTTGCCATATGGAATAAGATACCACCTGCAAAGAAATACAGACTCAGACAAAGCAGTTTAGAAAAAGCAAAGCTGATTTTTGTTAGGTGAAGAAATATATGACTTGTGCTACATACTCTCCGTTTATGGTACGTTCAAGAGCGTCGTCGTCTTCAAACCACTCGCGAAGGCGGTCATCAGCCTTCAAACAAAGAGTTACACTTTGATATCAGTCACTAAATAAAACTTGTTTGAGTGCAGTGGAGACAGAAAGAAACATACTTTGTCAGTGAGTCTGCAACTAGGTGGCCTTCCTTCGAGTTTTTCACTGCAAAAGCATGTAAATGGGTTAGCTTTAACGTGCGGACTGTTACTGAAATCTAAATATTTGAACGTCTATGAAGATGAATACAGAGAAAGATCTAACCTGTTACCTCCAAGGACCCAGTTAAGCATCAAAGGCATAGCAATGTCAATGAAGAATCTCCCACCAACTCTTCCGGGATGCGGTACTCTAAACTTGGTCAAGAACTGCAAAGAAAGATATGAGAATTGGCGTTTGACGTCATACGAGCACCAAAACATTTATGCCTCTATCACTGAATACTATAAAAGAATACTCACAGACAGAGGACCAAGCCCAACACCCAAGTATGCTTTGTAAGTGGAAGCCATAATTGCAGCCATTCTCGCCATTCCATGAATAATAGCGACTCTGAGTCTTCTAGATTCCTCGTATCTAAACCATGATTTAAGAGAAGTTTAAGTGTTCATCAGGTGTCCAAACTAAGCAGATTCGTGTTTTAGTATTACCTTCTTAAAGAGGAAACAACATCTACTGGTGCATTAGTTTCAACACTTCGTTCCCATGCTTCTTCAAGCTCCAATGCTAGTTGATAACTATCCTGCAAAAATACCGGAGAGTCATCTCAAAAGTGGCTTTTTTACTTCAAGTCAATTGGTTGAATTGGTTTATACATATACATACCTCAATGGCCATGCATCCACCTTGACCCATATTCGGCTGCATCGCATGAATAGAATCCCCGAGCAGCGTAACACGCCCTTTCCCCCAATTAAAACTAGGAGTTCTATCATAGATATCTCTTCTCAATATCGCTTCCTCCTCTGTCGCGTGCAATAAGTCGAGTACATTGTCGCACCAACCTTCAAATATATCAAACAATCTTTTCTTCATACCTGCAAAACAAAAAGAACAAAAAAAGAGAAGCGTATGTGCTTTGATACTAAATGTAAACCAAAGAACACACATCAACCAATGCAGAGAATTTACCGTTAGGAGCATCAACGCCACCAGCTGGCTCCTCGTGAAATGCGTACCACTGCATTTTTCCACCACCAACATCCGAAGAAACAAAGTACTGTTTGTGTCCCAAAAAAACCCGGTAGCTTTTCGAGAGAAGGAGACAGTCCAAATATTAGGGAAAAAAAATTCATAATAAGAGAAGAGATGAAGTTTGAGTGCACCATACCCAACAGACTCGATATCAGCCGGTACAAAATCTGCAATGCCGGTGTAACAAGTGTAGCCTGAATATGTAGCTTCACTTCGACCGAACAAATTATTTCTCACCTATAAACAAAAAAGCAAAAGGCAGAATCTTTATGTTTAATCCTCAGCAACAGAAGCTATTTGTTGAGCTCTATTCAATTATAACCTACTTTGGACCAAATGCCATCTGCACCCACAAGTAGATCACCTTCATAGCGCTCACCATTCTCAAGCACCACCGTTACCTAAATGCATAAACCCATACAACAACATTGGCATTTCCCCTTTACACATATTGGTAAATCAATAGTCTTAAAGAGTAAAATATAAAAAACAAATTCCAATCATCACCACCTTATCTCCAGAATCTTCAAAATCGACAACATTACTCTCGTTTCTAATCACTTCTTCTCCAACTGCGCGTGCTAGGATCTGCTGCAGAGTCATTCTGCTAATTACTCGTGTCACAGGAAGTCCCCGTGAAGCCGCAGGAGTGAAAGTATCAAACTTGACATACCTAATTGATTTACAAACAAATTTCACCAAAAATCCTCTATGAACTTTCATTTTAGATTCTCTATGAATCTCAAGAACAACTCACCAAGTACCAGAGACACCGTCGACAAGACCGTTAATCCGATCACCGGTGATACAACCAGCTTCCATAACCTCCTCAGCAACATCAATATCAATGGCTTCCAAAGCAGCCAAAGCGTTGCTCTGTATCTGAATCGGACCTCTGTATTGTCCCTCTCCTCTTATGGCGCTCAAATCTTTCTCAAACACCAACACATCGAATCCTTTCTTCTTCGCCGCGAGAGCAAACACCAACCCTCCGATTCCACCTCCGGCCACTAAAACCCTCGGTTTCTTCTTCTCTTTCGCTATCTCTCGCTTCTCTTCCTCCACTAACGCCGTCGCCGCCCTTACTCCGACCAAAGCTCGACGGCTCCTAAACCCAGATAATCCTCCTCCCGATTTTCCAGCACACGATGATAGATCTAAGTAAAACTGTTTCGCGACGGGACTAAACACATGGGTCCTCGTGAAATCAAGCTTTGATGGCGATGGATTGATTGAATAGCAAAACGGAGTTGAACCCATCTCGAGCCAAAAAATCAGTTTGAGTTCTGATCAATAACCAAGACTTTATTTTGTAATGTGCCTCTGATTCAAACAAGAGAGAAGAAGAAGAAGAAAAGGTTTGGAGAAGAAGAAGAAGAAATGGAGAAGGAGAAGACAGGTGGCATCACCACCGCGACACACTTCATCTCTCACTGCCTACAAATATCGCTTCTGACGTTGACATCTCTCTTCTCTCCGCCATTAGAAATTCATATAATAAACTCAATTAATATGTATGTTTTAGTTATTAGAATGTGACGTCATAAGAGCGCACGGTGGATTTTTTAGGATTGTGAATGGATAAATCGTCATTTTCCTTCTTATCCCCATTTTAAGCCACTAGTAATTTCATTTTGATTTTATTTTTTTTGTTGACGTCTTTCAATTTTTATCTAAAATAATTAATTGATGATAGATATAAGTCGACGGAAAAATATATTATATATATTGTGTTTTTTTTTCACAATGTCACACTATTTATAGTTTAGGTAAAAGTAAATTCAACAATTTTTTCTATATATAAAGGAAGACATCAATGGCCCAAAATAACGGATCATTAAAACTAAACCCAAGCCCATTGTAATGGATGTGGATCTAACGGTGGATATTTCACTTATTACATCATACTTACATCAGATGGACTTATTCATCATGTCGAGTTTTAAGCAATGGCAAGTCTAATAAAGTAGCTGATTGCATATGGAAACCGACATATCTGTTATCTGCTATGTTTTAACGCCAGAGAGATTTCTTTTCTCTGCTGGCTATTGTGTTCTTCTTTGCTGAGAATAGATATAATGTTGAGCATTACACAAAATTAACTCAAAACCCTTTTATGATATGGATACATCTCTATAAATTTCGAAAACACAGGGAGGGGTTAATCTAAGGGCATTTACATAATCTTGAGGTCCATGATTCGAAATCCAAGGGAATATAATCCCCAAAAACCTACTACCTTTCAACAACCATCCTTCCCTAAACTCCGATCCTTTCTCAGTCACAATAGTGAAGCTTCTTATGAGCTCCATTATACCACTGCATCTCATCTTTATAATCCCCCGCAACGAAAAATAGTTTTCATCCGATTGGTCTCTTAAAACCTATAAAGTCACAGAAAATATATTGAATAGTTTTTGTACGTTTTTCCTGACAATAATGAAGTGTGAATATGATGTATATATATACCTTTGCTTGATAGTGTCGGTTGTAGTGGATCCAAGTACCAAAATGTTTGAACATCAAATCCTTATCATCGTACGGCAATCTTGGAACAATGTCGTTATTATAAACAAATCTATAATACTTTACATCATATTCTTCTAATTTCTTCTTCATAAAGTCACCAAACTTGGAATCGCCAACCCTAGGCTGTCCATAAGTATAAACCCCTTGAATCCTCTCCAACAACTCGGTCTCATCGTGAATCACAAGCACAGCCGCGAACAATATCGCAAGGGCTCCTCCTAAGCTATGACCGGTCAGAACGAACTTGGTATTTTTGTTCTCAGCGATCAGAGTTTTCAAAGAGTCTCTGATTGAGTAGTAAGCTAAAGGGGATAATCGATTAGGGTTTGAGAGAGGCTCCTTTGGCCAACTACAATTGCTTTGGAGCCCTAGAGCTTTCATGAAACCACCATGGATCCTCCCAATATTTGGGAGCTCATACCACGTTATGTCGAAATCTGAACACCAATCTTCGGAATTAAACGGTTCTGTGCCTCTGAATGCAACCACCACCCTCGTTTCTTGACCATTGGACGATGGTGTTGCTGTTTTTTCAGTAGACATTATCAAGGCTTGTGTTGTTTCCTTTTCTTGATATTCTGCCAACAACAAAAAAAAAATTTATCAAAACACCAAACAATTTTATAAACTAAAATTCATTAACTAAATGGAATAAGATTTATTTTTAATTCTTGAATGCATACCGTTCCAATAGTCAACGAGACCTAAATACTTCATATTCCAATGATTCTCAACGACATATTTAATACGAGCTGAGTTTTCGTAGGCAATTTTTGAAGCCATAATGGACAATGCAGCATAGTATCTGTCTCCATCTTCGAGATTCATCGTCTTGTCTAAATTTATTCTCGTGTCTAAATGTCCGATAAATGACTGATAATTCTCCGACATTGTTCTCGGCATCACCACTTCTCCTGCATATATATCCACAAAATCAATATAACTATTTAATTAATAATTTATTACTAGAGAGGAATTAATGGAAATGGTCTTCAAGACCTCGGAGGATGAAACCGGAGAAAGAATTCTCAGAGAGGAAGTTCAAAGAGAATTCTAAGGTTGAGCCAAGGAGAGCTATAAGCTCGGAGAAGAATCGGAGAATCTTGAGGAGGACGAGAGAGACGAAGATAAGCCATCGACGTCGGAAACTTGGTTCCTTGGTTTCTGAGCTATCGACTAATGTTGGCTTCTCGATATCTCCCGAGAATAGCAGACGGATAAGTTCCCATGGCCGAAGCTCTTCCGGTCGAAGAATCAGATATCCTCTCGGAAAATCTTTGTCATCATCGCTGCTGATCATGTTGATTTGATTTTTGTGTGAGTATTGTAATGTTGTGAATGCAATTTTATATGTACGATGTATAAACCTATATATATATATATATGTGTGTGTATATCAGTATATGTGTGTGAGAGAGGATTAAGACCGTATTTTAGATTTGGAATACTTGGAGTTGTGGGAAGAAGAGATTTGGAATTTTTTTTTTTTTTGTAAAGGTAATCTATATATTTGGTTTTGGAATATGAATGTTTCACATGAGGTTTTATCGAAAAAATGTTTCACGTGGGGTTGATAATCGTAATTATGTGGTGGGAAAAAAATGGTAATAACTAAAACTGTTTTATAGAAAACATTAACGGTAACCATATGAGAGCACGTAGAGAAAGGCTTTACTTTTCAGCTTTTCCTATGATCGTAGTGGGCCTACGTACTAATGGGCTGTAAAAAATAAGCTACGAGACCCATTGAATACTGATTTTCAACCCGAAATTGTCAAATGCATTGTATCTTCATTTCAAACACATTAATCAATTGTACAACAAGGTTTACGGATTCGTATTGGTGGCAAAATAACAAGAATTTGGGATAATCCAGAAAATCAATGATAGTCGAAAAACCTCTACCTCTCCAAGTATGCACCTTGTGATAATTATGAATGGACATACTCTGAGATGCAAAACATCTAATTTCAAGGCAGGTTTCGTGTTTGAATGTTAACTCTTTTTTCCAACAATGTGCATTCTACCATATTAAAATTTGTAGTACTGATACAAATCGACAACCTTACTACAATTTACTAGACAAACGAGGTGGTGAAAAAAAGAAAATTCGTTAACACTTAAAATATTAAAATTAAAAAATGTAATAATTTTTTGTAAATAACATCTAGATAATAATCGTTACAGCCATTTGATGATAGTTTAGAACAAGAACGGTACAATACTAATCTAAATATACTACCAAGAACAATTATGTAAACGAATGTTAGTTTTTAGTTGACGAAACAAAAGATGCTGTTTAGTATTTGGAACACACAATTTTTTTCAACCGATATTTGCGATCCTTTATAAATGCTCTAAGATCACTAGATCTGTTGACTCATTGATATTTGTCTGTTAACAAGAACCAAAACCAAATAAACATGTACATGTAATATTCCGGAACGATCAGTATATGGATGCATATATATAAAAGAAAGAAAAAAGTATATAGATGCATATTTAGTTGTATTGTACGTGATCCTTGTCAAATAAATATCCGAAAGGAAAGAATATCCTGATTTCCATATCATCAAAATTAAAACATTATCTTATATCATATTTTGGTTTTACATATGTCGTGTGAGGTTCACCGGGAAAAAAATCAAATGATGAGTACGTACATTTAACATAGCACAAGAGACGTAGGTGCGAGGAGTCAAAGAACGTACCAAAAACCCAAAAATCAACAAAAACAGAAAGAGGAATGAGATAAATAATATAGAAAACTAAATTAAATAAAATTTGGGATCTGCATTTTCCAACACCTACCCATTTTAAAGGCACAATATTTTATATTCAATAAAACCCAAATTTTTGTCAACCCACCTATTTTGCTTGTCCCCATTCTTTCCCGAATTTTACTAGTTTTTCGTTTTTTTCTTATCAAATTACAGCAAATGAGTACATGACATCTACGTTTCGGTCTAGGAAGTTTCTACCTCCTTAGTTCTAGATTTTGACTTTTGTTTGCATCTCAAGACATTTTCTTTTTGAAACATAAAACTGGTTCGATGTTGGAAGATATGGTAATTTTTCAATGCCATCGATTTGATCTTTTATTTGCATTATTTTATGTTTTATATGCATGATGCTTTTTTTTTGTAACACTTTCATGATGCTTTTTTATATAAAATTTTATAAATAATAACAATACCACCAATAATAATTACAATAAGAAGAGTGCATGAACTTTATCCTGTCATAGAGAACATGAGAATTTATCCGAAAAAAGAAGAAGAGAGAGATAGAGAAGGGGAAGGTGGAAAAGGCATTGAAGAAAGGATAATACAAGAAAAAAAATCTCCATTCTTCGATAATTTTTTTTTATAAAAAAAAGGAGAATAAAAAAAGAGAGGAAGATGATAGAAATGTGTCAGACGAATACAGAGCACTTGCCCAAGAAGATATTATAAGAAAATGTCTAAATAAATCTAATCTTAAGGATATTGTAATGATCAGAGACTCTCTGTGGTGATGTTGGGACCTTTGTGGGATATCTCACGTGGGACGAATTTTTTTTTTAATAACTAAACAACGATGTAATTTTCCATGGAGTGAATTTTGCGAAAATAATTGGATTATGTTAATTTAATTATTAATATAAATTGGGTTGTTAGTGGAGCAACGAACATAGGTGATGCTTGGGACATGAACACGATTGTATTGCTACCTTGCCTTGGGAGGCAACCTATCTCAATTTTGGTATATCACACATCTTAGAAAATAAAAATTAATTAAACTATGCTATTTGTTTCCGGTATTCAAATTTGTTTCTAATATACTTAGTACTCCACAAGACACGTAACATAAATTTTTTTTTCTAGTTTCCTCGATGTATCAATTACCATTCGAATTTACATATTGGCGTAAGATATGATATTGACAGTATATATAGTTAGTGTTCACCCTAAAACAATGTTTTGAATGGGTATTTCGATATCTGTGGAGTTTTCTAAACAGTACATTTGTTGTCACTGATTATAAAAACAATGGCGTATTTTAAACAGTCGAACATCCAAGATGTTTAAAATATTCTACCAAGTTTACATGGAAAATGTGAAAAGGGTTAATTCTTAATTTTCGTTTTAATGATTAAACAGTAATTAGATATATATATATATTTATGTCTTAACTTTAATGTTTGAAGTAATTTTTTATGTTGATCATAAACGTACATCCAACTACCAACTAAATGTAATAACCGCACGACTTCAACTTTTCTCTTCTTATTAATTGAAAAAGTTGTATCCCCTAGACCTGGTCTCTCAATAAAAAAAACATGCGATGTGCCATTGCACTGGCCAATAACACTCGAATTTGGGTCTGTATCAATGCTTTATACATTCGAGTTGTATTGATGTCTTACTAACTTACCGTAATTAGTTACAACGCTTCAATTACCGCAAAGTAACCATTTGCATCGGCATCGATCAAATTTCAGAGAAAATTAACATAAAATGGACCGAGAGACAGCTTGGCCACTACCATGCAAAGGTTAACCAATCATATTCATTTTTTTTAGACATGTATATGTATATCAGTATATGTCTGTGGTCCTTCTGAAGGGTTTTTGTTTTCTTACCTTTCCTTTGTTCCCACTGTGTTGTCACATAGATTCTTCATAGATCTTCCGAGAGAGAAAAAAAGGAACAAGTCGAAGGTCATAATAAAGTGCGAAGACTATGAAACAAAGTTAGTGAAAAAATCCCCATCGGTATTAATCGGTATGGATACGTTTTTAATTTTTGAATTTCATAAGTTTATGTGTTAATTTATAACAGCCAATTATATTTACAGTGTTAGTAATTTGAAATGAATCTGCATACTAACGGAATTCTGAAAGAAAAAGAAGTAGAACATAATCAAGAGATACCAATTTCATTACTATTAAATGTGACGATAAGGGAGGGCAGTTTTCACAGAGATTAGTATTTATTGTAATGAGGGCAAAAGTGAAAGTGGACAAAACCGGATTCTTGATTGAGAGAGTGAGGGCAGTGAAACGTCACCATTTCGTAGGATTTTGCATGTTTTTGGTGTCAACATAGAAGGGTAAAACCAAGATCGAAGCACTTGCTTTGTCTGCCTATTTTAATCTAATCATGGGGAAGAACCATCCAAACAATCAGAGTTATATATACAAATAAACTAAAAAACATAAACCAGTCTTAAATGTGCTAAGTGTGATTTTGTACAAATAAAGTGAGACAGATCTTAGAAGAACAGAAAGAGCTTGTGGTATCTTTTGGATTTGTGTAATGTATTTTTTGGGTAAGAATCATTTATTGTCTTTTGTTTAAATTGATTAGAATGCTGCGCTTCTTGTTACATTTTTAGTTTATTCCATCATATTATTAATTCGTTACAAAGTGCCATTTAAATATTTTTATCTGATCACGAATCAGATCCACCTTAAGTGATACTCAAAATGATACTATATATAATACTGACGTGGTTTCAACATTAAATTATAGTTCGTGAGATACCTCCTGTGAAAAGATTACTCAAAGGATAAAAGTATAAAATTACTTATGAAAATAAAAATGACACTATATTTCTAAGCCATTTGCAAACAATAGTTATAAAAAAAAAAAAAAAACAAAAAATCCTCCTCTTTGTTGGGAATTATATCGGATTGTCAGATGCAGCAGATGATGAATCTTTATTTTTCGATTTCACCATAAATTCTATGGTTAAAAAAGCAATTAAAAAGAAAGAAAGAAAAACTTGACAATTTCATATAAAACTGAGCCGTACGTCCACCAGAAGGAAAGTCAGTGGCGGTAAGCAACAAATGTATTATTATTATTATTTTATTTTTTAAAAAGAGACTGCAAAATAAAGTACATAAAAAATGCGTTTCTGAAAGAAAGGGAGAAAGATGATATATAAAAAAAAAGAATTAAGTCGTTCTATGATCGTCTTTGAGAAGCGTGCCATACGCTAAGGCTCGATGGCAATTGAGATCCGATTAACCATTCCATTATTTCTTACATATATGTATATGTATATGTTTGTTTGTCCACCAATTGTTACATACACCGATATTTAATCTATTATGAACTTTTCTCATTAAGAGTATGATGAATGTGTTAATTTTTTTTTTTTTTTTTTGTCATGAATGTGCTAATTTTTACTTCACCGAATAAAACAGTGCTCCCCGGATTCTGTCATATCTCATGTGGATGTGGGGTAATCATCAGTAATCTTATAACCAAATGATAAATAATTGGATTTTCATGGTAAGTAATAGTTTTTCATGGATGAAGAAAATATTTGTGCTAATACAATAAAAAAAAAAGAAACAGTGGATAATCTTATACTCAGCTAATATAAGAGAACCAAAAGACTTTTATCACCCAAAAAAATTGATAGAGGAAATAAAATTTTGATTATGAAATGTAAGAAATAATAATGCTGGAAATTAAATAAGGAATACCCGTTGTTGTGCTGGTGAGAGCGGTTCATGCACCTTGTTTTGTCGCGTTCTGCGTTTTTTGCATTTAGTAGTGGATCCAAAACCAATAGATGTAAGACACGGGTCTACAACAAACATGATCTGGAATAATATGGTCAATCTCTGCTCGAATCGACGGTCATTATCGATCCTAATAAATGGACTCTTTTCTTTTGTAACTTAAATGGAACGTATATTATTTGTTTTTACTTTTAGATGCAAGTTATGTTACGCAGTAATTCTACTAATAGTAAGTCCTACATGTAAACGCTTTTCCATAGTTTCTCTTAGCAAACGAACAAAATCTTCGCGAGTTATTAGCTCGTTTTAATATATGAATATATGCACTATATCTAATACAATGACTCGTTGCTAAAATGTTTATAAAATAGTTGATATATGATTACACTAATAAGATTGTCCGAATGCATGTGGAAGATTGGAATTTGCACTTGGACAAGAAGACAAAATTTGAACATTGAATATATACATATATATGCCCATAAATGGGAGAGTTGAAAATGGGAAGAATTTCCTTACAATTATATATGCATGTAAGTATATGTATATATATAAAATATGTGTAGTATAAGTTAAAAAAAAGATGGATGGGCCACAAGTTGTGCTATATAAGTCCTTCAACATCTTGTTGTATTGGTTGAGTTCTGATTGGGCACAGTAGTACCACTGCCGTTTTTCACACATACCGTCTCTTTCTCTCATCATCAATCATCTAAAAGAAAAAACCCTAAAATATAATTTGTGAGCTTTTTACTCAGTTTCTCGCCATACCTATCTCATCAGCTTCTCCATATTCTTTCTCTATGGATTCTGACATAATGAACATGATAATGATGCATCAAATGGAGAAGCTTCCTGAGTTCTGTAACCCTAATTCCTCTTTCTTCTCTCCCGACCACAACAACAACACTTACCCTTTTCTCTTCAACTCAGCCCATAACCACTCTGATCACTCAACGACCAACGAACCAGGTTTCCGGTACGGTTCCGGTTTAGTCACTAACCCTTCTTCTCTCGCTCCCGCCAACACAGCCTACTCTTCCGTTTTGCACGACAAAAGAAACAACAACAATAACACGAACATGGCGGCGATGCGAGAGATGATCTTTCGAATCGCCGTGATGCAACCAATACATATCGATCCCGAGGCGGTGAAGCCACCGAAGAGGAGGAACGTCAGGATCTCTAAAGATCCACAGAGCGTGGCTGCTCGTCATCGAAGAGAGAGGATAAGCGAGAGGATTCGGATTTTGCAACGGCTTGTTCCTGGTGGCACCAAAATGGATACAGCTTCGATGCTCGACGAAGCTATTCATTATGTGAAGTTTTTAAAGAAACAGGTGCAGTCTCTGGAGGAGCAGGCCGTGGTTAACGGCGGAGGAGGAGGTAAGATTTTGATCGGCGGCGGTGGAATGACGGCAATGGCAAGTGGTGGCGGCGGCGGTGGAGTGGTTATGAAAGGGTGTGGAGCAATGGGGACTCGTGGGATGGTGGGCAATGCACAGATTCTTAGATGATGATGCTTTTTAATTTTTACTATTATTATATTGATGTCCGATAAAAAAATGATTCTAGGAAGAGGCGAAATTAATTTATATAGGAAAAAAAAGGAACTATATAAGAGTCTTTTAACTTTATTTTTCCTGTTTTGGATTATGTGTGTGATCGTTTTAATGTCAGAATCTCCATGGGTTTGGAGTGAGTTGTAAATCAGGAACTACTATCATCGGATCTTTGTTAATGAAATAATTTAATGATTAGATGTTTTTCAGCTTCAGGCTTGTTTGTGATAGTTTTTGTTGTCTGGCTAAATACTGTTTTCACCATGCTAAATACCTGTATTCGATTATTTACTAAATCCAAATGTTTGTTTCAAGTACTACTGATCACTCTTGTCAAACTAAAGGGGACTACTTCTCATTAGAGGTCCTTCGTGTTTCCTTAATTTATAGTTAAATTTATTTTATACTCTACAGTTTCTAATCGAGATTTTTGTTAGAACTTTTACATATACTAAAAAAGAAATTGTTTGTTGAAATTGTTTGGTCATTTGAACATTTTAGGTGCTGTGTTTTCTTTGAGGACCCAGAAAGATATTATATTGGATCAGTTCAAAACAAAGTAGCCCGAATATCACTCTGAAAGTACTTGAAACAACCTCAGCTATCACAAAGCCCATTAGATGACAAGTAGCAGCTTATGTAGCCCAGTAAGATAGCCCGGCCCATTAATCTATCGTAAATCAGGATGATAGATCCAACGGGGTTCAAAACCAATCAATCATTTCCCACATATGATCTTATCCTACACCGTGTCCCACCAGATTACTCATCGTCACGCACCCGAAAAAGCCCTCACGAAGGTCGAGGTCCATAAATGGCGCATTAACTAGAAACCCCCAAAAGAAAGCGAAGTTTCACAGCTGTAAAACCCAATCACCTCTTCGCATGTGACTTGTAGGACTCTCTACTCTCTCTTCTTATTTTCTTCTTCCTCTTCGCTTTCGTCTCCAACATCGCAATGGCAGCTCCGTCTCTGAATCTCCTCCTCATCCTTGTCTCTCTTGTCTTCATTTCACTCCCGCGATCTGAATCTCTCCCCGAAAATCCATCCCTGATTCTTCTAGGCGACGGATTCGGCTGGCCCATCTCTCACGGCGACCCGTTCGACGTCGACGGAGATGTGAAGGAAGAAGACGACGTCGGTGGCGCAGATCGACGGTCATTGTACTGGCAGAGGAGGAAATACTACATCTCGTACGGTGCATTGTCGGCGAATCGAGTCCCGTGTCCTCCCAGATCTGGAAGATCGTACTACACTCATAACTGCTTCAGAGCCAGAGGTCCGGTGCATCCGTACCGTCGAGGCTGCTCGTCGATCACTCGATGCCGGCGATAAGAGGAAAAGAGTTTGCTCTATCCCCCATGGGTATTTTCGTAATTTAGTTACCACGGACTCTGTTTGTATTTGGAGTGTGTTCGATCTATTGTGTAAGCCTAGATTACTCCTGATTAAGTTTGCCCCTTTTCAGATACTTCCAATTAATATGTAATCAAAAGTGTGTATGGTAATTACTGAGGTCATGAGAGGTGGATTGGTAATTTGAGATTGGTCTTGCGTTTTTTGTCGGTGGGTTTTAAAACATTTTTTCTTTTCTTTTCTTTTTGTACTGTCTTGTATGAAGCTTAAATCCGGGAATCACATGTATTTGGATTTATCTGAGTCTGTTAACGTTCAACCTTTCCAATATAAAGTTCGAATGTGGTTTTCATTCGATTGTTGGTCGTTAGCTATTATTGGGCAGTTGCATTATTGGGCCGTTTCTTTTGGCCCAATTTATGAATTCGGACCGTGGGTTTTGGACCTGTCTTAAGATTATAGTTGTAGACTTGTAGTCATTACTTCATTATCATGACGTTCCATGAGAAGAACGCAAATTATTAGGTATAATAAACTGTACAAGGTACCACAAAATCATATAACACACACGTGTAATAAAACTCTTCCTATCGTGAATAGTCAAGAGACGGCTTTGTTCGTTTAAAGTCCTAAAAATTGAAAGATAAACAAAAAGGATTTGGATTTGGACATTTGGTATATGTTTTAGGATGGCCTTTGACCCAACTTTATAGTTGAAATTAAAAAGAACATGTGTGTAAATTGAAATGCATGAACTTGCGTTCGGCGGCTGAATATGCGTTTGGTTTTAGATGACCGTTCTCGCTTTGATAAAAAGATTAATTGTACTTGTTTTATAAGATAAAATATATTTAGGTTGACTTTGTATATAGACGAAAACGGGATTATGAAATGATAAAAGGGGGTGATTTGACGTTGCCCTCTCCTCGTTCAAAGGGGTCAATCTAAAATTCCAAATTAGGCGGAATGTTCCAAAACTTTGGATTGTGAATATCTTCAAAGGACCCCTATTGACTTTCCTACATGGTTAAATCCACTTGGATCTCAAAAGTTATTGAATTCGAACGTGGAACTAACCACCTATTCTGATTCAAGTTGTTGATCCTCTCTCTATGGTTTGGGCCGTTTGGCAATTGGCACTAGGGTTTAATCTCTCGATCCACTCTTTCTCTAGCTTTTTGAAAAAAAAAATCCTCAATTGTTTTACTCTGGCTTTCTTTTGTTTAAAATTTTGAAACAATAGCATGTCAATGTAAAGAGGTTTTATGTTTTGTTGAATAAAATTTTACCTTACCCCAAAAAAAAAGACTTGTGTATGAACTCAAAACCAATATAATAGTTTGCAGTGGTACGAGAAAAGCGTCCAACAAATATAGACACAAATTCTACTTGGAGCAACGCATTTTACAGTATATATATTATGCGATATACATATATTGAAATATTGAGGAGTTACATATATAGATATATATATGTGTGTATCATGCGATATACATATATTGAAATGTTGAGGAGTTAAGATCAATAACTATGGTGTTTTATTAAATGACGCTTGAAAAGTTTGTGGATAGATTAAGTATATACTACAACTTTCCTACAGTGAATCAGTGATACAGAATAAAGTTATTTTATTGTGGTACCACACCGTATATTAAAACTTAAAAGTTCAAAGTTGAAATTATCTATATTTGTAGGTGATGCCTCGCGAACTACTGGACACACGCAGCAACAATTTAATAAAACTAAGTTGTTAAGGGCACTGCCAAAAATGCGAAACTATATGATGAAACCTCCAAGAAATACACTGTGGGCCGCCGTATTGTTTTCTTTGTTATAAATTAATTTATTCCGGAATCAATTAATAATTTAATACCAAAAAAAAAGGGATAGCAACTTTCACTTCCTCGGATTCAGTGAATCCTCCAAGTCGCCTGGGCGGTGTTGTTTCATATCCATTAACCTTCACCTTTCACTGCTATCTAATCCAACTATATATCCAAGAAATATATAAGATAATTAAATTTTGAATAAATGTATCTATCTCTATTTTCCTTTAGTCGTTTCTGTATACGCCATAGTTACACTTATCGTCCGATCTTGTGTGACGAACTCAAGATTATCACGTAAGCAATTTATTTCATACGGAGTATGTTGTTAGTCTTTTTACTATCATGCATATGATTACATTTCTTTTTTAACTAGTACATTATACTCAAACTACAATAGTTTTTTTTTTTAATAGCTAAGCAACTTGTAGTAGTCAAGAAGACAGGCTCGTAGAGATCGCAAGTCGCAGATCCACCCAATCTAATGGCTAGGGATCACGCCCATGTGACCCTCTCTTACAATATATTCCCATAAATAATTGAACTTTAAAACCGAAAAATTATTAAAAAAAAAACGAAAACCATCAGAATATATGATTGGTTATATGACGCCTTTTGGCTTTTGAATTTTATCAGCTTTCGTATTTAACTTCTAGGTTATAAATTTTGTTGTGTTAGTTTAAAAAAAAAAAAATAGATGAAGGAACATGGAAGCATGTGACGGTAAAGGAGTTACCTCCAATGGTGGAGTTCTCATTTTTGAGTTTTAAACAAAGAAATATTAATATTATAATAAAGTATAATTATTCAGTTAAATTTTAATTCTAAAAACTAATGAGAAGGTCACAAGTGTAGAACCTCTAAAGAATGAGGTTCTCAAATAAGAGTTTTAAGGATTGGTTCTTATTCTCTAATTAGTTTTTGATTTATTTTTAATCCCTTAAAATCTAAAAAAATTTCTAAAAGCCTCCCATTGGAGGTGCTCTAATGACTTTTGTAACTGCTTACGATTTGCCAAATAACTTTCTATTCTTCATTCAACTTGTCTGCGTCTCGATGTTCGTCAGGCTCTGTTATAACGTCGTCTAATATCTATTCCTATTACAAAAATATCACAGTGAACAATTATATTTAATAGAAATATAATATAATTGTTTATGTTTTGAACAAAATAAAATTCAGAGCCGCCGCAACTTGCGAAAGTCTGTTGGGCTCGAATGACTTTTGTACGAAGCACCCCTTCCCACTCCCGCGCTTTTCTTGGGCATTTAATTGATTTATCCCATTTAACTGTTATTACAGATTTAGATGAAAAATAACAAGGGAGGATTGCTCTTGTAACCTAAATGTTAGATGAAATTATTAAAATAATCTAACACTTTCAAAATAATTAGAACAATTTTCCTTTTTCGAAAAACCCCATCTTACTCTTTAGAAGCTTTGATGACAAAAAACGTATTTACCGAAATGCCATTACTATTTTATTTCCACGTCAGCACAAAAAAACACGCGCTGAAAATTAAGTCTACCATCCTTTATAATAGATTTAAAATTTTTGATAGATTTATCCAAAAATTGGTAGACATAATTTTTGGATAATAGATTTGTTACGATGTTGGTAGATTTGTTAGATGTCGGTAGACATATGTTGATAGAGTTATTTTTATCGTTTGGTAGAGTTAATTTTGTTGATAGACATATTTGATTTTTGGTAGACATATATGTCTTCAAAGTAGATTTATTTTCGGGTTGGTAGATTTAGTGATTCTAAGTTGACTTTCAGAAGTTTTATTGACCTGAATTGGTAGACTTGTTACATCTAATGATAAACTTGTTTGTCATGAAGATAGACTTATAGGAGAAGATATTAAATCTATTACATTGTTATTTTTTATATTATGATAGAGTTGTTTTATTCATGGTAGACTTAATAAAAAATAGTAGACTTATTATGGAGAAGTAGACTTATTTTGAGTTAGGTAGACTTATAATTCAGTAAAAGACTTTAGATGTGTGATAGATATATTTGATTATGTAATAGATATATTTGATATCGATAGACATATTGTCCAAAAAATAGATATATTTGCTAGTATAATAGACATATTCTTTTTTTGGAAACATCGATGTTGGTAGACTTATTGAAATTTTGATAGAGATATATCGATAATGAAGGGTAGACTTAATGCTGTGAAATGACAACTTTGTCCAGCAGTTATTATCGAATTTGCTGTTCCAACCACCGCATCCAATTATACTAGGGTACACGCCGCCATCATTTTCGTCAGTGATTTGCCTCTCTTTGCCTCTTTTGCTTTTTTTTCTTTGTACCTCATCCTCTATCATGTCTTCTTCATGCATGGTCGAGATTTTTTTAGTGTGTGGGAAGTGGGAATTCGCAAAAACTCGATATTTTTTCTTGGTTGATAAGAGTAAAGGATGTCGAGTTGTAGCTGTTGATCGGGAAATCGAGTATGGAGATTTTCGACAAGTCGTCTACGAAGATCTGGGTTTAGATCAGCGTCGTTATGATATTCAATTCAGCTATATGCTCTCGAAGAGATCGAATGACAAGCTACCGAAAGATACACCGCGGGTGTTTGTAGGTAATCCTCGACTATTTGCCGTGTTTTTGCGTCACTTTGAAAACGAGACGATCCGTCTATGCGCCGAGATTACTTCGAAGGCGTCAAGAGAATATAAGGAGAAAGAAGATGCTGATGAGCTGAATGAAAATAGATCTAACGAGTTCACCGAAGAAGACAACGAAGACGATCAAGTTGACAAATATGATGAAGATGATCAAGAAGAAAGGTTCGACAATTGCGATGATCCGGATGGTGCAAGCTCTAGTGACGAAGATTATGGTTTGTGTGGGAAGCATTCTGAAGATGAAGAAGACATGCAAAATCTGCCACCAAAGAAACGCGGTTCAGCAAGAATGGATGATTTTGTGGAGATGGAGATGAAGTCTATGGAATTAGCTGTTGGGCAATGTTACGAGACCAAAGAGGAGTTCGAAACGAGATTGAAGATTTATGCAGTTGCAAACAAAATGGACTACGACGTCGGATACTCAACACCGACGTTATTGACGGTTAAGTGTTGGGTGGGAGGATGTAAATGGAGGGTTCGAGCTTCCTCGGTTGGAGATAGGCCAGAGTTCTATGTGAAAACTTACTATGGTGTTCACACATGTTCGATCACAATGCGGTCTTCACGTGCCCGACAAGCAACACCGGAGATATTAGCACGTCTTTACAAGAATTTCGTAGGGGGTGTAGGGAACACCATAACCCCAAATCACGTATCTGATGCTCTAACCAAACGTTATGGAATCAAGGTAAGAGATAGAATGGTAGACTTATAACTTTTTCTGATAGAGTTTCAATGTAGTTTAATAGATATGTTCAGTTTCGATGGTTTTTAGATAGATTTATTCTTTACTTTTTTAATAGATTTTTTTCAATAGTTTGGTAGACTTATCGTGTATCATATTATAGGTCGAATATTGGAAAGCTTATCGTGTATTGAAGTATGCGTGATACAATACAAGTCTATCATTCATTTATATCAACGAACCTCAGAAAATCAGAAAAACTCCCATACGTGATACAATACAAGTCTATCATATACAACAATAAGTCTATCATATTCAACGATACAAGTCTATCAAATATAATATATACCAGATACTTCAAAACTAGTCTACCAAACCCCATCACTTAAGATATATCACCTAAGTTTATGAAAACTCACCTGCAATCCTTCGACAATCCGCCGTTGGAACCACCGCGGAAAAACTGTTTCTTGCAACACCAAAAACAATTAGGGTTACAGATTTCCTCACCGCCGTTGGTCCGTTCTCGCCTATATGCTCTCGCCAAAAGCCGCAAAGACGGAGAACAGTGACAGATGCGAAGACCGCAAAAGGAAATAACGAAATACAAATGAAAAGGAAAAGAACGACTTACCGGAGATGACGAAACACCGGTAAGAACACCGGAGGAATGCAGACAAACTAAAACACCGTGGATCTGAAGAATCTTTGTCGTCGTCGTCGTCGAAGAAGGAGGAGGGGGAGAGAATCGAAATCGCCACTAGGGTTTACTCGGGGGAGGGAAATAAACTAAAATGACCCTTTATTTTCCCTCCATCAATTAAATTCCCTTATATTTTCGAATGTTTTGTATTTTTTTGTATAATTGTGTATATATATATTTATGTATATATTGTATATCTGTGTATAATTATGTATTTACGAAATTTTAAAAAATTCAACAAAAACAGTTTTTTTGATGTAAGGGACCTTGCTGTCTTTTCCATGCAGGTAAGGTTAGTGTAGCAAAAATGTAAGGAGGCTAGGTTACATGAGCAAACTGACCACTTTGTAAAGTCATTTTAGTCAATCTTCTCAAATAACAATTTAAAATTTTAGTATATCAAACGTTAATGTTTTTGTAGTATGATTTTATGAAGTCATGCCCATAGGAATCTAGACTTGAGCAGGCAAGTTGGCCATGAAGTAATAAATACATAAAATATTTTTTTTGGGAGAGGGGGGGGGGGGGGTTAAAGTACATAAAAGCATCGTATATATATAGATGTGAAATAATCATTTAATAATGGTGATTGGAATTTCTTCTTTTTGCTTTTATGGAGGGCCATGACAATCAGCTGCGTTAGTATTGGGAATGGTAAATTTTAAACAGCAAACTCAACTATAAACTGACATGTAGAAAAAAAAGATATGAATCAAAGTTTTTTTTTTGGTGTAAATAATCAAGTATTTGTGTTAATATGTCAAATGTAATTAGAATTATCATTCAAGCCATAGAATGCATGTTGGTGAAGAGAAAACCAAAGTTTACATCCTATGCGTTTATACAAAGCAAAACAAATACATCAAGCCGTAACTAAACATCTAAATATACTATATATACAATGTAAACTAAATGTATTCAGTTATTTAATATGGTTAGAGCTTTCATTTTAGTAGATATGGTTTTAGGCTTACACCACACGTAATTTCTACGACTGTTACCAACTGTTTATTTCTTAATGGTAACGATGTTGATTATAAAAAATAAATCAAGGATAAGATGCCAATAATTTGTGTTACAGATGATCAAACTCTATGATCTAATTCGTTATGAATTATGATCCTAAGAACAAAATATACAAAAAAGGAACGAGCTCCAAGTTTGTCTAAGAGTTTATTTATTTATTTTATTATTAAGAGAAAAGACCGAATATGAAACAACAAACAAAGCAGCCTAAAATTTAATTCCAAAAACAAAAGCAACCTCAAATTAGAATTCCATTTTGCGGCTTCTCGCAGTTACTGCCCGTAATTAGAGGCCGATTAGTAATGCACTTAAGCGATATTTAAGAGACATAGCGGCGGAAATATCGTTAAAAAAAAGATATATATGTGAAAAGTGTATTCCAACGGATACAAGTTTACAAAGCCAACTTGCTATATTTATATTATCAATGGTCCAAAAAGAATGCCTAGCTACCTGTTGTATATTGGTCGAAGCATATTGGTAATTGATTGGCCATGATTTTAACTACATGCAAATCGCATTAGTCTGTTTATATGTATCTCTAATTTGACAACATTCATGAGATCGGGGTTCATCAATTTATTACTATATATTTCTTGAAGAACTTTGTTAGAAATTAGCGGGAACGAAATGTAGACGACGTAACTAAATAAAATAATAAAAATAAAATACCATTTATTAGTAATTTGTAGATACGAGAACGAATCGTGTGATTATAGTGACAGCTACGAAGGAGTGGCATAGGCGAGGAGTTATATTCTATGCCTATTAACACAAAATATGAAATGAAAGGAGGTGAGTCCAGAGCAGAGGCGAAGAAAAGAATATTATGGGTCTGTTCTTTTCTTTCCCGCAGCGTCTACGTTAGAGTAAAATGGCAGTAAAACGGTTACGACGAAGAGTAAAACGGCAGTAACATGGTTACGAAGAAGATAAAATTGCCACCAAAGATGATCGCAGGTGTTGATGAAGATGATCGCAACAACTCCGCTGGAATTTGAGGCGTCATTTTTAGGTGATGCGGTCACTGTTGCGACACCACCTGCGACATCTCCTTTTTCCAGCACCAGTTCCACCATCGTCGTTTTACTTTGTTACGTATTACGGTCATTACCATTTTAATTTGACGCTGATGCAGACGCTGCGGGAAAGGAAAGAACAGACCCTATCTATATACAGAGTTACAATCGGTAACATATGAATACTAAATCATACAATTTCCATTCAAATACATATATTCACATCAAAATATTGATTTTATTGTCTATATTCCCAGGTAATACGTTTTCGATATTTTGAATAATATCTCAAGCAAGGATAATTTAGTGTTCTGAAACCTATATGAGTTACACAACTTGATTTTCAACGCAAAATTAAAATAAACTGACTATTCTCATAGCAAATATAACGATTCTTTATCTCATTCAAAATCAAACATGTTACTAATTTACTAGTGGTAGAGAAAAAAATATCTACCTCGTGTGGAACAGAGATACGATATGATATTGCGATATTCAAGTTTATTTATTAACTTTTAAACACGATATACTGATATTCAAAGTCTTTGCACCAAAACATTAGTCGTGAGATAATATTTATTTATTTGTCCAATCTAGTAATAATAAAATATCATGTAGCTTTAATATTTCCTTTTGTTAACAGCCCAACAATGAATAAAAATCTGCTCTTGTCACGTGCATTAATTACATCCCGAAATTCAGACTTTACAAATTTAATTATATTAATAAAAAAGTTTGAGTAACCCCAAGTTGTTTCCTTTTTTTGTATGGAAAAAAATACTCAGTATATATTGAAGAACTCGCACCAGCAGGAACCATTAACCGTCACGAGCTATCGTTCTCTGTTTCTTTCTTCTTTCTTTCTCTATAGTTTATACCCTCTTAGATATTCAATCCTAAATCAAGTTTGAATAAAAAGCGAATTTCTAAAATTGTTTGAAATTCTCTCAAAAATCCCGTCAGAGTTTTGCTTCAATGGAGTGGGTTCGAGGAGAAACAATCGGATACGGAACTTTTTCAACGGTCAGCTTAGCGACACCGTCTAATAACGATTCCGGCGAACTTCCTCCGTTTATGGCCGTGAAATCGGCAGACTCGTACGGCGCTGCTTCGCTAGCCAACGAAAAATCGGTTCTGGATAAACTCGGAGACGACTGCGACGAGATCGTACGGTGTTTAGGAGAGAATCGGACGGTCGAAAACGGCGAAGAGATGCATAACCTGTTCTTAGAATACGCTTCGAGAGGAAGCTTAGCGAGCAATCTCAAGAAATTAAACGGCCAAGGCCTACCGGAATCCACCGTGCGTCGCCACACAGGATCGGTGCTCAGAGGTCTACGACACATCCACGCGAAAGGATTCGCTCACTGCGATTTAAAACTCGAGAATATTCTGTTGTTCGGTGACGGCGCCGTTAAGATTGCGGATTTTGGATTAGCGAGGGGAACGGAAGAAGTAACGGCGTCAATCGGCGAAGGAGTGCAGATTAGAGGTACGCTGTTGTATATGGCGCCAGAATCCGTTAACGATAACGAGTACGGATCAGAAGCTGACGTGTGGGCGTTAGGATGCGCCGTAGTTGAGATGTTTAGTGGGCAAACAGCATGGAGTTTTAAAGAAGGATCGAACTTCATGTCGTTGTTGATACGCATCGGTGTTGGAGACGAGCTTCCGATGATTCCCATGGATTTGTCGGAACAGGGAAGAGATTTTTTGTCAAAGTGTTTCGTTAAAGATCCCAAGAAGAGATGGACGGCTGAGATGCTTCTAAATCATCCATTCGTAGCCGTCGATCTTGATACCGACGGTTCAGAAGAAGCTTTCGCTGTTCAACCGAAAACAGAGGACGTTTCGACATCGCCCAGATGTCCATTCGAATTTCCCGACTGGGTTTCGGTTTCTTCCGGTTCACAAACGCAATTCGATTCGGCGGAGGAGAGAGTTGCAAGTCTGGCGACTGATTTGATCCCTGACTGGTCCGTCGTCAATAACTGGGTCACCGTAAGGTGACGGTAGTGATTAAAAAAAAAACAAAGTTGTAAGGCTAGAGCTTTTTTTTATTTCTAGTCAGATCCAACATTTCCAATTAATTTCGTTGTAGAAATATTTGTTTAGAGAAAGAAATTATAGTACATATTTGGATACCAATTCTTGTATTCTTGAGCCCTGAACATTAGTATATTGAAAAACCAATCTTTGTATTGAATAACCTCAATCTTATTCTCTTTCTCCACTCTCTAGGACGAATGTGAATCTCGTAAAAATCGGATCTTTAAGCACAATCACACAAAATAAAGTATAATCTAAAAGAGAAAACAAAAACAAATTGTTTAAAAGTATATAGATATTAAGACTCTTGGACAAGGCTCGTGGCCACCACAATACAACTTACTTCAGACTTAGTTTCTTCGTCATCAACCCAACTCACCAATCCATAAACCACATTCTCTTGCAACGCTCTTGGAGTCTCCAATCTGACAGTGTAGCTTTGCTTCTCGTTTTTCTCGCTGAACATTAGTCTCTTTGGCTCTACGACGACATTTAGACCATTCAAGCCTCTCACTTTCACGCTATAGCTTCTCTTAGCTTCTCCCACGTTTGTCAACGTTCTTCGAAAGATCTTGGAACCGTTTTGATCCGACGTGAAGTAGACAATGATTGAAGGGTAATTGAGATATGGAGATGGGTTTCTGCACGCGTCGGAAATATTTGATCTTGTGATAATATTTATCAATTTTCTGGACTGTTTTGCCTCGTGACAAAGGAAGTTTATAAAACCTTGTGGAGTTGCATCATAGATTAAGCCAGGGTTCAAGACTCTGTTCGTATTCATGTGTCCTGCTCCTACGGCTAAAGGGTTGTCTAAAGTCAAAGCCGTTGTCATAATTGCAGATTTAATAGCCGATGGACTCCAATCTTGATGGACTTGTTTTATAAGCACAGCGACTCCAGCTACATGAGGTGCAGCCATTGATGTCCCGGTTAGTAGATTGAATCCGCTGAATAACGGTCGTGTTCGAGTTCCCGCGACTGGCTTAACCGGTGGCCAAGCGGAGAGTATTAGAGTCCCCGGAGCTAAAATGTCCGGTTTGAGGATTTGGGGGAAGCTTGTGAACGGACCTCTGGAGCTGTAACTGTCTACTCCCGGTGCTGGTTTTTCCCCCATTACTGTTTTTCGAAACTCTAGCTTTGCGGTTGCATTATTTTTGTTGCTTGATGCGTAGCTTTGTATAGTTTCTCTGTGTTTTGAGCTGATGAATGCTACTGGAAACTGGAATTTGACAGTGTCTTGTTCTGCAAGTAACCTATCTGTTATTAGAACTGCTGCTGAAGCTCCGGTAGATTTGGCTTGTTGTAGTCTGCTTCCTATGTTTAAATTTTCGTTACAGATAATGATTCTGTTCACAAGAGTCTTGTTGCCTACATTGCAAGATTCGAGGTACGTTACAGGAAACAGAACGGACGGGAAGTCTCCAGGAAACAGAGACGGAAAATTAAAAGTAACTCCGTTTCCTAGCGTTAAGATTCCTTGAAATTGTCGTCCGATTGTTCCCGCTCCAACCGTCATCATCCACGGTGCTCCGTTAATCAAACTCCAGTAATACGGCCCGTCGTTACCACCGGAAGCAACAACGAAAACGCCTTTTTGAATCGCTGCAAACGCTGCAACAGCGATTGGATCATCTTCTAGACCCACATCACCATCGTCGTTGTCAATGCTTAATCCCAGCGACAGTGATATCACATCGACTCCATCACGAATCGCTTGATCAATCGCTGCGATTACGTCTGATGAGTAAATCCCTTCTTCCCAAGCTGCTTTATACATCGCTATATGCGCGTGCGGTGCGATTCCTGAAGCGGTTCCATGCGCGTAAGAGAAGTACGACGCGTTCTTAACGTGATTTCCAGCCGCAATGGCCGCAACATGAGTGCCGTGTCCGATTGTATCGTAAGGGGAAGAGTAATGATCAATCTTGGTTCCTCTGAGATTAGGGTTGTTGGCGAACAAACCCTCATTGAAAACCCTAGCACCGATTAGTTTCTTGTTGCACGAGGAAGACGTATTGAATTCACATTTCCCTTTCCATCTAGACGGAACCGAACCAATCCCATCGTCGTGAAAGCTGGGACTATCAGGCCAAATTCCGGTATCGATTATACCGATTACCGTACCGACTCCATAATTCGAGACCGGCCATGTACCGGAATTTGAATCGAGACCGATGAATTGTGGAGAGAAAGTGGTATGAAGCTTAACCGGTAAATCTTTGGTGAATGAGACATACCCGGGTTTGTGTTGAAGACGTTGGAGCTCGGAGTCTGTGAGAACCGCGCTAAACCCGTGGATAGAATCGGTATAAGCATAGAGAATCTTTGGTTTTCTACCGGTTATAACCGAAGTAAGAGTTGTGGAAAACCAGCTCTGGTGATTGGAAAATGGCAATGGTTTGGCGGATAAGTCCATGTGGATGATGTATGTAGAGGTATCTGTTGTTGCAGTGGCCATGAAGAAAGAGGTGATCAGAAGAATCACGACGGGGATCGCCATGTCTAAAAGCACAGCTTACTTTCTTCGGAGAGAATTTATTTTGGTGTTAATTTAGTTAAGAAATATTTAGTTTTCAAGTATATATGACACAAAAGTTGGAGAGATTGTAACCTTTGCTTCTCTTTTGCTTTTGTTAAAGCGTATTAGGTGGTGCCGTGGTGGGCAACAGTACACATCTCATCATTGTTTCTTTGAATTTTGTTTTTGGGTTTTTTCTTCTCTTTCTAATGGGCTTTATCTAACAGAAAATAAAGCCCATTAATTGCTAGATAAAGCCCATTAATATTATGCCAGTCAGGCTTGAGACGTTTATCGGACTCGAATCTCGCAGATGGATGGCGCCAAAATTCAATGGATTTTCCCGCCATCTCTGTCGATCAATCTATATGTAAAACCTAAAAATTAGCCGCTCAGCTCCGCGAAACCCCAATTGGTCGGAATTGAAAAAATGTCCGGTGATGATTCGACGGAGGGTGGCCGAAGACGCAGGCGAGGCCCGGAGTCTTCGAATCGGAAGGATGGCCTTGACCGGCTGAAGGCGATTCGGGAAGGGGGGCGTCGGCGATCTGGTGGTGGGTACGATATTAAGTTGCAGGAGCCGATTTTCGATACAGTTGATGAAGAAGCGTACGATGCACTTGTTTCTCGGCGGCGCGAGGAGGCTCGCGGGTTTGTAGTCGACGATGGGGAAGATGGCGATCTGGGATATCACGACGGGGGTGAAGAGGAGGATTTTTCTAAGCCCAGCGGACCAGAGTCGACGGATGAATCGGACGATGGTGGTGGGTTTAGCGGGAGGCTTAAAAGGAAGAGAAGCGAGAAGAAGAAAGGAAAAGAAGAAGCCCAGCAACCTCAGGTTAAGAAGGTGAATCCGTTGCTTAAGGCTGCGGCTACTATTACAGGTGAAGGGAGACTTTCGTCGATGTTCACATCTTCGAGTTTCAAGAAGGGCAAAGAGACTGATAAGGTGAAATGTGAGGGTATCCTTGACGAGGTGTTATCAGAAGTTACTCCAGACGATATGGATAGAGAAAGGCATAAGAGAAGGAAACAACCAGCTACAGTTCCGATTACTTTCTGCAGGAACAAAAATCAGGTTTCTGTTAACTCGAGCATGGGAATGCAGGTTCCAGAACCCACACCCTCAATTTATCAGAGTGATTGTGTTTTCATGGAGAATGAGTTGATGAAAGAGGAAGATATGACAGAATCTGAAGTCATCCCGCCGCGTAATTCTGATAATATGGACTTACGGGGAAGCGATAGTGTTATTGAGGATGGGGACAAGGTGAAGACCGAGTCAGTAGATAAGGGGGTATTTACATTGAATGCAACCACTGATATGAAAGAGAAGGATTCAGCTTTAAGCGCCACTGCTGGTTGGAAGGAAGCGATGGGCAAAGGTGGAGGTGAGAATGGAGATCCAATTGGTTCTACTTGTGAAAGGCAAACGGAATTTGATGTGGATGCTGAAGGATCACTTCGTTTTTACATTCTTGACGCTTACGAGGAGGCTTTTGGCGCCAGTATGGGCACAATATATCTGTTTGGGAAGGTGAGTCTCTTGGGATTTTTACTCATTTTCTTCTTCTTGAAAGTTGTTATTTGGTGCTCTGGTTTATCTAGAGATGAATTCGGATACCTCTTTCCAACAATTCAGGTTAAAATGGGAGATACGTACAAGAGTTGCTGTGTGGTAGTTAAGAACATCCAGAGATGTGTTTATGCTATTCCAAATACTTCCATATTTCCTTCCCATGAACTAATCATGCTCGAGCAAGAGGTGAAAGACTCGAAACTTTCTCCTGAATCCTTCCGCGGGAAGTTACATGTGAGCTTGGCTACTTGTTTTACATGCTTAGAGGAAGCAATATCCTTTCCTCTGTTATTTATTGGTTTTGGCCGTGTCTTCTCAGGAAATGGCATCAAAACTGAAAAACGAAATTTCTCAGCAACTGCTACAACTCAATGTTTCAAATTTTAGCATGGCGCCTGTTAAGGTTTGGATATTGACTTATTTTTCATGTATATTAGCAGCAATACTATTTTTTGACTCTCAAATCTGCTCTATATGGATGCATACCAGAGAAGCTATGCTTTTGAGAGGCCTGATGTGCCTGCTGGCGAACAATATGTTTTCAAGATTAATTATCCATTTAAGGTACAATTTCAGATGCCCAAAAGAAAACTAAAATTTTTGTTTCTTAAGTTTCTTACATCTCAATACAACTCTATGTCACTTTTCCTTTGTTATCACAGGATCCTCCACTTCCAGAAGATCTGAAAGGGAAGTTTTTTTGCGCTTTGCTCGGGTCTCATACCAGGTTCTAGCTCTTACTGCTGAATTTCATTACCTTTCTCTGAATTTGGTTGTTGGTCAGTCAAGTTTGCATTTACTGTCTTTTGTAAGCTTCTTAGTTAACTACCAATGCCGGCTATGTCAATTTTTCTGTGTTTATTAAGTTATTTTATATGCAGTGCTTTGGAGCTTTTTATCCTTAAAAGGAAGATCATGGGACCTTCATGGCTCAAAATTTCAAATTTCTCTACCTGTTCACCTTCTGACCAAGTAAGGCCTTAAAATAGTGCCATGGATATCTTACTAGTGATTTTGAGTTGTTTTTATCTCCAATAATGAGAGTACTTGACACTTAAGCAGGTAAGTTGGTGCAAGTTTGAGGTTACTGTTGAATGTCCCAAGGCTATCACTGTTTTAGTTGCGGAGGAGAAAGTGATTCATCCTCCTGCTGTCGTTACAGCCATAAATCTAAAGACTATAGTCAATGAAAAGCAGAACATCAGCGAAATTGTTTCCGCTTCTGTTCTCTGCTTTCACAATGCCAAGGTTTGTTCTACAACATTTGACCAATGCTTCTAAGCCGTTTTTTCTCTTTGTGAAGAATATGGATGTATGAGCATGACATTACTAATCACCGCTAGTTATTTGTACCGTGTGTTTTTGTGTTTAAGCTGGTTTGTGGACCTATTTTTCTTGCTCAAATGTCATGTCGACCTGAGTAGCTTGACTTTTGATGTGCGTGCTCCATGATATTTCAGATTGATGTTCCAATGCCAGGTCCAGAAAGAAAACGATCTGGTATTCTGAGTCATTTCACTGTTGTTAGGAATCCTGAAGGGACCGTAACCCCAATTGGTTGGAAAAAAGAAGTGGCTGACAGAAATTCAAAGAACGGCTGCAGTGTTTTGAGTTTTGAAATCAGGTATTTCGCAGCTCTGTTGCTGTATAGGCCGTGCTTATGATCCATATATATCTTTGGCAATTCATGTTGCTTCATCCAACATTTTTTTTCCTTTTCTTACTTCAGTGAAAGAGCATTGCTGGGCCGATTGTTTTCGGAGCTGTACAAATTGGACAGTGATGTTCTTGTGGGACATAATATATCAGGTTTTGATCTGGATGTCATTCTTCAAAGAGCCCAGGTAAAGCAAATACTCTTTTTACCATTAAGCAAAATGGCTGCGCTCTCGTAATTTTTTTTCCTATGATGTATGTTTTCATTTACACGCCGAGGATCTAAAATGTGCTCTGGAGGACGTGCTGTTATATTACTCGTATCTTTTTTTTTTATCTATGATGTGTTTTTTCGTCTTCTCTGTAGAAGTAACTTTTTCTATTTCTAGGCCAAGTAGATGATATTTGACATTAATAGGCCAGCAAGATTTTATCTTATGCAGTTTACATCCCTTAGTCCCTCAGTCTCTGCTGTTGTAAAGGTGACGTAACAGAGATATGAACATCGTCTCTCTTTTTCTGTATGCTGAATGATTACTGTGCAGGCTTGCAAAGTTTCGAGTAGCACGTGGTCCAAAGTTGGCCGTCTCAAACGCTCTTTCATGCCTAAGCTTAAAGGGAACACTAATTTTGGGTCAGGAGCTACACCAGGGCTCATGTCTTGCATTGCTGGAAGACTCTTGTGTGATACAGATCTATGTTCTCGTGACTTGTTGAAGCAGGTATGATGCTCAACTCTTTCAAGCAGTGAGCTGAAGCTCAGACCATCATGTATAAGTATCTGGTTCTTGCAGGTCAGTTATTCGTTAACAGACCTTTCAAAGACACAGCTGAACCGGGACAGGAAAGAGATAGCGCCTAATGATATTCACAAAATGTTTCAGTCATCCAAAACACTTGTGGAACTTGTAAGTTCTTCAGTTAGGCTACTCATGTTGTTTTATGCATATGAGTTTGTATCACTTCGTTAGAGGCGATAGGTTATGATTCTTGCAAAGGAAATAATTTAGTGCATACTGGAGAAGAATAATTGAATTGCAGATAAACATCAGTTGACGTAAGGTTGATGTATGATGAATGACTGCATCTTAATTACTTGCTTGTTAACCTTTTGGTTTTCATCGGTTCAGATTGAATGTGGTGAGACAGATGCATGGTTATCCATGGAGCTCATGTTTCATCTAAGTGTTCTTCCTCTCACTCTCCAGCTTACAAACATAAGTGGGAATCTTTGGGGGAGAACTCTTCAGGTAATGACTCCCGTTTCAGCCCTCCCCACTCTATCCGAGAAGTTATGCACTGGGGACTCATGGTTCTTTTTTTTGTTTGTTCATTACCAGGGAGCCAGGGCGCAGAGAATCGAATACTACTTACTACATACATTCCACTCGAAAAAGTACATTCTCCCGGACAAAATTTCGCAACGTATGAAGGAAATAAAGTCATCAAAAAGAAGAATCAATCATGGTCCAGAGAACCACAATGTAGATGAACTGGAAAATGATCCGTCTAAGGACAGCAAAACAAAAAAGGGTCCAGCCTACGCTGGTGGACTGGTCTTGGAGCCAAAGAAAGGCTTATACGACAAATATGTGTTGCTTCTTGATTTCAATAGTCTTTACCCTTCTATCATACAGGTTAGCAGACTGTTTTATATTTCTCAAGCCTTGGATGGTTGGTTCCTCTTGTTTTGTAGATAACGGTCATGGTAATTTCAGGAATATAATATCTGTTTCACGACTATACCACGATCAGAAGACGGAGTTCCTCGTTTACCTTTGAGTCAGACACCTGGAATTCTTCCAAAGGTATATTTACCATTATATTGTGACTTTTCTTGATTCCGTATAAATTCTCAATTTGTTATCGGTCTTCAAACACCTAATCAATAGGTTATCCCAACCTAATCAGAAATTAATAGAAATAAATAAAAGCTCAACAAACAAAAATAAAATTGTGCCCCATTTCGTTTCTTTTATCTCTCAAGGTGTATGCGGAAAATCCTTAGATTAATGTGACCTAGCTGTTCAGTATTGTATAACTGATTGCTGTTTTCTGTATTTTAAGTAAAATCATCTTGAAATCATCTTCTAAACCATTGCTCTGCATTTTTTGGTGCCACGAGTTTAATCTTTTCTCCTTGCTCTGGCTAATCATGAATCTCACTATATGTCTTTGTTTAGTTGATGGAACATTTGGTCAGTATAAGGAAAAGCGTCAAACTAAAGATGAAGAAGGAAACAGGTCTCAAGTACTGGGAGCTTGACATTCGGCAGCAGGCATTGAAGCTCACAGCTAATAGGTTTGTATTTATGGTTTCAGCTTGTGCCGGAAATAATGGGGAATCACTACTTTGATATTAATGTGTTTTTAATTCATTCTAACACAGTATGTATGGATGTCTGGGATTTTCTAATTCAAGATTCTACGCTAAGCCTTTAGCAGAGCTCATAACACTACAGGTAAGTTACGTTTTCTAGTGACAAATTTTTCTTTTTCTTTCTAATTCTTTGTGTGATCCGATTAATTTCCTAACATTGCAGGGCAGGGAGATCCTGCAAAGAACCGTGGAGCTTGTCCAGAATCATTTAAACCTAGAGGTATCTCCTATACTTTTAGTCCCACGAAATGTATTATAGTAGAGTAATTAATGTAATGTGTCAACATCTCTGCTTTATTAAATGTAGAGTTCGACATCTTGCTTTTACGCAGGTAATTTACGGTGACACAGATTCAATCATGATTCACAGTGGGCTTGACGATATTGAAGAGGTGAAAGCCATTAAGACAAAAGTCATCCAAGAGGTTGGTTGGATAATTTATTTGTCTCCAGCATTTCACCTTATGAAGCACCCTTAGTTCAAACCTTTCTATGAGTAAACCAATACGCATTAATTGTCTGTAACTTTGATGTTCGGTTTATAAAGTGGTATAACTGTTCTTGGTAAGAGCTTCCTGGAGCAAATTATAGGCACTCACTGTAAAAGCAGACATTTGATATGGGTCTCACCTTCTCTCTTTCAATTTCTAGGTCAATAAGAAGTATAGATGTCTAAAAATTGACTGCGATGGCATATATAAGAGAATGCTTCTTCTCAGAAAAAAGAAGTATGCTGCCGTCAAGTTGCAGTTTAAGGACGGGAAGCTTTGCGAGGTAATTTTTAATTTACACATTCTGACCTCCTTTTGTTTTAGAAAATGTTTGGTTACTAGTTGCATTTTCAATGCAGGACATTGAAAGAAAAGGTGTGGACATGGTTCGTCGAGATTGGAGCTTACTCTCTAAGGAAATTGGAGATTTATGCTTGGCTAAAATCTTGTATGGAGGGTATGTTCTAAAAACATTCACTACAGAATGTATATTGATTTACTCTCTCAAGCAAAGCACCACAAATGTCGTCTTCTTTGCAGGTCGTGTGAGGATGTTGTTGAAGCAATTCATAACGAACTTATGAAGGTAACCTTTGTTGATATTTTTAAAGTTTATCTTCTGTATCATCCTCTACAAGTTGCTTTGTCCATGTAACAGATAAAAGGGGAAATGAGAAATGGGCAAGTTGCACTTGAGAAGTATGTCATCACCAAGGCATTGACTAAGCAACCAGAAGCTTATCCAGATTCCAAAAGCCAACCACACGTGCAAGTGAGTATGAGAGCTATTATTCGTGCTTAATATTTTATACTTTTTTCACATTTTCACTGAATTCTCTGATTGTGCGGTTGAATCGTTCTTCCCAGGTCGCACTCAGAATGAGGCAACGTGGTTATAAAGAAGGTTTCAATGCTAAGGATACTGTACCGTATATAATCTGCTATGAACAGGTTCCCAGCACCGAAGACCAGCTTAATATTATCAGACGCCAAATCGTCTTTCAACTAAATCTTTTATCCTTCCTCTGTGCAGGGTAATGATAGCTCTGCCAGCTCAGCAGGAATTGCCGAACGTGCTAGGCATCCTGATGAGGTGAAATCAGACGACAGCAGATGGTTGGTTGACATAGATTACTACTTGGCACAGCAGATTCATCCGGTGGTTTCTCGTCTATGCGCAGAGATTCAGGGCACAAGTCCTGAGCGTCTAGCCGAGTGTTTGGGACTTGACCCATCAAAGGTAAAACCGCTTTCATTTAAGGCAATCTCCAATTCCATATCTGATGATCTCAGTCCATGATAATATGATATAATGATTGGAAGTAATTATTTTTTAATAGTACCGAAGCAGATCAAACGATGCTACGGGCAGTGATCCTTCTACATCCCTCTTATTTGCTACAAGCGATGAAGAAAGGTAATGCTTCTATGTGTAATTTACTACCATGCCTCCCTCCCTATAATATTTTCTTCTCCACGATTTACAATATTCTTAGAATTCACGATCTGCAACAACGTAAGTTACATGTAAAAAATGCAGATATAAAAGCTGTGAGCCGTTAGCATTAACATGCCCCAGCTGCTCTGCTGCTTTCAACTGTCCATCTATTACTAGTTCTGTTTGTGCATCGATCAGTAAGAAATCTGCAACACCTGAAACAGAGGAATCTGATTCTACATTCTGGCTTACGCTGCACTGCCCCAAATGTCAGCCAGAAGGTAGCGGGGGAAGAATATCCCCTGCAATGATAGCTAACCAGGTAGGCAAGCTGTGTTTAAAAGGATCCTAATTTCTCAGTTTCTCAAAAGAAAAACTCGGTCTCCTTCTGATTTGGTATGTAGAACAAATGCTTTGGTTATCAACTCATTCTCCTGCCTTTCAGGTGAAAAGGCAGATCGACGGGTTTGTGTCAATGTACTACAAAGGCATAATGACGGTACAATAACCCTCTTACTCACCTAGTTTATATCCATAATCTGAACACATGTCGTTATTAAGTCATGCTTATGATATTTTTTTATTGTACATTTTGCCTTCAATAGTGTGACGATGAATCGTGCAAGCACACGACTCGCAGCCCAAACTTCCGTCTGCTCGGTGACCGTGATCGTGGAACAGTTTGCCCAAACTATCCTAACTGCAACGGAACCCTCCTAAGAAAGGTAGATGCACTCATCGACGACCATATTAGAACTCTTGTATTTCTGTTGCTTCACAGAACAACTTCTGACTTGAAGCCGCGTCTTATTATAGTACACCGAAGCAGACTTGTACAAGCAGCTGTCATACTTTTGCCACATCTTAGACACAGAATGCTCTCTTGAAAAGGTTATTACATTACAATCTTTTTATATCAGTGATATCATGATCAGTTTGTGTTGTCTAATAACCTCTCCGCCATATGAAAGAGCAGATGGATATTGGTATCAGAATGCAAGTAGAGAAAGCAATGACGAAGATAAGACCTGCGGTTGAGTCAGCAGCGTCCATGGCCCAAAGTATTCGAGACCGGTGTGCTTATGGATGGCTGCAACTCACAGACATAGCCATTTGATAGTTGTAATAATCATCTCATGTAATTAAATCAGTCTCTCATACTATATTTTTTTGACATCATTATAATGAAAGTACTCGGTTTGGTTCAGTCCTAAAGTTTGAACTATAACTGAACTTTGTAATCTAACCAAATACAACACTCGAAAAGAACTTTTTTGACTCCGGATTCTGCGGCAGGTACTAAGAGGAAATCTGACCAGTTTGACGCCGAATCATCACATCACTGTTTAGGTGTTTTCTTGAAGCCGAGCAGCTGTAGAAAAGCACATTTCTTGGCTTGCTTCGGGTGGTTCACGGTGGTGAACAAGCGAGTGAGAACCACCAAGCAGAGTCTCTATGTTCAACTCTGGCTGTAAGGCCTCATCGACCCTTGTCTGTGTTGGTGGTATAACCGGTGGTAACCGCATGGGGTTTAGGCCTAAACCATTCATAACGGCTAAAGCCTGCATTATACAATCATTAAGTTGTGATCAAATGATGAGGTTTACGAAATTATAATTGTTGTATATGATCTTAGTAAGCCAAAAAGAACCTGAACTTGAAGTTGAAGCTGCTTCAGATACTCTATAGCTTCATCGAGCATTGAGGCTTTATCAGTCTACAAACGAAAAAACGAATCATTCACAACAATGTTGCTCAAGAACCTAAAAAAAAAATCGATCCAAAAGTTTCGTTTACCTTGTTGGAATTCGGTATCAGTTTCTGCAAAGCTTTCATTTTCTCGTTGATCTTGCTTCTCCTCCTCTGCCATATTTTCAGATTCTACTTATAAAAAAAATCTCATGGCTTTTTTTTTTTGGTTCTTTCTTTCTTTTTCAAATTAAGAATAAGGATAAAGAAAAAACCTTTTCAGACAAGTTGTGGAATTGTGTATCAATGTTTCTCTTCAACGAATTACTCTGTCTAGCTCCATTTCTCTTTAGTGTTGTTACCATTACAGAGGAAAAAAAAAAACAAATTTTGGTTTGTTTTTCTTTTGTTCTTATTCATCAAAGAAAAGAAAAATTGTTAGCTTACTTTGTTTTCGAAAGCATATTTTTTGTCGCCGGTTTCAGCGACTGCATAGCCTGCGGAAGAAACCGCTCCGGCGGAAACGAAAGGGAAGGATCGGTCGAACATTTCAGCGGAGGAAACGATTCTCTTCGGTGGGGACGAAGGTTGAGCTGTCGGAGTACGGGACAAAATCTGCCGGAGAATGCTCGAGAGTTCGTCGGAAGAAGATGGAGGAGGAAGACGATCACCATCGTCGGAATCACCCATTTCTCTCTCTCTCTCTCTCTCTCTCTCTCTCTCTCTCTCTCTCCCTCTCTGCGTAAATCCTCACTAAGTCACTGAGGCTTTTCGTAATAAAGATTCGTACTTCATAGGCGGGTAGGTCTGCGCGTGGTTTACGCGCTTAGGAGAAGCGCGTGAGGATTTTGAAGGGTGGGTGGCGACATCTGGTTTCTCACATTACTATTGTCTATTGTTTCTGAATAGTCCCATTACTAATTTGTATTTAGTTCACAACTTTATAGTTATGAATAAAAATAAGGGTATTGATTATGTACTGAAAAGTTTAAAGCATTTTTGGAGTCGTATAATAAAAGTGCATCCTTTTTTTTTCTTTTGAATGTTATAAGTTAAAGCAGTGATGGGTGGAAAATCAGTCATAAATAATACTATTTAATTATTGTTATGACTAAACATGAAAAAGAACAATCACTTCAAATGTAAGGTCTTGCAACAGTTTCGCCATTTCTGACAAATTACGGAAAAAAAAAAAAAGCGATTTTGTTTTTCTGTTTTCCACAGGTGAAGTGTGTATTGTCTTGAGTGATAATAAACGGCATGCAATTCGGTATTATTTATCAAAGGAAACTTCCATATCATTCATTGACTTTAACTTTAAAAACAAAGCTGACATCCAATAAACTCAATCTTTTAACTTGATGAAACAGATTAAAGAGCATTTTGCTTACAAAGAGGACACATGTTCTTGATCATTAGCCATTGCTTGATGCACTCGAAGTGAAATTCATGGCCACATCCGAGTTTAGAAACGTCATCATTGTACTTAAACTCGCACAGACATATCACACATTTCTCCGTTTCACCACAACATTCTTCATATTTTCTTTGGCTTAGATTTCTATCAATGCTTTCAACGTCTAAACCAGTGCAGACATTTCCTATCTGATCGCCTAGCTCCAAGAATTCCTTCCGAAAGAATTTTGCATCAATAAACTTTTGAATATATAATTAAAGAGTTCTAGTTTTACCACGTTGTATATTCAGCTCTTTATTAATGAAATCAAACTGGTCCTTCTACTAAACTAGAGTCCTTCTAGTCTTCTATGACTAGGATTCAAATGCATATCCAATTTAACAAAATGCAACCGATTAAATTACCAGTATATACTGGAAGCATTAAACTTTGTTTCCCATCAAATATATGTTTTAATACGTAAAAACTAGAAATATGTATATAGAAAATCTTCTTATACAGTATATAGCTACATACAATACATATAGAAATTTTATAGTTGAAAAGTAGAAATTACGTAATTTTCACAAAAATCAAAATTTAAAAGTAATTTACGTGATATAAATTTGTATGGTAATATACGTTAAATAATTACATGAATTTTACGTAGAAATAGAAAATATAAATTTTAATTTTCGTAAAATTTTAATAAAAATCTGATTTTTTTTTTCAAGATATAATAACCTCATATATTTGTGTGTGTCTTAAACTAGTATATATGTATAGATAGAATAGATATATACCTCATACGTGAAGGTGTGTTCATCGGAAGACAAATCTATATTTTCTTCTTCCGATAAAATGTCAAATTGTTCATTGGGTAGTGACTGTAACCACTGCTCGACCGCTTCTTCCTATACATTTTCAACAAGTCTATATTGTATCCACCAAAAGCTTAATACTCAAGAAAAGGAGTGGACCAAGAGATGATTACCCTTGTAAGTTCCATTAGAAGTGGATCAGACTCTATTGTCGGAACATCATGGTTCATCTCAGTCGTTGGATCTGATGAGTTGGCACTAACATCGACGGTCGGGAAAGTGTCCCACCGATGCCAGTCGTCTCCACACAGTAAGCGTTGGAAGCTAAAAGCACTATCTGATCTCGGAAGACTGTCTCCATTTTGGTCCATAATTTTGATTGAAAAAAAAATATTATCTGGTTCAAATTATAAAAGGGGGCCAAATTTAGATAATCTAATAAAGATAATTAACACTTTTAATTTTCACCATCAATTCCTCCAGTCAGAAGCAAATACTTGGAGGGACGTGATACTTTTTGGATAAAGTACCACAAAAAAATACGTTACAACAAAATATGTATCACAAAATATATAATAGCTCATCTAAAAGAAAATTTATCCCAAACTTAGTTAAAGAACATAAATGATGAATTAACTTAAGTTTTCAGGGAGACTACTGAAAGTTATAGTTATAGCTACGAAACCTCTAACTAATAACCAGTTCTTTATAATATCAAAATTATACTGTATCAACTCAAAATATAAACTGGAGGATAACAGCATGCATGAAAGAAGTCTCTCAACTAAGAGATTTTATTTATTTTATCTGATATATTTTTTCATGAGATGGTACCAGTATATTACAAGCATACGACATCCAAATAGACTGAAAACTACTTGGGTCTTGGGGGACCATAATTTAGACGGATAAAGATTGATACCTCGCAGATTGATGTTGAACGGATAACTCGTAAGAGAGTGTTATGATGAAGAAACGCTTAAATCATAGCGCGAGAGTGCTAACAAGCTTATAAACACATTTTGTCTATCACAAGAGGATATCGAAGCACACTCCTATCTCATTTCAATTTATGAGATAAAGAATACACATAAATATAAGCGTAACCATGGTTGAAGGATTTAGCTACTTTAAGAAAATAGGTAAATAACAATAAATGTAGGGGAAAATGACCAGGGGTTACAGTTGTTGGGTTTTTTATTGGAGTCCAAAAATGTTAAGAAAATTTAGCCAGCTAGTAAAAATGGAATTATTGCTGGATTCTGGAAATTTACAACTTGCTAAAGAAATGTCTTTAATACAATGGAAATGGATTTTTTTATAGAAAAAAATTACCTATTGCATTACCTTCAATAGAAAATACCAAGTTATAGTGAATAAGTGCTGAAATTAATATATGTATTGGCTTTTTGTTTATGCTTTCAACTTTCACTAAAACGTTTTTTAAATGAAACGAAGGTTGTGTTTTTTATTTTGTCTTTATCTACTACATACACAAGTTCATGACAACTCACTCATTTAGGTTCTTGGATACGATTCCATTACTTGGGTCTCTGAGGCTTCAAATGAGAAAGAGAGATTGGGCCTAACTAACATCATCCCAGTAACTAACGTGAGACTTAAAACAACGGATAGATTTGTTCTCTACATATCAATGAGTGTGTTTCGCTCTCTCTTTCTCTCACTCTCTCTATTCCTTGCTTTTCTTCGATCCAACTAGGTGGAAGACCATCCATCCATTGATTGCTAGCCAGTACATATACATGTGGACGTGAATATAATCGTTTAATTTCCTCCTGTTAGTGAAACTTGCTTTATGAGGTGAATAATTTGATTACATGATTCGTGTGAATACATAAACTTGTAACAGCAACCCATGCAATAAGGATCACGATGGTGGTTGGAGACGCTAGAGATTATATTTATCTTCTTGCTTGGTTTGTGCTCTAAAGGGGATTTTACATGTCCGCTTACTAAAATGGATGTGTGTTGAGTTCATATATTCATGTTAAAATATGCCACAGAGCGACTGATTTTAGTGAAGATATTGCAATGGTCTTCATTGGTAAATCAGTATTGTTGATTAAGTGATGTCATAATAAGTTGGAAATAAACCGAAACTTTGCAATATTTTTTTTGGGTCGTAGAAAAAATAAGAAACTAGAATTGTGTTGAAAGTGTGTTTCTGCACTTTAAATTCATCAGAAATAGGCGTTTAAATCAGTTTTTGTACGATCACGAGATTCACAACAAGTGTGACATTTTCCCTTTAAAGAAGCAACAAAACAAGTGTCCCCGCGCATGTGAGCACCGTTGGCCAAAATAGAAAAAGATATCAATTAATAATCTAGATGATAAAAAAGCTCTATACAGTATACATACAGTCACTGATTCTAAACAATGGAGCAAAATTCAAAAATGAGAGTATTGATTAATGAAATACTTCCAAAAATATATGATAGATATAACAATAAAGATATTAATTATTTCTGGAAAGATAAATTTATAAACAACATATGTGAAATTTTTATGAATAATACCGTTGCTTATTTTGATCATTCCTTTCAAGAACACTGTTTTCATAAGTTTTACGTAACAAAAATTACTTACCACGAATGTTTGGTGTACAACACTTGAAACTGTAGTCTGATTTATTTTTATTGTAATGTTACAAACGGTGTTTTCGCTCTAAACTGAACTACTTTGGAAGTGGGTTAACTCCTCTACTGATTTTGATTATCTAAGGAAATTAAAAAGACTAGTGGGAAAAAGATTCAACCTTGTCGAAGAAAAAGAAGAAAGCTAAGCCTTTTACTTTCTTTTTGTTTTCCCCTCTTCGAGAAATAATAATACTATTGAGGTCGATTAACAAATCGATGAAGCCCGCGTTTTAGTACCTAAAACATCTTTTGTCTTGTCTTAAAACCCCAATCAACAGTAGTAGTAGATCGAAGATCATTCATATTTCTCTCTCTCTCTCTCTGCAAAAGCTACGGAGCGATGTCGGCGTGCATCAACGGCTTAAGCAGAGCCGTGACAGTCTCTCTCCTTCTAATTTCTTTCTCCGTTTCATCTGCTTGCTCTAATGGAAATTGCCAGGTCTCGAAAAACCGGGTTCTTGATTCTATTTGCTTATTTCTCCGGTTTGTTGGTATCAAATTGGGTCTAAATCTGTTGGGATCTTTGCAATTTTCTCTCTTTTCTCAGATGCTGGATTCATGCTCCTCAGCCACTGACTGTGTCTCAGGTTTATACTGTGGCAACTGTCCTGCTATTGGAAGAACTAAACCCGTTTGCACAAGAGGACAAGCCACAATTCCTACTTCTATTGTAAGATTTGTTTCCTCTAATTGGTTTTTCTTTTTTCCCTCTAGATTTGCCAAGTTGTAGATGGATTGTATCAGAAGCAGGATAGTCTAGATCAGCAGTTGGTTGTATCAAAAGTTTTGAACTTTGAAGATAGGCTTTGCTCAAGATATTTATTTGGTGATTGGAATATATGTGTTTTTTCTTTTTTGTAGATCAATGGATTACCTTTCAACAAGTATACATGGTTAATGACTCATAATGCCTTTAGCAATGCAAATCAACCGCCTCTGCCTGGTGTTGAGAGAATTACATTTTTCAATCAAGAAGATACTGTAACTAATCAGCTAAGAGTAATGTCTTTATTACTCTGCCTTTTTTAACCCTATTTTCCAAAATTTTCTGCCTTTTTGGTAAAATCTTGAAAATGATTTGTTGTAGAATGGAGTTAGGGGACTAATGCTGGATATGTATGACTTCAACAACGATATCTGGCTTTGCCATTCGCTTCGTGGGCAATGTTTCAACTTCACTGCCTTTGTAAAATCCACCTTTCAGCTTATCATTATCGGATCCAAAGCTCAAAAACCTGATTGGATTGTTAAAATGTGAAATTTGTTTTCTTTGTTTGTTTTTCCTGTCAGCAACCTGCAATTGACACTTTGAGGGAAGTTGAGACATTCTTGAGCCAGAACCCAACTGAGATTGTTACCATCATAATTGAAGATTATGTGCACAGACCTAAAGGCTTATCAACTCTATTCGCTAACGCTGGTTTGGACAAGTACTGGTTTCCTGTTTCGAAAATGCCCAAAAAGGGAGAAGATTGGCCTACTGTGACAGATATGGTGCAAGAGAACCACAGGCTCTTGGTTTTCACTTCTGTTGCCGCTAAAGAAAATGAAGAAGGCGTTGCGTATCAGTGGAGATACATGGTCGAAAATGAGTGTGAGTGTCACTAAAAGTTTAGATCTTTTTTTCTTTTCTTTCTAGAATTGTCTTTGAATAACCTTTCTTTTGCCAAATTTGCTATGATTGTGTAAAGCTGGAGATCCCGGGGTTAAGCGAGGTTCTTGTCCGAACAGAAAAGAATCACAACCTTTAAATTCAAAAGGTTCTTCCCTTTTCTTGATGAATTACTTCCCGACATATCCGGTCGAGAAAGACGCTTGCAAGGAACACTCAGCTCCACTTGCTGAGATGGTTGGGACCTGTCTCAAGTCTGCAGGAAACAGAATGCCAAACTTTCTTGCTGTTAACTTCTACATGGTACTGAATCAACCATAAAACTAAAAAATATGACATTTTCTGCGAGTTTTTACTAACGAACCCATGCGGAAAACAATACAGAGAAGTGACGGAGGAGGCGTTTTCGAAATTCTGGACAGAATGAATGGACCGGTTATTTGCGGTTGTGAAACTCTTGCTGCCTGCCAGGTAATAGCTTCTCTACTCGCGCTAACTTTTTGTGTATGAAATGAGATATCTAAAACCTGCACCCGAATTTTGGTTCTTGGTGTTTTCAGCCAGAAGCAACTTATGGTACGTGCAAAAATATTACTCTTCAGACAAGAACTCCGAACATGGATTCAACGGCTGGAACCTTCTCAGGTTCAGTTCAGTTCTCAAGATCCTTAGCTGCTGTTGCCTATTCACCAAACACCATTGTTGTCTTGTGCTTCTCATGGCTTCCATTGCTGATGCTTCTACTATGACACAACCAACCCACTTGGAGAGATTCTTAGGTTAGAGAATCTTGATCCCTTATTTGGAATGAATGACAGATCCCAAGTTCAGGAAACGTGAAAATTTGCCCTAGAAAGAGAGTTTCTGATTGAATTCTTGTATTGTAGACTGCAGATTTATAGGCAAAAATCTTGTGTATGTGTGTCTTCAGCTTCTGTTGAATCTTATGCAACTTATATATATATATATATATATATATATATAGAGAGAGAGAGAGAGAGAGAGAGAGAGAAACACAATGCTACTTCAATGGAAACTTTACTGAACACTTTATATAGTCTTACTGATGAGCAGATAAGGTATATGGAGATTCCAATTTTATGAATTGCTATGTACAAGGTAAAGCAAAAAACAAGATAAATGTAACAGCGCTAGACAGCATGCAACAATGGTGGTGGGTTCTGAGAATTGAGGAGCAATTGAATGGGTTTGATCTCAAGTGCAGGACTGATGGTAAGTAAAGCAATGAAGCAATCCACAGGAATCCTAGTTCCCCATAAGTTGATCGATTCGAGTTTTCTGCATTTGTTAACAAGAACGAGAAGGCCTCTCTCTGTCACATGGCGGCAACACCACATACTGATTGTCTGCACAACACATAAAAGATCCGATTTTGAAAGTGGTTCTAATGATTTGGAAAAAAGAGAGACTAGATTATGGTTACCTTAAGATGATGGCAGTATTCTGCAATAGCGAAGAGAGACTCGTCGGTGATGAATGTTCCTCCTATGTTCAAGTGTTGCAATGAAGAAGTTCTTGATATCTATCAAATCAATTCAGGATCCAAAAAAAAGGAATCTTTGAGATATTAAATAAATATTCAAGATTCCAATTCACATAAAACGGCATTACATTACCAGCTGAGCAACACCAGAATCAGTAATGGCGGTCATGCCCCATAAAGAGATTGAGGTTAAATTGGCTACACATCTAGCAGAAGCTATTTGGTAAAGACCATTATCAGTTATATGGCAACCCCATCTGCTTCGAGATCTGCAAACAGAGAAACTGTATGAAGAAACAGAGTTTCTAGTTGGGTATCGTATTGACTAAGCCAATGTCCTCTAAACCGTAAAGGTAAAGTTGGAAACTTGACCAGACAAACTTCACAAACCCAACAATGTTTTGACTCTCAAATCAATAGGGAGGAAAAACGCCACTGAAGGTCCTCAGAAATCGCGATCATAAATAACAAGCAAAGAGAGAGAGAAAGAGAGAGATTACATGTCGAGTTCTTTGAGATTGTAAGCAAGATGTACGAGACGAGAAGTGGAATCGTCGTCCATTTTCCAACCAGCAAAGCTCAGAGATTCTCTTCTCGCCATCGATTGATTCACAGCTTTTCTCCATTTCTTACAAACCCCACTTGCCCTTTAAAAAGAAAAACCCCATAGTCAACAAAAACTTCAATTTCTTCATGAATTAAGGAAAAATCAAAACTTTACAACTATCACCAAACACTTACTGCGCCAATTCAGTGAAAGAAGTAACAAGCGAAAATATATAAGCAAGAAGGTCTAACGGTAAACGATCGATCGCAGCTTCTCCATCCATGATTTATAGAGTTTCAGACTTATTTGCAGATCATATGCACAAGTTTTTATTTATGCAAATCTCTTCAATAGTTCTTCATAATTGCAGAGGAAGAAGATGTTGTCATTTTCATAGTCTTACAGAAGATGTGGTCATCGTTCCGTCATAGTTTTGAATCGTTATAATTTTTTGAGTTGTTCTTTTTTATAAATTAATCGTTATGATTTGATTAATTTGTTTTAATTACATGGTCCAATATTTTGCGTGGGAAAGTGATCTAGACTCGGTCTTTTTCTTTTATAATGCCACGTGGCACGTGCCACACCCTAAGATCCTAATACAATATACACTATTATTTTGTGTGTTGCTTCACAAAATATTTAAATGTTCGTTCACCCGATCAATAAATAACAGATACGATTGCTAGATGTAACGTGACGTTATCTGTATTTTCTTTTTCTCTTCTTACATTTGTACTTTCGTGTTCAATGGGTTCTTGCAAGAACACGGCTGATCAATAGTTTATTTATATGTAATTATTCATTAGTTTTACACAAACGAAGAACAAGAACAAAATTACATAGATATTTTAGCTCACAAAGATCAAATTCATTTGTCCATTGGCTCGCTTGTAGCATGAGTTAAGGCCATAACATGAGATGATATATTTTTTTTTTTTTTGAGATGAGCATTTTCAATCCACAAATACATGTTTTAAATTTTAACAACTTCGACTAATCTACTTTTTTTTTATTCTTTTTTTTCCGACGACTGCGACTGATTTACTTATACAACACATACATGCTTTAAAAACTCAGCATCAGTCGATAATTTCTCCAAAACGTGGGACGATAAACACGTTTGGATCTCGATGTTTCCTTGATCAATTCCCGGATAAACAATGAGTTTACCATCGCTGGTATTACCCGGTCCAGCTCGAACCGCAATCGGTTTACCCCAACCGAAATCATTCCCAAACACATTGAACCAAGGTGAGCTAGCGACAATGATAGAATTGCTACTCACAGCCACATGATTCGGTATTATCGGCTTCTTCACCCAATTCTCAGCGAAAACTCTGAATTCTTCATTCGTTTGAGACCCCACAGTTTTGTTTATTTGCAAAGCAGCCCAACCCAGCCCATTGCTAAGCATTTCTCCGGCGGTTGTTGTCGCCGTCGCGAATCCGACCACGTTTCCAAAACACTCTTTTTCGAGCGGAGGGTTTAGTCTTCGTCGCATATCCATCAATAACTTGCAATGAATCACTTCCTCCGGATTCAGATCACTGTTTTTGATTATCGATCGCCACATATGCGCCGAAATCGCTTGAAGCGATGAAATTTTCCGATCATCGGGACTCACCTCTCCGTTGGCTTTCGATTTGAGCTCAGAGATGTTTCTACTCGTGAATCGAAAAACCTTCTCTTGCAACAATGATGAAGGAACAACCCGAATCGGTGATGATACCGTCTCCGAGATCGGAATTCGAATCGGGTACTCAATCCCGTCGAGAAACCACCCACGGAGAAGCAAAGGTGAGAAATTTTTTCCGGTGGAGCAAATCTGCGACCAAGTGTTGAAGAAATTCCAAAAGGAAGACCCGTCTGCAACCATATGGTTATAACCAAATCCGATGAAGACTCCATCTTTTAACTTCGTTACTTGGAACGCGATCAACGATTCCGAGATCCCTTCACAGCTCTTAACACCGTTCGCCGGAAAAAAACGATCCAAGAAATCGGGGACGTTACCACCAGCCGGTTCTAAAACATCACTGACCGAAACGGTTTTAGCAGACGCGTGGACGAATTTGACGCCTGAACCATCGCAATCGATGCAGAACGACACCGTTTCATCTTCGTTCTTGATCTTGGTTAGACGACCCGCGAATGGGTAGAAAATCTTCAAAGCAGCGGCAAGAGAGGACTTCAACTGAGAGATTATTTGGGTTTCCGGGTCGGGTTGTGGAAAGAGAAGACCTCTTTGTGGGTATTCGGATCCAAGGAAAAAGAGATCCCAAGGGGTGAGATGGATCTTTACCCGATCCGATACTTCGTCGGGTCGAATAATGCTCTCAGAGATCACTACAACATCTGCCATTTGTTTTTCTTAGTCGTTTTCTTATCTGGTGGAGATTGATAATTTGATGAACACTACAGACTCTGAGTGTGTGAATGAATGATTAAATTTCACCTAGAAAACTACCACGTGGTCCAATGACATGGGCCGCTTTGATTGTTTATTGGGTCATAAATAGCAGGGCCCATTATCTTTATGAAATAGGATAATCATCATACATATAATACAGAGCTAAAATTACACAATTCTGAATTGAGATCAACAGAAAACAGGAGAAAAGATGGACATTTTAGATTTCGACTTCATTTCTTAAACAAAACATCATACGATGCTCACATACTCTTTAAAATCAATATCCAATAAGAGTTTGTCCACTAGCTCAGGCCGTAAGCAGGCCTGAAAATCAAGACTTCCTTCATCGGCTCCTCGGTACACAACGAGTCTCCCATTGAGATATGGCGGTCCAGCTCTTGCAGCTATCGGTTTACCCCAACCGAAATCGTTGCAGTACACATCAAACCGGTGAGAGTTAGTGACAACTAGATCTTTGCTACCAACAGAAACAGGAATCTTGACATTTTTCACCCAATCCTCAGCAAATGCTTTGGCGTTCTCATCCGTTTGTGACCGCTCCATTTTGTTTATCTGCACAGCAGCCCAGCCTAGTCCATGGTCCAGCAGCTCACCGACCGTGACTGTGGCTATCCCGGTCTGACTCACATTCCCAAAACACTCTTCATCCAGCGGTGGATTGAGCCTGCGCCTCATGTTTGTAGGTAACCTGCAATGGGTCTCTTCTTCTCGGCTCATGCCACTGTGCTTAACCATCGAACGCCATATATGTCCTAACACCGCTTGAGTAGACGAGACCTTCTGATCAGCCTCACCGTTGGCTTTAGCTTCCAGTTTCAAAACATTCTCCTTTGTGATATGAAGCATCTTCTCTTGCAAATTGGCTGTTGATGCTGCGTAACTAGTTGTTTTTGTTTCAGGGTCTGGAATGTGGATTGGATAATCAATCCCGTCAAAGAACCAACCTTTGAGGTGAAGACGAAATTGGGAGGTTCCGGATCCCGAATCCTTGGAGCAAATCTCAGACCATGCGTTGAAGAACTTCCAGATCGAATTTCCATCAGCCACCGTAGAGTTATAGCCGAAACCGATAAAAATCCCATCTTTCATCTCAGTCACTTGAACCATAAGCAAAGATCTTGAGACACCATGGTAGTTCTTGATCCCGGTCGCAGGGAAAAAGGAACTGAAAAACCCGGGGACAGAACCGGGCAACTCAAGTACATCACTGACCTGGATGTTTCTAGCCATGGCGTGAACAAACTCCACACCTGAACCATCGCAGCTGATGGAAAATGAGACAGTTTCATCTTCGTTCTTCACCTTGACAAGACGACCAGCCAAAGGATAGAAACGATCAAGTGCAACAGAGAGTGAAGTTTGTAGTTGTGAGATTACTATGTCAATCTTGGGATCAGGTTTGGGAAAAAGGAGACCTCTTTGAAGATAACCAAAACGAAGACGAGAGAGATCCCATGGAGTCAGATGAATTTTCTCCGCCCAACTCGATTTCTTAACATTTCTGGGATTTACGATGCTCCTCGAGATCACCACCAAATCCAAATCTTCTTCCATCGCTTTGATCAATGAGGCTCAGATGAATAAGTCCGCATTTGAAGTACTAAATAAAAAGACCAATAAAAAAAAAAAACAAATGAAATACAGTCACATCTTACTTTATGTGACCCCGACTTGTTTTTCATCATTTATTTTTGCATTTTGTGAAATGCGTACATGTGTTTAATAATAAAGTTTAAGGCTAGGTTAGGTAAGTGAATATGGAATCTACATATGATTGGTTCGTATTTCGCTTCACTTTATCTTTAGTTGATAGACAGTGATACTAACATAAAATTGTAGTGCAATACACGTGTATGTCAATAATTTCACAATTATAAAATATTTTCTTTATTAACTTTAAATTTGAAATCTAATATTTGATATTTTTATTAATAAGCATATTGTATAAAAATATTTAAATGGATCATTATCAAAGTTTAACAAACAAAAAATAATCGGTCCAATTTAGTGTTGAATACAAAAAAACTGACAAATGGATCATTATAAAACTTTTATATGGTTATTAAAGTTTCATTCGCCGAATCTGCACATGTTTGCTAATTCCATTTCCCTTGCATTAATCTTTAACCCGTGAGAATTGTTTTTTTCGTAGCTTATTGGGCCTGTGGATCGTTTTGTTATAAAGCTCTTTTGGCCCAAGTTGGGTGTACCGGGGAATCGACGGCGACGAAATATTTTTTCATTGCGCCGCCGCAACTATCCGACTGACAAGCTTCACGATTCATTTCGGTCTCAGAAGTTGTGAGAAGACGGAAAGCAAACAAAAAAATAATAATGGCGAAAGCGAAGCCACAGAAATCTAAGCTTAAGAAACAACCGCATCAGGTGCGTCTCCGGGCTCATGGTTTTTGATTCGCAGGCGGTTGTCTGATTCAATCACTGTTATCGAGTATTGTAAATTTATGTTTCGATTGTTTCATTGATTCATAGGTGAAGAAGAAGCAAGGAAAGGATTGTGATCTCTCTCAATTTCGTACTCAGCTTGACGCCTTGGGGCTTAAGATAATCCAAGTGACTTCAGATGGTAATTGTTTCTTCAGGTCTGTGTTTCTCTCACAAATCCCAAACATGGTCGATTCGATCATGCTTGAATTGTGAGATTGACATGGTTTTCTCTTCGCAGGGCACTTGCTGATCAATTGCAAGGCAATGAGGATGAACACAGCAAGTACCGTAGCATGGTTGTACAGTATATAGTGGTAAGTCCCATTTCATCTTTTTTTGTTAGCAATCCTATATATAAATATACTCTCAGTTTGATGATATGGATTTTACAGAAAAACCGTGAAATGTTTGAGCCTTTTATCGAAGATGATGTTCCATTTGAGGATTACATTAAAACCATGGACGATGATGGAACTTGGGCTGGGAATATGGAGTTACAGGCAGCTTCTCTTGTCACACGCTGTAATATATGTATCCACAGGGTAATTTTTTATAGGCCAGAAACTAGGATACTATCTGAGAATCATTAGTGTGAAATTGCTGGAATATCACAGGACATGCTTTTGTTCTTCTTGTTGCAGAACATGTCACCGCGTTGGTATATACGCAACTTTGAAGATGCTAGAACCCGCATGATCCATCTGTAAGCAGTAGATGATCTCCCAAGATGGAAATGGTTGAATTTTCTTCTACTTAAAAAAGGTTCCTCTTTCAGGTCTTACCACGATGGGGAACACTATAACAGTGTGCGTTTGAAGGAAGATGCTTGTGGAGGACCAGCCACGCCTGTTGTAATAGAGGTTTTTTACTTCAAACTTTATCTCGGTGTTTATGGTGTAAATGCTCTTTTGCACTGGCCTAATGAGTTCCAGCTTTGTGAAAGGCTGATGCTAAAGTGTCAGCAGCATCTAAACAAGCGAAAGCTATTGAGAGCAACTCCAAAAGCAGAGCGGATAAGTGTAAGGTGGATGCTGCTATCAATGTAGTCATGTCGGGTAGTTGCTATGACAATGCTGAGAAAGCTGAACAGGTGAGATAAGCTGATGCTTGGTTAATTGTGTGAAGAAATATGATCATTAGTCCTCTCTTATCTGGAATCTCCCTTTAGGTTCTAGTACAAGTAAACGGTGATGTGGATGCTGCGATAGATTTCCTGATAGCCGAGCAAGGAATGGAGTCTTTGACTGAAAATGATTCAGAAACCACTTCTGTGGCAGACATCAAAAATCGAGAGGAAGCAAGTGACAGTACAATGGAAAGCACCAAGAAACCAAGAGAAGAAATGAATGAGGAGGAATCAGCTAGCTGCAGTAATATCGAAACAGTCCTTGCAAAGTGCAGTTCACAGACCGATGAGAAGGTTAATTAAAGCATGAAAATAGCTACTTTCCTTTAAGATTGCGTAAGAATGTGATTTTGAGTATTGACTTATGCAAGTAATTTTTGCGGAAAAACTGTAGAAGATCCCGAGGAATAAATCGTGTCCATGTGGTTCAAAGAAGAAATACAAGTCCTGCTGCGGAACAGCAACTGGGAGATCCTCTGTTAAACTGTTAGTGTAAGTTTCTTGATTGGATTCTACAAAACACTCACAAGACATAACCAAAGATGAGAATTTCTTAACTGATTTGCAGGAGCCATACGATGGAGTCGAAGAAGGGGAGAAAGAATTCGAGGAGAGGAACATTGAATGAAGTGGAAACAGATATGGGTGCTCTTTGTATATAATGAAGTCTCACACACTTAAACTTAATGAAATATAAAGGTGATTACTTTTATATTTAATTCATTCTATTTTGTCTGTTAAGAAAGAGCAGTAAGACGTAGTAATTCCGGTTTGGTTTCTCTCTTCTTCAGGGATGAAAAAGATAATCTTCTTCTTACGATCCATTGGAAACTTCACATAACAGCTTGCTCAGGTATTGGGATTGGTTTTGAATTTTGATTTAGGATGTTCACTCGCGGGTTGTTGTATGAATAAATTAACGAGAAAAAAAAAATTAACTCTTATATCGACTCAAGAACATATAATGTATATACGACGGAGTCCATAAATAGCTCTTGAAATAATTCATTTTCTCTAAAGCATATCTTGAAGTTGACACGCACTAGAGCTCAGATGATGAATTGTGATAAATCAGGGATGAGAGAAGTGGAAGGTGCGAGGACTGTGGTGGTTCCAAGGAGAATTGTGAGGAGAGAATCCTGATGATGCTGCCATTCCCACTTGCTCTCCTCCACCGTCCGATTGCTTTTCCGATCCGACGGTCTTCGTTGCCTTCATCGCTAGCGAGAGATCGCTGCCTAATAATCTCTCCTCATCTCTAATCCTACTTCTCATGCTCGTAATCTTTAAAATGATCAATTTAAACCATTATCAAAATTTTATCTATATTCCGACAAATCCAAGATATAATGTATATATATATATATATAAACATTTACCTCGGATTTGATACCAAACTCTTCCGACTTTGATTCTCCTAGGCTTAGATCAAGGTTATGATCATTCCACTTCTTCTCTGTTCATTTTTGTTACCATCAAATTGTTTTAATTGGAGCAAATTCGTATTTTTAAAAACTGAAAATGTAGAATCAAATTACCTGGGCTAAGCTCTTCTTCGTATATTTTAGGGTCAAAATTGGTAACTGCGTCTTTTCCATTACACTTTATTGCCGCTTTATCGTATGCTCTATTATTTCAATATCACGAAAAAGCAAAATGTATATCAATCTTTCGTACCGATAAAAGGAATAGTTATTTCTAAAACGTCATTGATAAGACATTGAACAATAAAAAAGTACCTTGCAGCTTCCATCTCGGTATCAAAGAGACCCAAATAAACGTACCTGAAACAAAGCAGACAACACAGTACAAATTAAAAACTCCGTAAGTGAAAAAAATATATTCAAAAGTAAAAATTTACCCCCAAAACTATTAAACTAGTGAATACTTTTTGTTAAGAAATTGACCCAATCGAGCCTCCCATCTTCCACATTTATGCAAAGTGACACCTCTATATTTCGAACTGCCTCTTGGAAACCCAGGGCTTTGCCTTCGAAGAACATGCATGAACTCTTCCTTCGTCAAATTGCTCATCTGTAGATAATAGTATTTGTTTGTGCTCGAGTAATAATTAATTACTTGAAACTACAATATATATCTAGAAATAATTAATACCCTAACCTGTTTAAAATCTTCCACGTAGTCTTCAATGTCGAAATTAATATCTGCATCTACACCTCTGAATTTAACTGCGGCTCGATCATAGGCACTGTCCCAAATAGTTGTTAATTCACCCAAAATTTATTGTATAACAATAAACTATAATAAACATACTAATCTATATTAGGTTTCTTTCACATTGATATTTGGATAAGGAAGATATACCGAGCAGCAGCATGTGCTGTGTCGAATCCACCTGAAATGTAACCAAAAAACCTTTATCTTGTTAAACAAAACGAATACAAATAGACAGACACATGTAAAATCGTAGCAAGTTTCTATAAGAAATTGAGTTTTTTTTATAAGAAAAAAAAACAAAATATGAACCATACCTAAGTACACTTGCTTCCCACAGTCCCTGCATGATATATTTCAAAACATTTTACAAGAAAAGATAAAATCAAGGTATTGACTCAAATGAAATAATGAATTAATGTTATATGGTTTTTTTTTTGTTATATGGTTGAAGAGAATACCAAATATGTGACTCCCATCTTCCGGTTCGACGATAAAAAGTAACTCCTCTGTACTGAGAGCTCCGTGAGCGAGGTCCACGTCGGCTCTTTTTCACAGGCTGCGATGTCTCCGGCTCCGACTTTTCTGGACGACCCGACCCGCTAGGATCCGACTGAACGATACATTGGTTTCCAGGGAAACCGGGACCGGATATTTCTCCAACTTGACTCGGTTCCATGCTTTTACCCGGAAAAAAATTCCGGGTCACCGGAGGCACAGATAGCAGCCACGTGGTGGATTGGCTCGTTGAGCTTGACACGTGACCAACCCGATTCCCTCTAACGTCTGATTCTTCGTGATGATCTGGTGAGTCGTTAAGGTTCCACATTGCTTTTTTGTAGAGACTGGATAAAAAAAAAGAACAAGAATTTTGGGAGCAATAAGAGAGAAGAAGACTCAGCTGAGAAGAGAACCATCAGAGCAATATGGTGGGATCGAATAAGTAAATAAATAATTAAATAATGAGGACCCACTTTAAAAATCAAAATTTATCAAAATAATAAAGAACTAATATTTAGTAGAAAGCTTTTTTGAAATTTGATTATTTCCCAAAACAAGTGCATTAGCCTGCTTCCTAGTTTTTGGTCTCCTGAGTATTGACACCACAATTCTCTTTATATATAAAGGGAAATTATATTCAGAAATTCAAAATTTTACTGAAACTATTATGGGATGGAAAAGTAGGATGTAGATGGGAGTATCTTATTTAATTTATTGTACTTTTTAGTTTCTCCTACTCCAACTACTCAAAAAAATTTATCATTTTGCCTATAGCAGTAGGAGGACTATGATTTTTATTTTTATCCATTCTTATTATTGGCACAATAATCTTTATCAACGAAAGAAAAAGAAAAATATTGGCACAACAATTCAAAGATGTTCATTTACGAATATATTAACCACTGCTATTAGCCTGTTATCTACAAGATGAGAAAAATGAAAAGATCTAGTGGAATGAGGATTTTTATTTATTTATATGATTTCTTATCAAAATTTGACTTATACATTATCTGCGACAGCGAGAAAAAATATTGACAAACGAAAATTAATAAATATAAAAAGGAGGAGAGACACAAATTATTATAGTAAGTGTATTAAAACAAAAAACAAGAGAGGATGAACAAATCCGTGAAAGAGTTTGGTACGAGAAAAAAAGGAAACGGAAACGGAAATAATGTGAGGGGGCAAAAAAGAAAAGAAGTATTACCGAAAATACCCCCATCCAAGAGTACGGGAAACAGCGTTCTCTCTCTCACCATTTTTCTGTTCATTGCCTTTGATCATCACTACACCTTCACTCTCCTGTTTCCCACGCGTGCACTCACGCTCCCTCTCACGTTAAGACAGTATATAAAAACTAATACACCAACTTTGAAAGAAAAATTTATCCAATCTATCAATTTTTATGTGATTTATTAGTATGCATTTTTTGCTGAATTGAAATTACGTGTTAAATAGTGAGTAAAGCAACAAAAAAATAGGTGTGGGCAAAAGGAGAGCCAAAGCGTGAAAGAGGAATATTACAAGTGGGGAGAAAAAGCCAAACCTTCCCCTAATGGAACTATGACGATGCTTTGATGCTCTCTGTTTCTTTCCCTAAGTGGTAATTATAAAAAAGAACCCTCTCTCTCTCTCTCTCTCTCTCCTGGAGCTCTCTCTCTCCTGGAGCTCTCTATATGTATAAATATTTATCAATATGTGTTTGTCGATTCGATAATGGAAATATTTAACCCCACTGTTGTTTCTCTTAAGTCTTAACAAATCATCATATCGGATAGCTTTTCCTCCTTTTGACTGTAGATAGCTTTTTTCCCCTTATAATGGATTCCAACCCATTTGAAGATTAATGCTCGGAAAATTATTTCTCTTGGTTCTTAATTGGGATAATTTTGAATTTGTGTTTGATGATTTTTGCTTTGTTAGATGATTTTGAGATAAGTCTAGTTTGCGGTTGTTGAATTCTCCTTTTTAGGGCCATATTTCTCTTTTGAAGACTGTTGACTCTGGTATTTTTCCACTTAACAGCCAATATTTATCATTTTAAGCAGATCGTAATCTAATTTCAAATGACAAAATAAGAAATTTACACAAAAACGTGTGTTGATTCGTTGATAAGCATCATGGAAATCAGTTCAGAATATGTTTCCTCTATAACTAAGATATGAATCTCATTATAACAATTCTAAGTATAAATTGTTTTCCTTGAAAATCGTTTTTCATAACTAAAATTAATTATTAGCACGTTTGGAAAGTTAAAATTGGATGGTTCGGCTGGGTTGAATAAGTATTAAATTAAGTTTTCTCAGCAAGATTGACGGCAAACCTAAGAGTTACTAAAGACGACTTAAATTGTTTGTGGTTGGACCATAATTAATCCTAATTCCCTAGTATCATGCGGAATTCAGATCACCCACAATTATAAAATTATAAGAGAAAAAACCTTTAACACGAATAACACATGTAACTAGTAGTAGTAACGACGTTTTAGTTAGTCAGTTTTGGACTAGACAACAGTAATCAAATATTTAATCGAACTGAATTAATATGGATTTAGATATTTTTAGATCATAGTGTACATGAAAAACGTGGCTTGCATCAAACCTTTCACTATCATAATTATAACTCTGTACAAATTTTAAGTGAGTTATAGAGACACATAACACCAAAAAAGTGTGTCGGCACAATCATCTCAGATTAGAAATACTATTGTTATAAAAAATATTCAAATATGATGACAGCTTGGAAACATCGGACGGTCTCGATAAAATCATCCTCGTACCGTCGGTGGATCTAGGCAGTTGAAAATTGTTGGCTCCACTTTTCATCAAGATCACGGAAGCTGATCTCTCTCTGGCCCTGTTCGTTTGTCAGCCGCCTGCGGCTGCGACCTGCGGCTAGACGCTGCGACCAGACGCAGATGATTGTTGTTCGTTTGTCAGCCGCGCGTCTGGTCGCTGCGACTGGTCGCAAGTTTGTTCGTTTTGCAGCCGCACGGTTAAACGCTGCGTTTGATCGCAAGTTATGCATTTTTGTTCGTTTGCTAGCTGTGCGTCGATTTTGTTTTTACCAAATTTTTCATTTAAATAAAATTTTAATTATTTATAAATTTGTACATTTACATTTTAATAAAAGCATACTTTAAATAGTTTCTAAATTTATAAAAAAAATTAGTTAGCAATTATAGTAATAATTTTTGTAATCAAATCTAATTATACCATTATAATCTTTGTGATAAAATCATACAATTTACTAAAACAAAAAAAAAGATAAACTAAATCATTAAAATAAAATAAACCAAGTCATAAATTAAGTCATTAAATATAACAAAACATACGTAATAATACACCAAATCATAAAGAAACAAAAAACAAAGTCATAAACTGAAATATCTAATAAGGTAATCGATGACGGCTACCATATTCAGTTGTGAGAGTGTCGCGCAAAGCTTCCATCGCTCTATCACCGGTCGGCTCATAAAAAATATGTCCACCATGATCTTCTTCACTGCTACTATCATCAATTTCTTCATCTTCTTCCCTTCTTACATCTTCATCACCATGAGTATTATAATCTTCTTTATGCCTCTGCCTCTGCATTTCTACCTCTATATGCCTCTGCATTTCGACTAGGAGGGCGAACCGGGATATGAGTTCCATCAAGTGCTCCAATACAGTTTTTAAATGGTCGATATCGGTTTCCTTTCGTCAAAACGGGGTGTACTCTTGTAAACTCACCTTCTTCTGGTTTTAGTGTATCTGCGGCAAACTTGAGAAGAACACTCAACACATCATCAAGTTTCCTTTTCACTGTATCCAATGACCGTTGATATCTTTCAGCTATAACCCGCATAGTCATATCTTGACCGACCACCTCAAGAAACATGGCAACAGATTCCTCAACGTAAACATTTTCAGACTCCCTTAATCCATATCGCCTAGATAGCATCTTGCACAATTCTTTAAATGGTCTCTGCTTCATTCGAAGAATATCATAACATTGCTGATCTGATCCATGCATAAGCTTTTGAACATGACGCCATCCGGCTCCTCGATCTGTTCTATGACTCAATCTCTCAGCAGTAAGCAAATAAAAAAAACCAAGTTCATCATCATCATCTTCATCCTCCAATATCCATCTTCTAACCATCTGCAAAATCATATCAAAAACTTATATCAAGCAACATCGTGAATGCATCATTGGCTATCTTGTTCCACTATGTCGAAAAATCACAAGAATCTCAAGTAAAGGCATTGAACAAGATCACACATCCATGACCCACGAATTCAAGGAAGTTCTTTGTGATGATGATATCATCAAAATAATATAGTTTTAGAGAAAGCCCCGTCTTCTGAAAACCCCTAGTGTCTATTTTTTGAAAACGACTCATCCATGAAAACTAAATCCCTTAAAAAAAAGATTCATCCTTTTTAGGTTGAGCAATTGAGAATATAGAGATATGCAATATTACCTGCACTCCTTTGACTTGTATCTACTGAATAAGCTCTGTAAACACACCTGTTGCATGAATATAAACAAATATATAAGTTCTAAGGCATATCCATGGAGATTCTATACTAAAGCTTTAAAGTTGATCAAATCCAAGACTTTTGTTTCCCACGATACAATTCCACCTCATTGAACTGAAATATTCTTTGCAACAACATTCACATTTTCCACTAATTATCCTTGTACTCTCGCATTCATATTCCTCTTGTCCATCCTATGGCTATCGTTGCATAAAGATAAGCACCAAGCTCCAAATTCAGAAAAAAAAATCGACAGGTTTGCAAGCAAATTAACACAGTTGCCTATTTCCAGTTTGAGCACAAACTTCAGACATGTCTCAATCGATTACTGAATCAAAAACATGGATAGAGAAGAAGAAGAAAAAATATAACACAAAAGTGCCTTTAAGTTGTCATTCAGCTTTAAAAAACAAAAACAGATTGTGTGCAAATCGAGCAGGCATAAAAATGCAGAGATACACTTCTAAAGCAGACGAATCTATCAAAAACCCATGAGCTACAAAAGAACCTAGCAACGAGATCGAACTTTCTCCGACACTAAAAAATCAATAACACATTCTAATTTTCAAAAGTCAATCAGATTAGATTTACAGATTCGACCTGGGAAGAGAGAAGAGGATTGATGGAGTTTGGAAGGTGGGTTTAAAGTCGCTTCTGCTCCCGATCCATTAAACTTTTAAGCTCAGCTGATGGAGAAGATGGAGAAGATGAATGGGGAAGAAGAGTTTCGGCGCAGAGAAGAGAGAAAGATCTCGACACTTTTTTTTTTTAGGGTAAATGTCTTTTGTAATTAACAAATTGTTATAAGGTTAGCTTTGTAATTTACAGTTTTAAACGCCGCGTCTTTTGTCACAACGCTGGATTCCAAAAATTAAAGACGCAGAACGCAGCATTTGGACGCCGCGTCTGGCCGCAGGAAGCTGCGTCAGAGTAACGAACAACAAACGGACGCAAGCCGCAGCCGCAGCCTCCTGCGGCAAGCAAACGAACAGACCCTCTCTCTCTCTGCAACGTGACTCACGTGAATAACCTTTTTTATGTATTTACGTTTTTCTTAGTTTTTGATTTATATGTATTGCTAACATATTGTATATTTTTGCAACAAAAAAACATATCGTAATCATCATATGTTGATTTATCACTGTAGTTGATTGGTGTATAGTTTTCGAAGCAAAACTCCTTCTAAGATTTATACTCCCTCCGTTTCATATGACATATTTCACACAGATTAAGAAATTAATAAAATATACAAATATATTCCTAATTAATATATTTTTATAACATTTAATTACAAAGACTATTATCTTTAAATGATAGATAAAACAGAAAATAAAGGTAAAAAGTTACATAAAAAATGCAGAATAATACTCTTTTTGAAACAAAAAATAAAATCTAAAACGATACTTATTATGAAACAGAGACAGTACTTTTTTTTTTCAATTAAGTTTCTACTTATTAATATAAAGCATCTTTTAATAATTTCCGAGCAATTGTGTTATATATAGATAAATAGAAAGCTAGGATTAGGGGCCAGTGGTGGTGAAAACTTTGCTTCGAATTGGAATTCAAGAAATTGATGGGTGCGCTAAAGCCAAGGTATTTATATTCTTATTCGATAAACTTGCTAATACAATTTGTTTTCTTGGTTTATTCGTCCAAACCAATTTCCAAGTAGTACATACCAAAATTGTCTAAAGGCATCGCGCAAGAAATCTACTAATAAAACAAGAAACAAATTTTCTATAAAAGATTCATGTAAAAAAGTTATTTTTTCTTTGAATATAATTTAACATTTTATACAAAAAAAAGAAATCACTAATAAAATAAGAAAAAAATAAAGCAAAATTGTACAAGATCAATAAGTATAAATCTCTTGATTTTTAAAGATTCTTGAAGAAATCGTCTATTACAAAATATTATATTTCCCCCGTTCTTGAGCGATGGCAGGCATGTCAGCAACGTACTTAATTATGTCCGAACAATACAGCTCATAATTTCTCATGGGCCGGATTGGGCTTTAATTAGACCCATTATCAAGCTTACTGAACTGAACCAAAATCTGACGCGAGTAAAATGTAATGTCAGCAAAGTTTTGTTACGTTTCTTAGAAGAAAAAAAAAACTCACATATAAGGAAACTGTAGGTCGATAGTTATATAGGAATCTCTACGAAGTTAGGAAGATAGCTCTGACGTATCTTGTTTCTATGATTATTTGTAATTTTGTAACTTTTTTCGGTAACCTTAGTGTGAAATGTTGTCTACTATCTCATCTAATTGTAGTTCCTACATGATTGTATATGGCAAATAGTGTGATATTTCTTTTCCGTTTCTATAAAAAAAAAATTGGCTAAAAATCAAACATAACTAAAAATTTCATTTGCTTCCCAAACAAACCAGATAACAACTACAAGATATTAATAAACTTTAATATGATCTTGATCATAAACTTGGATACAGTTTTTGAATCAGAGCTTCGCATTCCCCATTTACTACCATGCAAATTTTGAACTATGTTGATCTGATGTGGTTTCATATATCTAATAATTTTGAGTAAACTCCATCGACATACTGACAACGAGAAACAAGGATCAGACAGGGAGCTTGGAAAAGATGGGGACTTGGGTCAATAATTTTAAGTTGATTAACCGAAATGTGTATTGAAATGTCCCTGGTCAGATTCGTGATGAGGATTCAGTTAATTACTAGTACAGGATTTAAAATAATAAACAAACATAATCTGTCACTTAATATGAGAGCTATTAGATCATAAAAAACCGATTTGGACCAACAAAAAACGATTTTATCAACAGTAAAATTTGGTCCGGTTCAGATACAATTTTGTGTTAAAAAGGATAAATTGCTCTTCGGACAGAATAAAAAGGGAAGGCCCATCAAAAATCAACTCAAAGCTCCACTTTTGCTATTCTTGTCTTGGACTCATGCACCTGTACTCTTTCTTATTTTGGTATCTTCGCATTTCCTTCCTGTTTAAAAATAATATAACAACAAATAACATACATGATAAACAGTAGAATTACGCACTAATATATAATCCATGCGAGAGGATCATCATTTTTTCTTTCCCCTCAAGAAAAAGCATTGGCAGAATTAACCATCCGAACACGATCTCAGATGAAAATGCATAATATAATATACATAGTAATACAATACTTTTTCTTGGTCCCTGTCGCATACTAATGATAAAATTAAAAACGTATGGTGAAGAAAATTTTCAAACCCCGGTATATATAAGGTACCGAAATTTTAATTATCAGGAACATATCTCAGAATAAAAGCAATATTATAGACCTTGAAAAAGATTGAGCATATAAAATCTAAATGGTACCCACATAACAAATAGAAATGGAGCAGAAGACAAAAACAAAACACCCCAAGTCCCTAACGACCCAAAAAATCTTATCCATATATGCATTACATATATATGAATATAGCTTTATGAATTATAAGAAAACAAAAAATGTGGACGTAATTAATAGAGATAGACTATGTCAAGTTGCTTTTATATGATATGCATGTAGGTCATACTTTGTCTCGTTATTATTATTCAACTTGATATCCAGTTCATTCGCTTTAATCTTCCTCACAATCCCCTGAAATTCAAATTAAGAAGAGAGGGCTTTTAAGAAGAAGAAAAACTATGAAAACACATCATAAAATCTACAAAAAAACGTTATTATATTTTCAGAAAACTTTCTTAATCGATTATCTACGAATCAAGTAAAACTTCTCAAAGTTTAAATAAAGGGGCATTTTTTTGGTTTTTTTTTCGACGAAAAAAGATATTTAGGATATGCCTCTTATTTATACAATTTAATTATAGGAAATAGGGCGAATTTCATTAACGAGTATCAATGAGTAAGTAATATACATTTTGCATTTTTTAAGCAATAATAGCCTAAAATTCCATAAACCGCAAAACCCGTAATTAAAGACAAAACAAATTACTAAAAACCCTAAAATTTCAGTAATGCAAAAAAAAAAAGGGATAAACGGCGCTAATGATTTCGCAGAAGTCGGCCGAGGCGTACGTTAGCAACAGCCACCGCTCCAAAATATATATATATATTTATATTTATATATTATATTTTTATTTGCTTTCCCAATCTTCATCGGAGCTTTCCGGGTCGGGTAATTTATTCAAGTCAACCCGATCCAATAACCAGCCGCCACTCTTCAATCTCTTATCATCGTCATCATCTTCTTCTTCTTCTTCTCGCTCACCGTTTTGGTAATTAAGATGAAAATTCTTATTATTATCAATCTCTCGGTTCTGACCAAAAACACGGTGGCGGTTATTTAGCACCGCCGTGCCTAAAGCATCAACCTGAGCACCGACCTCCGTCGCTTTTTTCCGAATCGTCGCAGCCGACATGTCCTCGTCGGAGAATTTCTCTCCGGGAAGAAGCTCCGGGAAGTTGAGTCTCGCCGTAGGTCCTCTGAGGTAGAAAACCGCCGTGTCGTAAGCTCGCGCCGCCGCCTCAGGAGTGGAGTAAGAGCCGAGCCATAACCTGGAGCGCTTGTTAGGCTCTCGAATCTCCGCTACCCACTTTCCCCACTTCCTCATCCTTATTCCTTTGTAAGGTCTCTCTCTCTTCCTCGTCGTCCCGGCGACTGCCACGTCAGCTACTCCGCCGCCGTCCATGGAGGATCTTAAACCCTCCCAAGAAAAAGACTTTCGAGGTGGGCTTTGAGGAATTAGCAACTCTTTCTCGGTCTGGGTCTCGCCGAAGAGAGAGAGAGACGATGACAAAGAATAAATATGTCGGAGCAAGGAGAGAGAAAGAAAGATGTGGAGGAAAGAAAAATCCAAATTCACCGACAAAAGAAAAGCAGAGAGAGAGAATTTTGGTTAGTTGGATTTAGAAGATAAACTTGTCATGGTTGTGGATTCGTTTTGGAGTTATAACAAGTTTTTTTTCTCTGTTTGGAATTATCAATTACAAAAAAAAATTAAAAAAAAAATAAAAAAATAAAATAAAATTGGGCCGCTGATGAAAGCTGTATCTTCTGATTGATTGTTTTTAAAATGGAACAGAAACTTTTTAAGAGGATAGGGGGAAAGAAGAGGTGGTGGAAATGACATGCGCATATATTAATGTGATTATATGATTTCTTCTCTAACTTATACTATTATACTACTATCCCATATGTATATAGTACGCAAAACATCTGTGTGTTTTACTATTTAATGATTTTTTTCTACGAATATACCGTCCTGATACTCATTATTTAATAACATCTTCTGCGTACTATACCCTGGTACTAAATTGTCTAACCAGATTCTAACAAACTTATGCGAAGGATACCTGGACTCTCTCTCTCTCTCTCTCTCGCCAGAAAAACAACATAAGCTATATTGAGATAAGTTATAATCATCACCAAAACCTTCTCGATATTTAGCTCAATCTTATATCAGCCAGGTGTAACCGTGTAAATAACAACATTTATTTTCTATTTTTGTTGTCGTAAATTTAAACATGAGAATAATAATTGCGTTGTAAGAAAAAAATTATGAGGCTGAAAGTATAGTGAACAAATTACAAAACGGTGAGTCATATGAAGAACCTTTTCTTCTTTATATATATGATTATTTTACACAATAGAAATTATAAGCACTTTTCTCAAGGGTATTTCGAAAAGAGCCTGTTTTATGAGGATAGGTACTTTTCATTACTTTTTAAAAATAAAATAAAAAAACTAAAACCATAACATAAATACATCATAGGCTGAATTTATTTTATTAATTTATAAAAATACATGAAATTTTAGATATCTACAATGCACTATAAAATGGCTGTTTTTATTGGAAATGTGTACTCCATGATTGATGTCAACTTAATATTATTTTAGAATATATTATTGCACTATTTCATTTTTTAAGTTATATGTATATATATATATATCATTTTGGCATAATCATCATCGTATGTAAAATTATAAATAATAAATATACAAAAACAGAGTGTAACATGTAACGTATAGTGTATAAAACACAGGATATACGGTGTTACGGTAAAGCGTAGGATAGTGGAGGGAGGAAGGTAGGTCGGTGGTCGGTGACTGGATACCGTTAGGAATTGACTTTATGTGTACTCAAATTACGACACGTATTATGTATTGTCCTTTTTGTCCTTTTCATTCCCCCCCCCCGTTATTCTCCTCACTTTCGTCCTATCCCCATTTTTCTCCTTCTCTTTTGATATTCCCATGGTTATTCCCAATATCTTTGAGAATTTCAGTGTATTAGCCATCCATCATCATATTTTTTATACACAACCAATAAATTATGGAGTATTACATAATATAATATCTTCTCCATTTATATTATAATGATTTTTTGGTCAACATTTTTTTTCCTTATTATATAATTTTTTACTTACATTTTATCAACCAAAATGATGATAAAATTGTAAATTTCGTTAAACGTTAATTGAAAAAATTTACCTAGTATTAGTTTAGAGTTATGAAGTTATTTAGTAAACAAAAAGTGATGTATTTATAATCAATTATAATTATCTTTTGATATGTGTGAAATGAAGAAAAAATCATCATTTTAAAGTAATTACAGAAAAGAGAGTAAAACCACAAATAATGGGTTCCCAAAACAATACAATGATAATTACGACAACAAACCAATTATATGGTCAATAAAACAGTAATATAATAATAACAGTGGCATGATGGTAAGCATAATAATGATAGAGAGTATGTTCTCTACGAATTTTGATTCCTACCAACATCCTGTGTTTTTTGCTTTTGTTTACATCAAGAGCCTTCGTTTAATTTGAAAAATCATATGTTTGTATCTATATGCAAAGTAGAAACTAGTTGAGATACAATAAGAGAGAATTTAGGCCAAATAATACGTGTAAGTCTAGTGATAGTTAATTTTTTGAAATGCGATTTCAGGATTCAATTACATTTTAGAGTCGAATTTCAAAAACAATAAGCAGCGATATGAGTAGTTTATCTTTTGAAAAGTTAAGACATCTCTAATTAACTTGAAAATGGATTCGTTAAGTTCTTTCCAGTAATCAATTCTATATATGGTAAATTTAACAACGAACAATGTTCTCTGGTGAACTCCTACACAAATAAAATGTTATGATGGGTCATGAAATTTAATCCAGAACAGATATACAGTACACTAAGATTGTAGACAAAATACAGAAATAAAATATATAAATGGCTTTTCTTGTTAAAAAAATATATAAATGATTTTTTGGTCCAGTCGTTATCTAACGTAAATAAGATACAACAAAATTAAAATATTTAGATATTAATATTAAATATTATATACAGCAGGTGGGAGACTAATTATAATTAATAATAATATATTAATCCGCGAAAGAACCGATCTTCCAATAATTGTTTTATGTTATTTTCAGGAGTGTCGATCGAGTTGTATTTTCTTCATTAAAATTTTATTTGGATAATGATATTTATTCTTATGGATTATCGACAGCGTATATATGATAAAACTATGATCTTTAATATTAATAACTTGAGCCATATAATATGTTGTTGCTGGTATCTTGACTTGTTTTTCTTCACGAATTCAGTTATATTCTTGTGATGTGAACCCATCTACTATATACCTCCATAAGTCATAATTTCCCGAATGGACATTTCTTCAAAGAGTTTTTTCTTTTTTTGTTTTCCAAAATTTGTTCGGTGGTCCTTGATAATATGTATACGTCAGTGTATATATCATAGTTATTCCGATAATATAAAAGATTACTAATTGTATTGCAGCCGACAAGGAACAATTACAATATATATATATATATATATACATAAGGATTATAATTAAGTAGCAATTTATGTTCCTTTCATATATAATAAGTCGATGCTCATTTGAGAATCGTTACACGCAAATGATTTTTTTTAATAGCCTAATAATCGAAATTGTTATAGAAAAATCTGTAGGATAGGAGTTGAATGATATTTGGATTGTTCCCACGACTCTGGTTTAAATTTAAAATATGAATATTTACAAAACAAATAATTTCATTAAGGAATTAGTATTCATATGAAATATACGATTTAATAATGAAACTTTTAGCTGTGACCCAGTTGGCACGTGAACATGGCGCCAATTACCACGGAAAAGCAAACAAAAAAATCAATTCATTCTATGGAAAACGGACTACTTTGTTATAAGTTTCTTTTCAATAATAAGGGGGTTGCTATCTATTTAAATATATTATGTTGTTTCATATATTTGTTGGTAATATATAGTACCCCCTTAGTAACTGAATAAATGATCATTTATATTTATTTTTCTTTGAATTGATTGATCATATTATCATCTTTTACTTAAATCACTAAAACATATCGTCAAAATATTGACATTCGAACCGATTCAATATGAAAAAAATCTCACAACTTATATATATGAAAAGATTCAACTTAACAGTTCACACGAACGTTGATGTTAAGAAAAAAAATGCTTAGCACCTTAGCGTAACGAGCAGGAAAGTATATTATTAACGTCTCTAAATCGGGGAAACGAATATTTCCAAATCAACTGTTCCACGAGGCGGCTTAATATAAGCAAGTCAACACAGTGTATTATATCAATCCACTAAATAGTAAACGATAATAACTCAGACACTCGAATTTTAAAATAATAAACAGATCTTTTTGTATCCAACCAAATAAATAGATTGTGCTTATAACTGCGAGAGTAGTGTGTTTATTAAATCAAATCTCTATATATGGTAGCCCGTAGCGGTGCTATGGAAATAAAAACTGGGCCTCATAAGATACCTTGACTTAGATACGGGCTTGTGGGCTCAATTGTATACTTTTGTCGTATCAAAACCCATATCTGGATTTTCTAGTTTGCCTACGCATTGTTTCGAACTTTCGAGTTTTGTTTTATTTTCTAGTAGCAGAAAATTGTCAAACCTACGAATTTGGGCCTTTCTCATTTTGGAATCGGATCATAAATAATAATCCTGACATAGGTGGGGTCCAACCCCGCAATTATTTTCGGCTAAAAAACAATTCAACGGTAGATATCATCGACAGAAAAAAAAAAGAAGAAGAAAAAAAGCAACTTTCTTTGACTTTGGTCCTCCAAATAATTTCAAACGTGTTACAAAACCGACCCCATATCCTAAGAAAAATACATTTACGCACCTATATCCTCCTTTAACTAGTTTTACCCCCTCCCCTGGGAAAATTGGTCGGAGGAAACCTACGAGTTTCCATTTCAACGGAACGGATCGTTCTCTTCAGCCATAACACTTTCCTTAATCTCCTGAATCATCTGAATCACTTGTCTCATTGTCGGCCTTTGCTCTGGCGATGTCACACGGCAAAGACAAGCAGTTTCAGTCATCATCCCAAGCCTATTATCCTCGGCTCCTTCCTCTTCTTCTCTCATTGCTCTAACCCAATCAAGCATATCATGAGGCGCCATAAATGGATGCCTCGATGCATTCTTACCGGTCAGAAGCTCAAAGATTAAGACACCAAACGAGTAGACATCACATTTGGAAGTTGGTCTGCGGGATGATTTTCTGATTTCTGGGGCTTTGTACGAGAAAGAGTCAGGATCATCAGGTGAAACAGAAGAAGATAAGTCAGTTAAGACACTGAGGCAGTAATCCGTTAAACAGGCTTCGAAATCTTGACCAAGGAGGATGTTTGTTGATTTTAGGTTTCCATGGACTAATGCTGACGATGTTTGGTGGATGTAATACAAGCCTTGAGCGACATCTTCTGCAATCTTTAAACATGATGTCCAATGTAATGGCTTTGCTCTTGAGGATCTTGAACCTGAATTATTGAGATTAATTAGTCTCATTTGGTGCAATATGGGTCTAGATATAGAACAACAATTTGGGACCAAGAAGCCAATGAATTACCAACAGAAACAAGTATATTCTTAACGTAATAACCAGTTTTGGGACAAATGTTTTTGTTTTTCTCCGGGATTTAAGCACTTAACGCAAGGTCTAGAGACAGAGTCATGGCAAAAGACGAGATTTCACGTGAAAAAATAGCACAAAGTTCCACCAGGTTTCTGTCTTCTTCCACTGGTGTAAGTATATTCAACGGAAATTTCAGAGAAAAGAGCAAAAGAACAAAACTTTTTTTAAAAAGAAATTACTAAAATAAATCCCGCGATTGTCGCTGTGTGGTCAGCTTCAATTCAACAAGTGATCAGTAGTAAATGATAAAAGCAGTGAACAAAACCCGCCACACAGAAAGACTCATAATCTAGGGTTTAAGCTTAAATTAAAAACATAAGAATGGGACATTATTTAGGGTCACTCTCCACTACCTCAAAAAAGTAACGGTTAGTCACCTCATGATTAAGACCAACACAATTAAACCGCATTTTTAAAATAAAAATGGTGAGGTGATTAATTAGAGAAAACCATCAACTCGGGACTGACTCAGTGAGTTTAAACTAAAAACCATTTAAAAAAATCCAATTTTGAGAAGAGTTGAAGAAGATGAACATTACCGTGAATAAGATTGAAAAGGCTACCATTTGGTTGGTAATCGTAGATGATGAGCCTCTCTCCGTTTGATTGAAAGTAAGCCCTAATCGGAACGAGATTGGAGTGCCTGAGTCCACCAACAATCTCCATGTGATTCTCGAACGCTTCTTCGCTTGTCACCGCCGTCTTGGCCGCGTCTAGTCTCTTCACCGTCACGATAAGCTGATTGTCCAGCACCGCCTTGTACGTAATCCCCACCGATCCTCTTCCCAGTAGCTCCGCCGAAGCTCGCATAAGCTGCTCAAGAGTGTACATCCCTTGGCTCGATTCTCTTCCGTCGCCGCAGAAAACCAGGTTCCCGCTATTTGAGATACGGCTTTGTGGCTCTGTAGCTCGAAATTGAAGCTTGTCTTCTTTTTCATTTCCCATTTGGCGCTTGTGAGATTCAATCGCGACGGTTCTTCTTGTCGTCGGAGTAGTTTGATTTTGGTGTTGTTGCGAGGAGGATGATGCATCTCCTTTCTGACTCGGTTCGTAAGTCCCGTCGTCGTTCCGTTTCTTCATCACCAGAGAGAATACAACGAGGCAAAGACCAAGGACGATAAGCGAAGCGAGACCCACAGTGAAGCCCAGAACTAACCCAGTCTCTTTCCCTTTCTTCCTCGAAACCACCGGTGAAATCACCACTGCTCCACCGTTCTGGGCCTGCGCGCTTTGGCCCAGTGGAGCCTGCGACGACGAAGAGTTTGATGACGTCTTGTTAGTCGACCCGAAGAACGGCGAGCGTGAAGCGCAAGCTCGGCTAATGATCTCGCCGCAGAGCCCAGGGTTAGACCTAAACGCCGATGCGTCGAATCGCGACAGAGTCGGTGTAGCGGGGATAACTCCGGTTAGATTGTTACCGGAAACGTTAAACGACGTCAGAAACGACTGATTCAACGAAGGGAGAGTTCCGTTGAAGCGGTTATACTCCAGATTCAAGGAAATTAGCCGGTCAAGAGCGTTGATCTCTGACGGAATCGGACCGGTGAAGTTGTTGTACGAAAGAGAGAGGACCATTAACCGGTGAAGAGAGAGAATCGACGGAGGGAAAGTTCCAGAAAACTCATTCCGGCGGAGGAAAAGGGATTTAAGGTTAACGAGTGTGGAGACATCAGGAATCGGGCCAAAGAGCGAGTTATTCTCGAGACTCAGAACTCGGAGCTGGTCGAGACGGCTAAGAGTCGCCGTAGAGAAATAGCCACGGAGACCAACGCCGGAGAGGACAAGGCGAACGACACGGCCCTGAGCACATTTGACGCCGCGCCATTGACAGTAGTCGTAGCGCTCTGTGAGGGAATACAAGAGCTTGTTGTCGAGATCGGCGGTGGATTTGAAAGACAGTAAGGCTACGGCATCAGAAGGAAGCAAGGAGTTAACGTAATTTGGCTCCGATGGTGAGATTCCGGCGGAGGCATGGTGGATAATGAGGAAGAAGAAGAGAAGACAGTTCAGTGACATTTTTTTTTTTATAACTTTTTGGTGTTTTCTTTTTTGTTTGTAAAGTCACTAAAATTCATATCAATATTAATTGCTTCTGAATCCTTTCTTTTCAGTTAAAACGAAAAGAGAATAATTTTTTAAAAATTAAGCAAAAATAGATAAAAATGGGAAGCAGTAGAGATTTTGGGATTCTGAAGTGGATCACGTGCTTGTGGTGAATTTTTTTTAGGCAATGAACATATTTATTTGGTATCATAAAGATTGTATACTTATGGTGCAAATTATACCTAACTTGCAATAGAGTATTATAAGCATAACTTATGGTGCAAATTATACCTAACGTTACATGTATTGTGTAGGTATAAGAAAGTGACACAGTACGTATAAATTTATTATTAGTCTTAGTATATGCATGTACATACTCTTCTTACCTTGTTAACTAAAAGTCATTATAAATGTTAGTAACGAAGACTTTGGGAATCATGAAAATCTAAAAGTTACTGTGGTGTTATGCAGTTAACAGAATCATGCAGAGAGGTTTCTTTTTACCCGATGCGGTCAAAATTATGTTTTCCGAGAAGAATCGCATTGGGACTGAGGGCCACGCGCAGAGTGAAACGCGTGAGAATCAGCGTAGTGCGCCGTTAGTGAGAGCTTGAGCGAGTCCGTGAGTGGTCTATAGCCAATTGGTCCGTGTTAAGTTTCATTGGCTTCTAGCTTAAAACCAATTGGCGATAAGTGAAGAGGTCCAAATCACTTATATATTAGTGTTAGTCCCTTTAATTTTTCGATGTGGATTCTAACACGCCCCCTCGAGATGATGGCTCTTATCAGCCCATCTCGAACCGAATCCCACTTTAGGACCGATAATAAATCTTTTTTGGGTCACCCTTATTGGGTCAACAAACGAGGCTCTGATACCATATTAAGTTTCATGGACTTCCAACTTAAAACCAATTAGCGATAAGTGGAGAAATCCAAGTCCCTTATATATTAGTGTTAGTCCCTTTAATTTTCCGATGTGGGATTCTAACAGTCCGTAGGGAAACGACTAGACTCTTAGTCGTAGCGAAGCTGGTGTGGTCCTGGTAAAATGGTGTGGTCCTCTCTTTTTGTTTTCCTTAAATTTTGTCTTTACAACAAACAAAAATATTGCAGGGTTCAAATTTCTGAATCCAAAACAGTTTTTTTATAGCTTATGGAAATTTTGGGGGGTTAAAATAGTTTATAGTTATTGACAATTTGACATTATGGCAAAGTATGGATGGAGTTGTTCGACTTTGCCTCCAATCATAAAAATTTCTTTGTTCCCATTCTTCCATGTTTCTTTTTAATATAAATGATAAAAACTGACAAAAACCTTGTTAATGGGTACTCGCTTTTTCTTGTTGCACTTTCTTGATAAAGGTCAAGATAAGCAAGGCAAAGCGTGCTGCTTTGATGACTCAAAAACAGCATCTCCACTCTCCATTTGCGTCATTTCCTTAAATATTAATGAGTTTAAAAAGACTAACAATAAATTATCATTTTTAATCTTTTCTTTTGGGTCTAAAGAAAGATTAAAGTTGGATGGCTATGCGGAGAAAACTAGCTAAAGTGATTTTGACTTTACCATTTGTAAATAACATCGAAAAAGAAGCGCCTCACAGGCCCACCACCACTTTAGAGACCTACGTATCAGTATCACTTTAAAAGGTGTTATTTCGTAGTAATTTATTGAGCTAATCCTCGGATATAAAAGAAGTTGTATGTGAAGGGGTCCCTATGTGAAGGAGATCTATTCTAGACTACAAATTATGAAAGCATTAAATCCGGAATCTGGATGGGTCACACACTAAAGCCCAAAATAAAAATAGACCTTGTTATACAGGCCAAATCATATTAGTTGGATTCAGTAAAGGATCCATCTTGTGGCTAAGGCAAAGTCCAACCTGAGACTGTGGAGCTTCTCCTGAAATGAAACAACTTCGAACTAATTTAATTTCCCGGTTCTGCAATCACCATCATGAGCTAGCATACATATTATTGGGAGGGCCAGTTCATGACATTTTCATTGGTTAGTGTAACTGTTTAAATTTGTGATTATGAATTAGTGTGATCACTACTGTTATTTCATTGCTGCAAGTTTAGATTTAATGTAATTATAACAAATCAAAGCTTTAGGATAATAATATTCGCCGTTGAACTAGTTTGTTTAGACTAATAAACTAGTGTGATCACTGCGGTTGATGGCAGGACTATACGCAACTAAAAACTTTTTTTAATAGTAATATTTTATTGAGGAGATAATAATATTAAAATGCATTTAGTTTTGAATATTATTCCGTAAGAAAGAAAACAAAGGAGAAGAAGAAGAAGGGACAGTGACTTATAGCCTGTAATTAGTTATGGTGTCACTTTGCAGTAACCTAAACGCCGACACCTCTCTTCTTCTTCGACTCACCAGCTCCATGCATGTACGGTACAACCACTTCCTAAACACACACACACCCCCTCCTTAATTATTTACATTTTTTATTTTATTTCTCTATCAAGGCTAAAACCAATAAAACACACATGCATAATGCATTTGGTTATTTAAACATATTTCAGTTTCGCCAAATTTGTATTCTTCCCAACGAACCACAAATCGCTTGATAAATATGTAGAACTTGTTGTTGATTAATAATATATTTCGTTTATCTGTTTATTAATTTAGTTTGCACTCGATACACGTCGTAAAACACACAAGTAAACAGCAATTTTAACTCTAGCTGTTCGGTTTTGCAAATTTTAACAACCTCGTTAACATGATCCGTTTTGAACATTTAGAAGTATATCTTTTACTTGACACACCTGTATAATTTACTATGATTTGTGAATTAGGTAATGCCCGTGTTAGTTGCTTAATCGTATTAGAGAAATGTCGCCTTCAGAAACCTCCCAAAGAAAACAAGTTTTTAGGAAAAGGGGAACAAAATTAATAAGATTCCGGAGTGATTAATTATCTTCTAGAATATAAAAAGAGACTATACATTACAATTTGTTTTTACAATTGTGACGTCGTCATCAGTCCCTTATAGGTTTCGATACAAATATTTGGATTTTATTTCTCCCCGAAAGCAAAACACTTTATTTTCAAAACAGAGAGAGAGAGAGAGTCATTCTCTTCCTCTGACACAAGACGCATAGAAAGAAAAGAAAAAAACAGAGCAAAATAAACATGAAAAGCGGAGGAGGAAACACAAGCACGAAGCTCATACTTGTTCATCCATACATTCAAAAACAAACAAGCACAAATCGGCTATGGCTTCTCGCTTTCGTCTCGTTCTTCACAATCGCTTTTCTCTTAACTCTGCTCTACACCACCGACTCCATCATCCCTACCAAAAACAGCTCCACCGTCTCCTCCGCTGTCAATTCCGCCGTCTCCTCCGCTCCGATCACTCAGTTGCCAACTAGCGCCATCAATGCTCTGCTTCACTACGCGTCGAGATCTAACGACAGCTTCCACATGTCTTACGGCGAGATGAAATCGATCTCCGATGTCCTCCGCCGCTGCGCTCCGCCGTGCAATCTCCTCGTTTTCGGTCTAACTCACGAAACCCTTCTCTGGAAATCGCTAAACCACAACGGTCGGACCGTATTCATCGAAGAGAACCGGTATTATGCTGCTTATTTCGAAGAGATCCACCCGGAGATTGAAGTCTTCGATGTTCAGTACACGACCAAAGCGCGTGAGGCGCGTGAGCTAGTGTCTTCCGTGAAAGAGGCGGCGAGGAACGAGTGTCGTCCCGTGCAGAATCTCCTCTTCTCCGATTGCAAATTGGGTCTCAACGATTTGCCCAATCACGTCTATGATGTTGATTGGGATGTGATCTTAGTCGATGGGCCACGTGGCGACGGTGGAGATGTACCGGGAAGGATGTCGTCGATTTTCACGGCGGCAGTTCTTTCCCGGAGCAAAAAAGGCGGCGGTAACCCAAAGACGCATGTGTTCGTTCACGATTATTACAGAGACGTCGAGAGGCTCTGCGGAGACGAGTTTCTTTGCCGGGAGAATCTCGTGGAGTCTAACGATATGCTTGCGCACTACGTGTTGGAGAGGATGGATAAAAACAGCACGCGGTTCTGTCGTGATCGTAAGAAACGCTCTGTTTCTCCATCGCCTTGAGTTAAATATCATTTTGCGTTAAAATCTCGTGGAGAGTCAAGAGTCAATTAGACAGACGGTGGTGATTGACACGGCAATCGCGGAGGAGTTTGTGTAAAATAAAAACCTTTTTTTTTCTACCTTTTCATCTTTTTCTCCTGCTGTAATTTCTAAATCTTTGACCCATGTGAAAATTCAACCAGAAGAAGTAAAATTTAAACATTAAAAAAAAATTATTCTCGTGAAGGTCTCTAGCTTAAATAAGAAAAATCATTTTAAAAATAATTTTCATAATATGAACTAAGTTGTGAAAGCATCTTGCAAAATAATTATTTAACTAAATATGCTCTATTAACCTTCAATCTAACATTTCAGAAAATAAGTCGACAAATTAACTAACATTTCAGAAAATATTAATAAAATTGAGTGAAATTTTTATAAGTGAACAGTTTTACTTCAAAAAGTATTTGGACACTGATAAAACATAAATTAAATCACAACGAATCAAGAACGTATAAATTCAAAACTCTAACCCTTTTGTGGAGACTCTTGAAGAGTATCTACCTTCCTTTTCTTGTAGAGTGGAACTCGTCCTCCAAGCTCTTTAAGCTGATCCACAAGACCGTATAGAAACTCAAACGTCAATATGTTCTGAGCATTAAGCTGCTCCCTAACCTGAGGATGAACCCTAAACCAATCTCCCAACATCTTATGCACGTGAGATCGAATCATCCTCCATGGAACCGGATGCTTCTCACATAACTTTAAATACTCAACAACTAAATCTCCCTGATCTAGCCCACCATCAACATATCCCTCTTCTTCTTCACTATCTTTTGCCCATTCAGCTGTTCTAAACCCAGCAAAGACCGCAGGGTTTTCAAGAAGTGTCTCAGCGGAAAGAACACCTTCAACACCAGTCTCCTCAATGCAGTCATCGACATCTTCAATGCATCTTACATTCCCATTCGCTAGAACAGGGATTCTCAGAGCGTTTCTCACCTCCTTGATTGCGCTCCAATCAGCTCTAAACTTTTTCCCGTCCTTCTCATCTCTCGTTCGGCCGTGGACTGCTAGCAGCGAGCAACCAGCATCTTCTAGCATCTTGGCGTAGTTGAGTGTATCTTTAAGGTTTGGGAAAATCCGGATTTTACAAGAGACAGGAACAGTGAGGTTCTGAGCTAGCTTTTCAACAAGTGATTTCACCAAAGGAAGATTATCCATCAAAAATGCTCCATAGTTTCCTCGCCTTGCAATACGTTGAGGACACCTGAAACCAAAATCTCCCAAACATTCTTCTCAGATTGCCCAAGATTCATTGTGCTCTTCGGTACACAAATCACTGAATCTAAACAAAACCCTAGTAATGGGTGTTATAATCCATGATTCGAACTACTAAATCTCATTTAACTCTATCATTTCCAGAAGTTGAATACAATCTTAATTATCATAATCATGCAAAGTTAAAACAGTGATACTATAAAAACTCCATCTTTACTGAAGAATCTTAACAAACGATATGTGAAAGAGAGAATTGTACTTACCCTAAATTGATATCAACATAATCGCAGTAAGGTTCGACTCTCTTCGCAGCTTCCAATAGTGTATCAGGATCATTGGCACAGAACTGCACAAACAATGGCCTGTCCTCCTACAATTTCAATCCCATCATCAAAACCCTAAATAAAACTGATAAATCCCTCAGAAACCAAATCAAAATTATTTTCAGTTATCTTACCTTACAGGTGGTGAATTCCTGATTTCGATACTTCTCAGTCTCGCTGAAAATCCTAGAATGCAGCATCGGCGTATAAGCCGCTTGAGCTCCGTATTTCTGGCAGAGTAATCGAAAAGGCAGCTCTGAATTATCCACCATTGGAGCAACGATATACTTTGGTCTACCCAGTTTTTTCCAGTGTTCCCAAGCTCGCTCCACCCTAGTATCGATGCCTAAAAGCCGACCTGGAGAGCCCAAGCTCAACGGCGCTGCGTCGACCGTTTCCTCAATCCCCTTATCACGCTGCTGCCGCTCCGAGCAGAGGAGATCGTCGACAACTTTCGACGGGTCAGGATTTGCATCCGTATTATGGGTCATTGTTCGCGTCTGGGAGATGAACGATTTTCGGGGTCGAAGAAATCTGAGATTCGAGAGATTTAGTTTCATGAGCTGACGACGGGAGACGGACTCATCGCCGCCGCCATAAATTAGGGGTCGAAGCGAGTCCCTTAAAAGTTTTGGGTTTTCTTCTACTAGAAAAAGTTTGTTAATATTCCTGAGAGTTTTTGGGCCTTAATTGGCTACACGTATTCAAATAAAAGCATGGGCTTATATATGCATTCGAAGCTATAATCCATTTGAGAAGAAAATTACTTTTTTTCTCTTGTTTATTGTGCAAACTGGGGAAAAATACTAGTTAGTACTCACCATAACATGTGCATGAATGAATTGAGTTAGGCTAATGGTTTATACTAGTATTCACAATTCTGAGTTTCACTTCGTTTGTAGTTGTGTGTAAATAGCAAACGATTAATTAAAGATATTGTAACAAACGCTAGATAAGAATTAGTAACTACTAGCTTTTGAGTTTTGCTGCCTATTTATAATATTGATTCAAATTCTATAGATAAGAATATGTGTGATAAGTTGTAGAGGGATAAAAGAGAGTGTAGATAAAAAATGTAATGTAATTTCAACATAATCAATATCTCGGAACTCGGAAGGTTTGTGTGGCTGATAAATTCAAATAAAAATGGTAGCATTTGCTTAGAAATAAAGGAAAACGGTAACCTACATTGTACTACTATTATTTCTTCCTTTGACTGCTGACGTAATCCAGCACCAATCATTAACGTCACATCTCTCTAATTATACACGTGCTTTGCCCAAATCTCCTCCTTAATCATCACTCCACAGTATAACCTCTGAGTCTCTGACTAATATCAAGCCACATGTAACTCGCCATTTATATAAAACCAACATTGCTTTCTTTCCTTTTTCGATTTCCCCTTTAAAATATGTCCGTTGTACCAGCAGATGGGTGGTAACCATAATAATGGGTATTTAATTAGTGGATAATAAATCTTTAATGCAAAGTAATTAATTTTAATTTAATAAATCTTAACAGACGTTTTTCCCTCTTTTTATGTTGTTCGCTCTCTAACAACTGTTGAGAAGAGGGAAAAAGAAGGCGAAGAAGATGAAGCTCTCTGTGTTTCGATTGAGCTATTGGAACCGCCGAGGAATCAGCTTCAGATCATCAATTGCATCGTTGGATCCATCATTCGATGGAGGTTTCTCCGGCAAGTCGTCTATCTTTTGGCTCGTGATTCATGCTCTCTGCTGCTTGATCAGCTTGATTCTGGGTTTTCGATTCAGCCATTTAGTCCTCTTCTTCCTTTTCTCGACTTCCGTCACCAATTTATACACCACGCCGTTTCTTTCTCCCGGCTCCGGCGGCGTAAGCCAGCTGCTCCGGCTGAAACCTCTGGAAACAACTAGCAGCACGGTGAAGAGCTCTCGAGTGGTGGTTGGAAGACACGGGATCCGGATCCGGCCATGGCCTCACCCGAACCCGATTGAGGTCATGAGAGCACATCAGCTACTCGTGAGAGTACAGAAGGAGCAGAAGTCGCTGTACGGTGTGAGGAGCCCTAAGACTGTGATTGCGGTGACGCCGACTTATGTACGGACTTTCCAGGCGCTTCATCTGACCGGAGTTATGCACTCGCTTATGCTTGTTCCTTACGATTTGGTGTGGATCGTGGTGGAAGCTGGTGGAACCACCGACGAGACGGCTTCGTTCATCGCTAAATCAGGATTGAAGACAATTCACATTGGATTCGACCAGAAAATGCCGAACACTTGGGAAGATCGCCACAAATTGGAGTCCCAAATGCGACTTCACGCCTTGAGGTAAATTCCTGATTCATCTCTGTTTCTATTGCTGTTTCGATTCGCAGAAATCTAATCTACTTTTGAAAATGTTATTGTGTGGATGTTTGTCTCTTTTGATTGGAAAGCAGAAGAGTGAGAGACGACAAGTTAGATGGGATCGTTATGTTTGCTGATGATAGCAACATGCATAGCATGGAGCTATTCGATGAGATTCAAACTGTGAAATGGTTTGGTGCTCTATCTGTTGGGATACTTGCTCACTCTGGTCATGCAGAAGAGTTATCATCACTCTTGATGAATCAAGTGAAGAGCAAAGGCAAACCTTCAATGCCAATCCAAGGTCCTTCTTGTGATTCCTCGCAGAAACTTGTGGGATGGCACGTTCTCAACACACTGCCTTACGCTAAGAAGACTGCGGCTTTTACCAATGACAAAGCGACTTTGATGCCTAGTAAGATGGAATGGTCAGGGTTAGTACTGAATTCCAGGTTACTCTGGAAGGAACCTGTGGTTGATAAGCCAACATGGGTTAAGGATCTCAACTTGTTGGATGATAGTGAAGAAATGGATAGTCCATTGTCTCTGCTCAAGGATCCTTCCATGGTGGAACCACTTGGAAGCTGTGGCCGCCATGTCTTGCTTTGGTGGCTCCGTGTTGAAGCCAGAGCTGATAGCAAATTCCCACCTGGGTATGTCTACTTGAGGCAAAAATATTGCGGATTTCTCATCACACTATCCTATCCTGACTTGCAATCTTCTCTTTGTATGCAGCTGGATCATAAATTCGCCCTTAGAAATCACAGTGCCATCAAAGAGGACACCGTGGCCAGACTCTTCCTCAGACCTCACAGTGGCGATCAAAGAAGCGAAAAGCGGTCAATCAGCCACAGAACGGCGCTCCGGTAAGCCAAGAGGATCAAAGAGCAAGAGCTCTAAGACGAAACAAGAACCTAAAAGCTTTTGATGGCATCAAAGTAACAACAACTCGTTGAAGATGACGTGAAAGATACAAAACCTTGAGGGATACTGCTACTTTAAATAGGCGAATTTCATTTCATATTCTTTTTCACCGTAAATACCAAAAATTTGTTTGGTGTGCGTTGTGGCTTCATCGAATACAATACAAAATCATATGAGATGTCTTGAGTTCATTAATTTGAATGCTTAGCCCTACAACAAAACTTAGAAGACAATAGTGTCTGTCTTCTTTTAACAATAAAACTAGACAAAATCTAAGACATGGATGATGATCAAACGATACCGAGTTTGCAGACCGGAGAAACAACAGGTTTGTGTGAATTCCCAAACTTGAGCCATGGATGATTTTGTTAAATCAGGCCTTTGACTTTTTCTTCTCCAGTCGCTTTTTGAGGTTAGCTATGATCTTATCCCGAGTCTGAACCTCAAATTCCTTAGCTTTGAGTTTCCCCTTCAGTAATTCAATTTCCTTCAAGTGATCTTCGCTGCTCTCCTTAGCTTTGAGTTTTTGCTTCAGTTCTTCAATTTCCTTTAAATGATCTTCACAAAGGCTCTCTTTGCTGCGACGGTTTACATTTTCTTCTCTGGTCTCCTCAGAATCATCTTCTCTCTTCTGTCTCTTAGAGCTCACATTGTTCTCCTCTGTGTTAGTTCTCTTTTTTGCAGAGATGTCACCATCTTCAACCATTTTACGAACGTATAAAGATGCTCCTGATCCAGAACTCAGCTTAAACACAACCAATTTTTGTGGCAGACCATTTGTATCCTAAAAGAAACAAAAGACAACAGAATGTTATCATATCGCATTTCTGACCACAGTTTTTAAAGATCCTGAAATGACCTGAGAGCTGATTCTAAATACCTTAACTACGTCTCCATCAACGCTTTCAAATGCTTGATTTGCCTCTTCTGAACTATTAAAAACAGCTTCTGCGGTACAATAACCTCCTTCTCTTTTTGGTGCCTGCCCAAAAAAAAAAAAAGACAATTACAAAAGCATGATCCTCTAGAGACTCCCCGTGAGAATAAAAAATGGAGAAAAAAAGATTATAATATCACCTTAACATCGAGTGTGAAATCCCCGGTAATAACTCGTTGTAACTCTTCAGAGGAAACATAGTGAGGGATTTTATGAAGTAAGAGTTTTGTCTTTCCCGCCTCCCGTCTTGTCTTGTCCGCCTCCAACAACTTATACAGATTTTGCAGACAATATTGTATTTGTTTCAGAAAAATGTATACAAATACGTTTACTTAGGAACTTAGAAGAATAGTAAAGAAACCGCCTTACTTCTTCAGGAAGTGGAATCAAGGTGTCTACCCCTTTTTCCACAACAGCAAGTACAAGTTTCATAGCAGCTGCTGCGTCATGAACGCAATTGTGAGCAGCACCTGCCATTCGCACTTCGTGTCCCAAAACAGACTGCAGAACCAAAAACAAAAATAGAAAAATAGAATTCATCAATCATTAACACATTAGGGGGGTCGATTTCTAAGTGACCAGAGAATATGAATTTTCTTCACATGCTTGCCTTGCATAGATTATTCAAAGAAGGTGCTCGAGAACTACTTGCACCGGAATACTTATATACAAGCGAAGTATCTATTACCCTCGCATGATCTATCTTCAACACTGTGATTGATCATAGTAATCCGTAAGCACGATAAAGTCACTCAATAAAACATGTATCCACACATAATAGAGATAAATTTTGGAGCTTGTAGCTAACCTTTAAGATCATTATGCAAACCGTGACCTACTAAAACAGTTCCCATAGAAAGAAACCTCCGCATTTTTTTCTGAATATCTGCAACAGATAGAGTAGCTTTCTCAAGATCCTCAGCAGTAACTCCAGTAATCTCTGTCTTATAGTCAACAACTGGTAGGCTCGGTTTCACAAAATTGTCAAGAACCACCTGATTTCAGTTTAAATAAAACCAACACGATTAAAATGCTTTGATCACCGAGTATTTGAAGGTAAAAAGAGATTCATCTATCTATACCTTTAAATCACGGTCCACTACACCAACCCTAACTACAGCCTCGCTCCCATCGTCACATGTAACCATTTCACAATCAATAGCAATCATTCTCGTCGATTTCATCACTTTTGATTTCTTCTTTCCAAGTTCCGTTACAAACCAATCCTATTATGCAATTCCAAAAAAAAAAAGTTTTCTTTTTCATAATCTCATATGCAGGGGAATAAAATGCTTAAACTCTTGTTATGAGCTCCAATCACATACCTCGGCGTGGGACGGAAATGCATAATCTATTGGGTATTTGGGATGTGCAATAGTCATTCGAACTAGCCTCTGCACTGCCAAACAACTTAAGTGGTTATCAACAAATTACTAAAAAAACTTATAATTAGACCCACAAAAGAATGTTCCCGACCTGCTCAGGAGTCTCTTTATCCGGAGATTCTTGCTTGAATTTCTCTATCAGTTTACGATTAGCATCACACTGAAGAACTCTGGCCATTAGCTGAGAGTAATAAAAACCCAAAATATATAAGAAGAACTATAATGGTCTAAGTAAATCCCAAAGAAAGATGAATGTAATGTGTTTTCACCTGCAAATCTTCTTTCTTTTTGAATGTGGAAAGAAAAGCGACCAATACATCAGTGGAACGTCTTGAAGGATCACTCACACTCGACCCGAATTTTTTGTCGTAAACATTTAGAAATTCCTTCCATCCTCCGTTTTCGCCTACCAAATCTCGCTTCTGCACTAGCTTCACCAGCTCTACTAGCACCTGCAATCATCCCCATCATTACTTTAATTTACCCCAATTCAAAATATCCAAGTTATTAGGTCGATTTTGACGTACTCTTTTCTCAGCGGTGGCTAGTTTATGCTCCATAACCAAATACTGAAATTGATAGGAGGAGCTTCTTCTACCGTCGAATCGTTTCGGACGGTGGCTCTGTGAGTTTTCAGAGGCGGCGAGTCGGGGAAGAAGAAGATACGACAATTAGGGTTTTACTCTGTTTCTTATTTGTTCGGGCAGCTTCGTCTTGTTAATGACCTTTTTGTCCAACTCAAGGTTCCCGTAATTATGTTTTTCTTATCACTTTATTAATTTATTTTTTTCTCTATCAGCAAATACTTTTGATCTGATAAGTGTGTTTGATAAATTATGTAATACCGGATTAGTACTTAATTGATAAAATTGCTGAAACACTTGAGTTTTGAAGTGAAACGAATTTTGCTAAATAATCATGGAATGTCAAAAAAAACTACTTTCGGTAGACTAATGACGTTTCGCTATTTGAAGTTAATATTTAAACAAACAACTCGTAAGCAGTCACAGTCGAAACTAATAAGAACTCAACACAATTAGAGGACCTGTCTGGACCATTTGAAGTTTAACATACCTTCAATTATCACTAACTGACTTAAGAACAAAATATCGACGCGCCAAACAACCTACTGTATTCTTAAAACCACTCATTATTTTTACACATTTTCTTTACCACCTCCATGGCTCCATATAATTTTGTTTCTAGTAATTCGTTATTATCCTAATTAGATCTTGTAGATGATATTAGTCAAACAATTCAACGTACATGACAATTCATTCACATCATTGACGAATATTCAGATTCCGAAAACAGATATAAAACAAATAAATCAGGCCGGCAAATCAATAGTCAATACTCAATACACACCAAAAAAAAACAATAAATATTCTTCCTTGGAATGATGACTTTTCTCTAATCGACAACTATTTCCATGTTCCACTCCACATCATAAAATGAGTACTTTAACTTAGATTTATGTTAATGACGTTGGATTATGTGATAATGATCACGTTCATATAATGTCAGAAGGTTTATTCCCATTTTAACACTCTGTTTAGATCAATGTCTATTTCGATTGACATAATTTCTTACTATATTTTCCGTGACCGTAATTATATATCTCCCATCGAGGTCTACGAACAATTTTTTTTTAACACATTACAATTTCACTTTGATTGATTCACAGCGACCATCGTTTGAATTAGACAAAGATAAAAGATTGAAATGCAGAGAGGTGGGGACATTTATAAGAAGAAAAATATAAGATGTGAAAGGAGGAAATGAGAAGTCGCTATTAGACTTTTGTAATAATCTCTCTCAGATTCAGACCTCGCTTGTTACCCATATGGCCTCACATCTTTAGCTCTCGTGATTTTCTTATATCTATGAGACTATGACCATGTATGTATACATATATATGAATCGTCAGTTTTTATTTTTAAACCAACATTTTTGTCCAATATGAAAAACTATGGACCAACTTGAAATAACAACTGAGATTATGTGTAGCGTAATTTGTTTCCTCTACCTACATAATATTCTTTCCCACTTCTTCCATTTATTTTGTTGTTTTCCTTTTTTTTTTTGTCTCTCTTTCAATTTTTATGTCACAATATTTCAAAGGAAATTATCTACTAAAACAAGCTAGAAAGTAAATTATTTGTATTATTATCTATATAACGAGGTTATCAGGTTCACCTCAACGTGGTTGTATTTTAAACATCTCTTTGGATAATGTAATTTTATTCTGAGAGAAAAAGAATGGGAATTCTTTATCTGCTAATCGTTTTTTTGGCCTTACATCCGAGTTTTTAGCATATAAAGCAGTGAGACAAGTTCAAATTAAATAAACACCATAAAGAGATCTTTATAGTATACTTAAAAACCAAACTGTTTAAAGGAAAAAAAAAGGCTCGAGCATTTTACTTTAGCGATTTTTTTTTTTAATTTATGTAGATTGGACCACAGAGAATCTGAAGCTATGTATCAAGAAAGACGTGACTATAATAAATACCACGATCAATAAATAACTACATTTATTTGTTAAAAAATTTATTCACCTTACGATTTTTTTATCCAAAACCATATGGATATATATTTCTCAAAGTACAGGCATCTCATAATTTTTTACTTATGCTGTAATTAGAATCTTACCCACTTCCCACGTTCCTAACATGTTCATAATTTGCATGCCTCTTCAAATTAAAACAGGTACAAAATAAAATACACCACAGATTTCCTTTTGTTAGGGTAAATGTTCTTGTTGGATACATATTATTTATTCTATTTCAATAAAGGAAAAAAGGTTAAATATATGTTTTTAATTAGTAATAAAATATACTCCCTCTGTTCAGAATTATTTGATGTTTTAAAAGGTTTTTTTTGTTCAGAATTATTTGATATTCTCACTTTTCAATACAAAATTTAATGAATTTTTATAGTTTTTGACTTTTTATATTCTGCAGATAGTTTTCTTATTGGCTGAATGATATTTAAATGAATTATAAATAATATTTTTAGTATAGGAAAAATAAAAATTAAATGAATCCTTAAACTATGTGAAAAACCTTAAACATCAAATAATTCTGAATAAAGGGAGTAGTAATTATTAAATCTAACGAATACTTTTATTCAACTTTCGAAAAAAAAAATGTTTTCAGCTCGCTACGCAAGAGAAGAGCGTAATCATCACAAATCCGATCAAGAGATCCGATCGTCGAAATCCTACGGACAGGGAGTAGGAGCGTGTAGTCACTCACGATCTGTTGCGTGATTTTCTTATATACATAAAAATACTTTGCAGGCATCAAATACGTATCTTTTCATCTTCTTTAATTACATTACGCTATTTAATTCAGACAACTTTATAACAGTATCAAATAAATTCAGACAAATTAAATAAAGGCATCAACATTTCTCTAAAATTAAAATTCATTTATATTTTATCGCGCTCCGAATACTAAAAGGAGGAATTAAAAAAAAAAAAAAGAGAGAAGAAACAAGTAAAAACAATATTTGACCCCACCCAAAAAAAAAAACAATATATTGGAAAACAAATAAAGAAAGACAAAGCGTGAGATTAAATATAAACTCTTCGCTTTCTTAGCAATTGTCCGGTCTCTTCGTTCTTTCTCATTCTAGAATCCGTAGATGAAACTAGGTGCAATGGCAGAATGAGCAGAGACATTTACAATTTCTTCTTCTCGGAAGAAGAAGATGGCTTTGGAGAAAGAAGAAGAGGAGTCGCCAAACGGTCTAAACGCACCGTTTTGTGTACTTGATGGGCTCTATTGTGAGGAAGAAAGTGGGTTTGTGGAGGAGGATCTGGTGGGGATTGATAGTGGGGGTTTAGATTTGCTCGAGAAATCCGATGAAAATGTCGAAAAGTTTCAGTTTTTACCTCTTATGGATATGTCTTTATGGGATGACGATGAGTTGTTGTCTCTACTTTCAAAGGAAAATGAAACGAATCATTTTCTTCGTGACGAAACCTTAGATGGGTTTCTGGTTTCTTGTAGGAAAGAGGCATTAGATTGGGTTTTTAGGGTTAAGTCTCATTTCAGGTTAACTTCCTTGACGGCTTTGCTTGCTGTGAACTACTTCGATAGGTTTATCACAAGTATTAAGTTTGAGACAGATAAGCCATGGATGTCTCAGCTTGTTGCTGTGGCGTGCTTGTCTTTAGCGGCTAAAGTTGAAGAGATCCATGTTCCATTGCTCATTGACCTCCAAGTTAGTTTCTTCGCTGTTAAAATGTCGTGTAATTAATGGTTTCAAAAAAAAAAATGTCGTGTAATTAAGTGTTTGTTAAAAAGTCATTTTCTAACGAAATCCTCTTGTTGTGGTTTAGGTGGAAGAAGCAAGATATATCTTTGAAGCTAAAACTATACAAAGAATGGAACTTTTGATTCTTACTACTCTCCAGTGGAGGATGCACCCTGTGACTCCAATCTCCTTCTTTGATCACATTGTACGGCGATTCGGCTCTAAATGTCACCAGCAATTGGACTTCTTTAGGAAGTGTGAGCGTCTTTTGATCTCCGTCATTGCTGGTGAGGTTTCCATTTAAAATATTTTTTCAGATGTTTTAGCTGAATTTTTGCTGCTAAATTCTGGAATATTCGTCGTTACAGATGCAAGGTTTATGAGTTACATCCCTTCTGTGTTGGCTACTGCAATAATGATATATGTAATCAAAGATTTGAAGCCATGTGAAGAAGTTGAATACCAGTCTCAGCTCATGACTCTACTCAAAGTTAATCAGGTCTGTACTTAAAACCTTTGTAATTAATCCCAAAATGCTCAATGCTATACCTTGAAAATCGAAACCTGATTAATCATTGACTTCACAGGAGAAAGTTAATGAATGCTATGAACTGATGTTGGAGCACAATATGAGCAAGGAGAGGATGATGAATTGGGTCGATCAGGACAGTCCAAGCAGTGTATTCAGCTTCGACGACAGCTCAAATAGCTCCTGGAATGTCTCTGCGGCTTCATCATCATCTCCAGAGCCCTTGCTCAAGAGGAGAAGAGTGCAGGAGCAGCAAATGAAGTTGCCTTCAATAAACCATATGTTTGTCGATGTGCTTAGTAGTCCTCGCTAGTACCTTTCATTGTTCGAATGTGTCAAGTTAGAAGAACATAAAAATTCAGTCTATCTTTTGCGTATCATCATCATCATCTGGTTATGGCTACAATTTTAAGGTAGAACATATTGTGTTAACTTTAAAGCCAGTTCCAAGCTAACCCTGCCTCTCTTTTTTTTTTTTTTTTTTTGTTCAAAAGCTAACACTGCCTCTTACATCATTATGCCCTTCCATCTGCACAGAAGATAAACATTAAGATCATGTTTATATAATTATTGATGTTTTTTGTAATTTTGATATTTTCTGATCATGTTCAAGTAAAGTTTTAAAGAGAGAACTCAAAAGTCATAAGTAAGAGTACTACTACTAACTACATTGTCATTGAAATCTCAACGAACTCCACAAACAACACTAAATAACCATCAGTAATAGTAGTGAGTGAAAAATGTCTCTCTCTCTCTCTCCCCTGATATGTCAATTGTTTGATTATGAAAACTCTTGGACCTCTTCAACTTTTGGGAGATAAGATTGGAGATAAAAGAGTGTTTGATATAAATAAATAAACCTGGAACATCTGATGTCTTCTGTTGGGTTAGTAAAACATGTGAAAGAAAACCTCAGTTGTACCTTTTGAGAGACCCAAGCAGAAAGAATAAGAGTGGTTGGTTTTTTTCCCATAATTGATTCTGTAAATTATTCTTTATCTTCTGGGGGGTAAAATTTTTTGATTTGAAACGAAAGGATTTTGAGACCAGACAAAGGGTGGTTCAAGTACTTGTCTTGTTTTTATTCTTGAAGATGAAAGAAATCTGCTGGAAATATATATGCTCCACTCCTATGACTTAAATGACTGTCTCATGTCTTATCAATTTGACAAGACAATAAATATGTTTATAGCTTTTAAGCACCATCTGTGAATACTGAGTAGCCATCACAGCTTCAGACAAATATTTTTGAATTATTGTGATGTTTTCAGTTGGATAAGGATTTCGGGTCTTGTAAAGAATGGTGGTCTTGCCAGCACTCTTTTTTAGATAATAATCTTCTTCAAAAAAATAATTTAAAAAACCAATTAACATACTAAGAGAGAATTTGGGATGGTTATTAGCTGGTGGTGAAGAACAAAATTTGTTTTATTAAAATCTATATATATATAAAAAAAAAATCTATCTATGATTTTTTTTTTCTGTTTATGTCATGGTAATTGGAGCCAATAAAGATATGTGAATCGTCTTATGTCATAGTAGTGTCTGCGTTGGATTAAAAAATATGTAATGAGAAGCTCATAGATTAAAAAGGGACAAAAGAAATCGGTGAAGTAGATGAATATTATGGGTCTGATTATTATGGGAAATTTTTATAATTGTTTACGTACTAGAAAATAGAAAAAGCCTGTTTCAATTTTTAGGTTTTAGAGATGACTTCTTTGGCAGATTCAAGGGTGGATTCGACGGCGGCGGCGGCTCCGACGAGAACGCCGCCACTAGTTTTGGGATGAGATTGATGAACCACCTCTACATTATTTCTTTGCTCAGTGCCTTTCCCTCCCGACGAACGATGCTCTGTCGTTTCCACCACCGCTTTTGAACCATCTTCTTCTTGTCTTTTCTTAGTGTCCATTTCCTTTAATAATTCAGAAAAAAAAAAAATCAAATTACAGTTTGTATACCCCGAAAAAGATTCAAAGAACTAACAGAACGTACATACATACCTGCATGGCTTTTAGGTTCATACCTGATAATAAAATTAAATCGCTAAGACAAGGTTTTTCGTAATTGGAGTTTAAGAAAAGCAAGAAACAACTTGTATAAACAGAAAATAAATTTATTAAAAAAAGGCTTTCAAAAGAGCAGATCAATCGTTAAATTTGGGTAATGGAAACGTCCGGCTCTTACGTTTGTCCTTTCTAATTTTTCCAATGTAGTGATTGGCCAGCCTGAGTCTTAGGAAACCTTTTAGCTTCTAATACTGTACTTTGAAGTTTTAATTTCTACAATTATCAGGTTAGATTATGGCTCTAATCACACAATTATGCAAAAACGTTTTTTTTATACTTTATGATTCTGCACAGAACAACTATAGGAACCAAAACATATTATGTTATACCATAACGATCAGAAAACATCACATGAATGATATTTTTAACAGAGTAAAAAGAGGTTTATCAGAGAGTGATGAGGACTTTTCAAACATAGAGCAAATTCTCTAAGAGTGAATGTTTATGTTTTTCTTTATAGGAGAGTACTAAGCATAACAGTAGTAAGTAGCTTTTATTGATTCAGCAGGTCAAAAGAGGAGATGATCCACTGTATTTGACATCAGAAGAATCAGAAAGGCGTTGTCTTGGAGAGAGTGTTGTAATCGCGGCAGCTTCAACGTCGAGATTCACTATGAGTTTCCTCTTCTGTGACTCTATTACACTGTTCCTTCTCTCTTCCGATCCTTCAGCGATGGGGCTTAAGGTCTGTGTCTCTGTTGTCTCTGCTGCTGCTCCGACGTCTTCTCCATCTGCTGCGTATAGGATTCTTTTTATGGAACCAACAAGCTGCAGAAAAGAAATATTATATGGAAAAAAAAACAAATAATTATTCTGACACATTTTAGTGGAACGAGGGATTGAGAAGATTTTGCATACAGGTAAGTGCTCAGCGTCTGGATTCTGACAGAGAATCTCTACATCTCTTAGTTTAGAGAAATAGAAGTCTCTCTCTTTCTCCAAACTGTCTATGTAGAGTTTCAGCTCTGTGATCTGTTGTAATAAAGAAAGTGAGTTAGTGAGCTTGACTTTGGTATAATTTTAGAAAGTAGTGTGATGAGAGAAACACCTAACCTTTTCATCATAAGCAGGCACAGGTTTAGGTTGTTTAGAGGCGGCTTTTGAAGGGTGGTGGTTCCCAGTGTTGGAGGATTGTGGTTCGTGTTTACGGGATCCATTTGAAGAGGAAGGCCTAGGTGCAGCTGAGGAAGAAGAGCCCTTGCCTGATTGTTGTGCAGCTGCAGCTCTCTTGGTTGCTTCTTTCCCTCCTCTGCTGGCTTCTCTTCTCTCCAGTGCGTGATAACTAGCCATAAAAACCAAATACCAAACAGCAGCTTCAGAAATAATTTCATCAATTTGGATCAATAATATAATGCACTAGGCTATTCAGCAAAGCCAGCACAAATGATAAGTGAACTCAAATTTTCCTCATCTCGGAACCATAGTCAGATAGTCAACGTTGGTTTATCTCAATGAGTTGGATTCAGTAGTCCAACGACAATCAGAATCAAGAAGCAAAAGTTGTAAACAGATTCTGGAAATTTCCCTAGTACATTAGTTAAGGAAACAAAGTTCAAGGCTATGATAGTTGTGAAACTTACTTCTGAAGCTGCCCTCCATTCACAGAATCGCAGTGCTTCTTCATCCACTGCATGAACTCCAAGTTATCCAGTGGTCTACCCTTAACGAGTTTGCTCACTTCGATGTGCTACACAGCCAAATTAACCAGACAAATCAGTTCGATTGCAACGCAAGGTCTACAAAAATCGAGGAGAAATTAAAAGAGAAAGAAATAGAAAGATGAAAAAGGACCTTAGTGATCTTGAGTTTGTTAAACACATCCTGAAGCACCTTGTAGTTCTGAATCATCTCATACTCACTCTTGGCATCAAAATTAACCTTGTGCATCGGAACAGTTCCAGGGTGCACCGAATCCATGAGCTGACAATGAACAGCACCTGAACATGCCTATAATCCACAGATCCGTATTCAGATCCAGAGCAAACAAACAAACAAAAAAAAAACAATCCGATAAGAATTCTTCGAATCCGTATACAAATCCAGATCAACAAAACAAAGCAGAGAAGAATTCATCGAATCCGTATTCAAATCCAGGATCATCCTGACGAAATCAAACAAAAAATCATCCAAGTTCACGATGATTGCAAGTAGAAGATGACATCGTAAGATCCGAATCCAAAATTAGGATTGTAAAGAGAAGAGAAATTACTCAATAGATGATTACCTCTTCAACTTTGGAGAGATTAAGTTGCAGAGTGGAGTTAATCCACGCGAGAATCTCCGATCTCCCTACGAAATATGCTGAATCCATCATCCCAATGTGCGTAGCCATCTTCGATTTACTCAGATCCAACTGGTTTACTCTCTATTTCTCTCCCTCTCTCTCTCTGTCTATCTCTATCTCTCTCTCTAACGGCTCTTTTGAAATTAGAGAAGAGAACAAAGATACTTAAAGGTTGGACTAGAGCGGAGTTTTCAATTCAAAATGCAAATATCTGAATCTTTACCCGCTCTGAATATTTCGGATCCGGGTAATTTTAATGGGCCTATCATAGGCTTACTTACAAAAGCCCAAGATGTGATTTTCTTATCTTCTTTGGTTTATTTCCCCTGTTTTTTTTTTTCTCAGCAATAACATTTTTATCTTATTTTAGTTGATAAAGCTATTATAAACCAAATTTTGTATATTGTTCAGAAAAGTCCTCTGTTATAGTTCTGGCTATTATGCTACGTCTTTTCGATGGTTCTGATTTCTGTACTCTGCTTTTTGTTCTCTTTCTCTGAGAACTGGATTTGGGTCAAATTATTCATAAGAAGGAAAAAAGCAAGTTCTTAAAGAAAGAGAACAAAAAGAAGAAAGGCATTTATTTAGCATTTTTTTTTTGTCGCACAACAGGAATAAATTTGTTACTAGCCCAGAGATATTATTGTCACTGAATCATAAAACCGAAGACAAACTAAAAAAATCAGATAGCCAAACGATAATTTAAAGAACATAAAATCCGCCTATCAATCTAACTCTAAGTACACACAGTCAAGCTATTAACTTTTTCTTGGTCTTAATTATATAATATCATTACTGTCGGCTAGGGAATCTCTCGATAACTTGTAAGGCCTCTTTGATACTGGGCCTTCTCTGTGGTATTGGAAGAGCACAAGCTAGGCCCATTTTCAAACATGCCAACACATCATCTTCTTTGCCCTCTAACTCAGCCCGTATAGCCGCGTCCGTCATCCTCATAGCCCGATCACCGTCGTCGATCACAAGCCCATTAACCTGTCCAAGCTCATCAACTACCACGATCTTTCCTGTTAATAACTCAAGCAGAATAACTCCGAATGAGTACACGTCCCACTTTGAATTTGGTTTTATGCTGCGGAGAGATTCCGGCGCATTGTAAGGTAACCCAACTGAACTTGGACTGGGGCTCGGACTCGGCCCAAAATCATGAGATGACGTAGATCTCTTGCTTCCAAATATTGGAGCCGATCCACCAGTTCGGTAACTCATGTCGCCAATTAGAAGTTTCTCAAGCCCGAAATCTGCAACTTTGGGCTCCATATCTAAGCCCAGAAGGATATTGCTAGGCTTGAGGTTACCGTGCACGTGCTTCTTGTCGTGTATGAATGTTAGCCCACGAGCTATACCTTTTGCTATCTTGAGCCGAACTTCCCAAGGTAAATGACAAGGCGAGGAACCCACTTTCCCTGCAATCAAAATAAAGAACAAACACACGGTTCCGAAAATCAGAAGAAGACGTACATGCGCAAATTAGCAAATCCCTTACTGCTTCTTACCAGTACAAAAAGACAAAAGTAAAGCAAAAGAGTTGCATCTATCAATACAAAATTACAAAATCTCTATCTATGGACTCAAGTCACTCAACAGTAAGATTTCACAGAAACGGAACTGTCGCTATCTTGCGCTTGAGATAGCTTACGATTAAGTTAAAAAAATAAAATCAGTATTGAGAATTGCCGTTGACTCTCCTCCGATCATTAACTGACATACTTTTTTAGTTGGAACCAACTCTTACTCCGAAACCGACACTTTTAACTCGCCCGCTCATGTTAGCCTATTTATAAATAATCCTACTAAAGTAAGCGTGTTAAATCAGAGAGAACGGAAAAAATGACTTACTGTAACGGGCGTTAGCGAGGCTGCCGTTAGGGACAAAATCGTAAATAACAAGCTTCTCGTCGGATCCCCAATAGAAACCTCGTATTCGAACAAGGTTCGGATGAACCAGTTTGGCCACGGCTCGAACCTGAGTCTCGAAATCCCTGAACCGGTCTAAACCGCACTCAGCGATGCGTCGAACCGCCACAGCCGTACCATCTTGAAGAACCGCTTTATACATTATGCTCGAACCAGTGGCTCCCAAAATGTAAGCCGAGGCTTTGAGGAGCGTCTCGATCTCAAGCTCTTTCTCTGAATCGAGATTCACTAGCGTCCCTTTCTTGTCTTGTTCCTCTAAACCTGACCGTCTATTTTGTGCGATCCGAATTTCTTCATCGGATTCGGATCCCGATGTCTCGGATTCCTCCTCGTCTTCTTCACAGTCACCGTCAACGTTAACGGTTTTGCGTAGACAGTACCATTTTGATAAGACCTTGGAATCTGATGATGACGTGGACCATTTTGACGTAGCCGTTACGGTCTTCCGTTTCCTCGACTGGTAAATGTAGAAAACCACAATCCCGAGGATTGCTAAACCGGCGATGTCACCGACAACAATGCCTACGATAATCACCGGTTTAAGAGCCGATTTGGATTTCAAACCGGATTTGGAGCCGATTGGGTGATTGGTTAGGCCGATGGTATTCGGTATAGCGGCTAAAGCAGGAGGAGAATTTGGTGTTGGCGATGGAGGCGGAGAGGTTACTTCACGGTCACGGCAAGGGTGTTTTGCCGGATCGGATCCGCATAGACCCGGGTTACCCGAGAAAGAGTTGGATTCTTGGTTGTCGAGAACCCGGAAACCCGGGATTTGACCCGTGAGCTGGTTGAAGGAGAGATCAACGGTGGCATTTTCAGGGATTTCGTCGGCGAAACCAGACGGAATCTCGCCGGAGATTCTGTTGTACGAGGCGTTGAAATATCTTAAACGATCACCTCCGAAATGTAAAGGCAACGAACCTTTGATTAGATTCGACGACAGATCAAGATACTCCGTCGACTTAAAACCTCCCGGAATCTCGCCGGAGAAATAGTTCTTCTTCAGTGAAATCTCAGTTAAGTTCGGGTTCCAACCCAAAGTCTTCGGTAATTCACCGACGAAAACGTTGTCGGAGAGGTTCAACACTCTGAGTTTAGAAAACGCGCCAAAATTTGCGGGTAATTCGCCGGAGATGTGATTACTCGACAGATCAAGATACCGAAGCTCCGTCGCGTTGAATAACGAAACCGGGAAAGAGCCATTGATCGAGTTGTTGGAAAGGTCGAGTCTTTGAAGCGAAAGCAGAGAACCCAAATTCGAAGGAAGAGTACCGGAAAGGTTCGAGCTTGGAAGTGACAGAACAGTCACGTGCCGGGAAGACTCGTCGCACGTGACGCCACGCCAAGAACATGGAGTCTCGTCTTCGAATCTCCAGCTTCGCAAAACGGAAAGAGGATCGTCGACGACTGAGTAACGGAAGGAGAGGAGAAGAACACCGTCTGTGTTCAAGGCAAGAGATTGGTCACAGATCAGAAAGAAAGGCAAAACGGCAAAAAAGAAGAAATAACGGCGGATATCGGCGGCGACTGTCGTCATGATTGTTCTTCAGGCTTATGCATCGTCACTAAAAGAGAGATTTTTTTGAAAAGGCCATGTGATTGTGAGCGATATGAAAGTGTTTATCTTTTTATGGAATTCTTGATTTTGCAAAAAAGAATTTTGTAATTAAAAATTGTATCCTATGTAAATTGCACGGAATATGATAACAAAAATTACAACTATTTTCCTATTTATGCTGACATCAGTTCTGTCGTTTTTACGTTTATATTCAACATGGACCCTATATGTATTATGGTTCATCATTATTTACATTGGTTTTTCAAAGAACGTAACAATATATAGCATATGAATCTGTATAGTTTCTTATACAAATCTTTGCTAGATCACAAAACAATATAATATATTATTTGTATATTCCTTTTGATTTTGCGATGATACAAGAAAATGTGACGTGAGATGATGATACATGTCATGTGGTGTGTGAATAAGTTGTATTATTAATTAATTATCATATGATCAGATGGGAGAATAGTATCTTTGCTATAAGACATTCAGATAAAGTTCGAAGTTTTGCAGGTCTCTCACTGACTTGGATTTACTTTCATATGACCGTTCATTATTTTATATTTTTCGTTAGGCTTAGTCTTTCTTATAATCATCGTACATCATGTAGAGATAGGCTAATTAAAATATTATAGTGATTTGGTAATAATGTTGAAATTAGTATATGATTTTAATAGTTTAACAACAACAAAAGAAAAAAGATTCGGTTCCCGTATGAATGGCAATAATCCCGATCCGTGACTAAAACCGATTTAAAGAGGAGATATCAAAAACTATACGGTTATGTGTTCCATCAAAAAGATATAAATGTAGTACTGGTTCGAGCAGAGGTCAACATCACACGTAAATTGAATGCATGTCAAGATTAATGTACAACCGGTCAAATTAATTAAAACCGGTCCCCATTTTAATTAAATTTCGCGAGCGTCATCGTGGTCCTTGTTACAAACTTACATACATTAGTATTTGATTGCCAAATCACAAATTATATAGACAGAGAAAGATTCATTTTATGCTGGAATTTCTTTTACCTTTCGTTCAAGAACTGTATATAATTATATTAGACCCAAAAAAAATAACTGTATATAATTATATATGGATATTTTGTATATTTTTTCAAAACAGAACTTTCGGTAAACCAACGAAACCATTGAAACAATAGATTGAGTAGTTTGATAAATTTAATATTGATAGTGTCAAAATTACGTCTGAACATTTTTTAATCTGTCAACTGCGTTATTCATCTGAATTTAGCAATGTAACTTTTTCAAACAATGTTGCCAATACTTAAAATGCTTATACTGAAATCTAAGAAACTTCAAAATGCCTGACCGCCATAGTTTATTTCATATAATACGGTTGTGTTAATGGAGTATTTTCTTACGTGCACGATGATGTATGTGTGCTTCACAAAAAGAATGGTTAATGTGTAGTCAATAAAACCACTTATAACTGTTCTCAGTTAAAAAAATAAAAATAAAAACCTGCGAGGGTGTGAAACGATAAAACATATGAGTGTAGTGTAGTCCAAGTTTCACACATTGGTTTTAACCCCCCACCCCAAAAGTTTCACACTTTGAGCTCGTTAATATAGCGATTTAAGATTGACACACACCAGTTATTCAAATATTTACTATATTTCTTTTCATCGTGAACATAACATATGGGCGTATACGTAAGTAACCTGTAAATGTTTATACGATATACAAAATTGATACCAATGAATAATTAATTAGAGAATGGCTACTAGTTTGGCGGTGGACAAAGACAGGAGATGCATGAAAAATGGCGTTTTCTATTTACCATTTTGCAAAACTCCAAATTAATTATTGATTGTCTTACAAAATTACATTTTGATCCCGATTCGACAATTTTTCAAATAGTGAACATATAATAATAGAATACTGAGCAACGTCACTTGATCGGTCGGGTGTTTTTGGATACATTATGATATCTGTTACGACTTTGCGTTTTTTTTTTTTGACTCTCAACAAAAACCATTTAATAATTATAAAAAGAAAATTTCATCGGTCAAGAAATAATTATGCCAATAATATTTATATTTCCTTGATAGGTCTATCTAGTAATGCAGTGACCACATCGAAGCCATTTTGGTAGTTTTGCTACTATCTAGTTGCTTTTAACAACGACGTATGGTTAGAATGAGTAAAGTGAAACGGGTCGTGATTCTTTAAGTATATATTGAGATTTAAAGAAGAAAAAAAAAGGTTTAAAACGCCTTTGCTTTGTTAATGATGTGATTAAAATAGAGAATTATATTTAATTTTTATTAGTTATCATAACTAATCGAACAATATTAAAGAGACAGAAAATGTGATAAAGAAAATTATATAGAAATAACTATATACATTCTGGCGAGTAATAAATTTTGAGTCATTTATTATTTATCTTTTCAAAGAGGTGTGTTGTCTTGACGGTATAATTTTTTAAAGGGATCTCGTAACATTAATAGTTTCCTACTTTCCTTTTATTCCTTTTTTTTTTCTCTTAGATTTTTCCTTTATAATTTTTGTATGGAGCCTTTCTAGAAAGATGTAAAGGATCTGGGCACAAAATTAAAAGCTCAAAAAGAGCTTTAAATATGGAAAAAGCTATAGAATAAAAACTGAAGAAAAACACGTGTAAGAGGAATTCAGGGTTATTAAAAATATAAAAGATAAGATACTTTTATGCTAATGTCTTTATACGTTATTAAAGGGATATTATTCTCATTGGATTGGTTATGTGCGTCCCTTAACGGATAAGCAAAAACTGATGTGAAGTGAAGCTTTGCCAGTCATTTAGTCTCCATTGGTTGGGCACAAGATTCTCTGTTCTTCTTTTAGCTTTAAAATATTTATAATCAGTAATCACTTATCTAGTTATCTACGAAGAACACAAATAGATCTAGATTTTCTTATTTTATTTTTCATAATTGGTGATAATACATTTTTATTCTCACGAAAAACAAGCAGTGAATTAAGTCATAGTTAACCATTTCCAGTTTTCATTTAGCATTTTGGATTATGCATAAACGCTGACAAAAAAATCAGGGGAAATAATTTCTCCCAAAGATTAATGAAAATAGTGTGTGATAAGCCGTTACGGCATTTACAAAAACCTACAAACGAAACTTTACAAATTACAATAGAAACTTCGAATTACAAATCCTCAATGATTACAAATACATTATAGGATTCCTAGTAATCACAACTGGATTTGCTTAAAGAACAATTGTTTTTTCTAAAATATCCATTAGAAGAGTATATCTCTTAGTAAATACTAAACACTTCATCTTCCTTTGCTAAACCGAGAGGGACTAAACCGGCTAAGATCAACACTAGTAGCTACACCGTCTACAATAAGCTCAGCCAATGCAGCACCAGTGGCTGGACCATTAAGAATTCCCCAGCAACTATGTCCTGTGGCAACATAACAACCCTTGATTCCAGGGATCTCTCCGATTACAGGGATACCATCTTCCGTGCTGGGTAAGAAACAAGCTTGCTCTGCTTTCACTCGAGCGTTTTCTTCGTCTAGATAGCTCGAAACAGTTTTCGCTACTCTCTTGAGAGCCTGGATCGATTCAGGATTACTTGTTACCTGATCCGGATCATCAGGTACCTCTTCTTGTGATGACATTCCACATAAGTACACTTCACCTGTCCAAAGATAACAAAAACAAACAAACCAAGGCCTATCACTTATCATCTTTCATCACTTGTGTAGCACTTCTTTTATTTTTCAACTTGGAATTCACAGATTCAACAATGATCTCACTCTATGTTTCTATGTAGAGCCTAAAGCCCCACAGATACAAGAGCCACCAAAAAAAAAAATTCACCGTTCCAGCATTAGCAAATAACAAGATTTTTTCAGCAATCCTCAGAGTTTAGAAGCATTATATTAAACATCTCCTAGACGAAAAAAACCCCATCTCGCAGTAAAAATAAGATATCGAAAGCAAATGATCTAATTTAAGGCTAACTCGTATACTTCTGGGTCCAAACAAAGATAAAAGAAGCGATATTTACCAGTGGGACGAGGATATACTTCTGGGTCCAAAGCTTCACGAGCGTTGCAAGGATAGTAAGTTAAGAAAAGAGCATGAGGTGTTATAGCATTTGCTTCTTTCGGTTCCAGAACGATGCTATGAGCTTTCGTGCCATAAATCCTAAAAATCGAAGACAACATCTCGAATTTACCAGACCACGGGCCCATCGCCAGAACCACCGAGTCAGCCTCGATAACTCTTCCACCTTCGAGCACCACCGAGTCAACTCGCCCTAATTCCACTCTCACCTCTTCCAATTTCCCAATCACAACCTCAACACCGTACTTCTCCATCGCCGTCGATAACACCTTGCGAGTGAAAAGCTGAGGATGCACTTGTGCTGTGGTCTGAGTCGTACCAATCGTCGATGGGCTTTTAGCTGGGCCGTCGACCCACGCCGGTAAACCCAAATCGCCGGATCCTGGCTTCGATTCCCTCACGGTGAGGCTAAGCGTTGTGAGGGGTCTGTATCCATACGACTCGGCGCCGTTCAGCTCCTCGGCTAGCGATCGATGGAGGTTAAAGCTCGCGCGTGCTAAGGGCGCAACGGGACCTCCATCGCACCAATCGAAAGCGAGAAATCCTCCGGCTTTACCGGAAGCGGCGCACGCTACGGCTGATTTTTCGACGAGAATGACGGCGATTCCTTTCTTAGAGAGGAAGTACGCCGTGCAGACGCCGATAACGCCTCCGCCGCATACAACGACCCGCTTCGACGTCTCTCCATCAGTTAGGTTATTCGCCATTGATTTTGATGTTGTAGAGCAGATAGTGAGTGTTCGTGGGTGACTCAGTCGTCGGGATAACGTCGAAGGGAATAACATCGATGAGATCACCGCCATATTAGCGAGATGAGGTGGATGAGTCAACGAGTCCACACGCGTACGTGAGATAGAAAAAACTATTTAATGGGCTTAATTTATTGTTGGGCCTATCTTTTAAAGCCTATTGCATTCTCTCTATACCTCTTGTATGTGTTTTCGTCCTAATCTGGTCCTCTATTTTCCTCCCAAAAATTAGCATTTATCTCCTACACTAGCATAATAAGGAAACAAAACAAAATCCTTGTGGAATGATTCCACATCAAAAAATAGTAGCGGAATGACTAAAACACATTTTTTATTATTCTAACTACTATTACTATTTTCCTTTCATTTTTATTCCATTTATTTTTATTCACCTTAATCCTCTTATTTTTTAGTGACAGTCATTTACACTCTTATACTGTAGTACTTCATTATTCGTAAGTCGTAACTAAAATAGTAAAATGTGATTGATTTAGATGTTGGATGGAGATGAAGATTGAAAAAGACTTGGAAAAATAAAGAATTATGGAAAAAGACAACTGACCTAATTACAATCACACACACACAGGCCATTCCAATTTCGGGCTCCACCATTTTGACGACAAAAGCCCATTTATAGGGCGGCTTTCTTCGGATTTTCTTCAACCACACATACACTCCTAATGATTATAATATCTGTATAATATATGAACAATAATAGGCACTGTGATGTTGTCAACTTTCACTTAGATCCGCGGGACACCTTTTCTTATTATATAAACATTTCATTCGGGTACTTAAACAGGGACCTCTTTGTGTGTTCATTGAACTAGTTTTCTCTATAAAAAAGTTTCACTATATAATCGTGGATTCACTATAGATACTCAACTAGTTGCGAGATGGAACCCTCTCAAGTTTTCCTTGAATAGTGGACCTAAACAATTATTAGACAGTAAATAAAAAATTATCAATATCTTAAAAGACATATTACGAATTTTACATCTAAAGACGATCAGGTATATAAAAGAATGGTCTCATTTCCGTTGTTGGTTATCGGTAGTTATAATTTATAACATGAATTATTATTTTGTACTTACAGTTTGTGGTTTCAGTAAGGTATTTTTTTCTCGTTTAGTTAACTATAGTTAACCGGATACAAAAATTTAGCTTAGTCGTTTACCTTTGTGTTACCATATCTATCTAAATTTAATAATGGGTGAGAGTTATCGTCAAGAAAACAATTATAAAAACAAAAAAATTAGAGAATGAATTGTTTAGTTATAATTTGCAGCATTGTTTTCTTATGTCGTTCTTATGGATCAGGTGTGGTTCTAGATCCACTGCCATTGTGCTTGTACATAAATTAAAGTTGATGATATGGACGATGTTTTCTCGACAACTATTGTTTCTGAAAAATAATAACAAACTAACCAACACAAACAATGTTTATTATATGTTAATGACCCAAAAAACAGTGTAGAGGTATTACTTTAAATATTTTATTATAATTTGGTGTAAGATTTTGGAAATTATTCATAGAAAGTCAAAAAAAGCCGGCGGGCAATGTGGGGAAAAAGTTTCACACTTTGATGTTATCTGTCGATTCTAACTTTGTGTATAATAAAGTATTATTGGCCTCCTCACTTTTGCCTGTTCATGATTCGTATGATGCTGGTTTCTAAAAACGCGATTCCTTGCACATCAGCACATGTACTTATCAATTTGAATATCGTAAACCATGCGTTTCACTAAGATATCACTTGTTTATGAAATGATTTATTTTTAGACAATTCAGAAACAAGGTTTTTAATTGTACGTGAAATTAAATCAACTTAATCATTTTTTCATTTTATTTGATAACCTACTCAATCCTAGGATTCGCCATGCCTTATTATGCATGCAAATTAAATAAAAGACTTCAGTTTTATTCATTTACTAGTATTTGCTCCGCGCTACGCGCAGGTTTTTTGGTTGTTCCGCGCTACGCGCAGGTTTTTTGGTTGTTATAATATATTTTAATTTTATAGTGTTCATAATATTCATATTAATATCATGTATCAATACTATTTTTTCTGAAAGATTAATACAATAAAATATATAGTAAATTGCCAAATTAACAATGAATATAGTAGTATTTCAGAAAATCATACTAATTTGAACACTTAATTTATGAAATATCACTTTAATAAAGGTAAACCCTATATTACAATTTACATATCTCCTTTATATGAGAAAAAATGGTATCAAAATAACTTATTACATGAAAAATCAAATGTAAAAAAATGGGTGAAATACACTTTTTTTAAGCTCACAGAATGTTATTTTAAGGTTTTTCCCCATTTAATAGAAACTACATTTTGTATAACTAATCTTCACCATTTTATTACACCAAGTTGGAAATGGAGAAGAGCGGTTGGTCTAGATAAATACCATGTTTTAGCCCAACGGAGCTCTGGGGGCGAGCTAGTGAAAGGTTTAGCACTCTCCACCAGCTTTTTGTGAACCTCATGACAATAACTTTGATAGTTGGAATCTCGGTGACAGTTCCAACGAAGAGCAAATCTTAATCTCCTATAGTATCAAAACATGAAAAAGTACATTCAAAACTCATAACATAGACAAAATATGGTCTAGATTAGAGAACTCCAATCAGACATCGGACGCGTCAATGTTTTTTGAACTAAAGTGGTTACTGCAATCTTATACTCCTATAGTAACCACTTTAGTTTCACATATTGAAAAACTGATTCTAAAGAAAGTGAAGAGATTCAAGGACTACTTTCAACATGAAAGGTAAAAAGACCGAACATGATTCAACAAAATGAAACTTTGCCCCTAGAGAAAGTAAAGTTTTGTTGACTTTACTCATGAAATGCCTCTTCAATATCACTGGCACTGCATTGGACTTGTTCTGTGTTCTCCTTACCATCAACCGTTAAAGCTGCAAAATTTCTAAACAAAATTACAAATCTCATATTCAGTACGATTCACCGTAATAAAAACCTTTTTGATGGAAGGGAAAAAAAGGTAAAGGACATACATAGTTGATGAAAATTTGGCTTTCATAGTAAGCTTGAGTACACATCATCGGACTTTGAAGATGTCTTTTTGGTGTTCCTGCATTTACCTCTAGCAATCAGTTCAGTACCTTGCAAACACTACGATTTAATCTCAGAATCAACATTGGAAGCAAAATCCAACCCCAAAATACTAAGAACAGATGGTTCACAATCTAAACCCGAGACTTATTGACAACGAATAACCCAGAAACCCAAAACCAAAAAGTCGAGAATTCACTCAATATCTAGAAAAATAGATTAACTATACTTGGAAAGACAGAACACTTACGACTGGAACTTTAAAATCAAACTCAAAAATAGGAAAATTTTTTAAAAAAGAGACGTTCAGAAACGGAGATTGAGAGATAGGAGAAAGCGGGAAGTACTATTGTAGATTCCGGGGAAGTGGTGCCGCCGTTGATCTGCAAGATAAGTTCCGCTGTCGATTTGGGGTTTTTTTTTTTACTTTCCACTATAGGCGTAGTTAATCTAGAGATTAAGATAGCGTATGAACTATGAACATTAAGTGAAATAGAAAGAAACGTAAATTACCAAATGAACTGAAATCAACAGATTAAAGATGATTTGATGTAAAAGATAGTATGCAGACTTGATCCTAATATGTAGCCAAAATAATCGATCATAAAGCTGATTTTCCTTCGCTTTCATTTTCAATATAGCAAAAATATTATCACAGACCTGTCGCCTTGACAATTGGAGAATGGAGATGAACTGACATTTCGACTCTATATCGATAATTGTTGAACAACAAATCATCACAAAGTCCACCCTCAAAACTTTTGAATCCGCAGCTACTCATTAAATCATTGATTTCAGAGTGGATTTTATCTGCAAAATTAGGAATTGGAGAGGTATTATGAGATGACAATAAGAAACATAGGAGCTTATGTGATTGAAGTAATGAAAAGTCTTTGATAACCAAAAGTAGGAAGTGAGATGTGAAATCAAATAAATAAATAAAAAGTTGGAAGAGAGAGCGTCTTTGTAGAAGTAAAAGCTTGTCGTTTGAACTTGATGTTTTGTTTCCAATGTATTGCAGATGGGAGGGAGATGAATCGTTAGAGGGCCTCATTGGAGAAAAGGAGGCGAGTAAATTAGATGAAGTTGTCTATTCATATTTTTGGTATTTTCTGCGAATTTAACGGCAACGATAAAGATGATCGAAGGGGTAGAGATTTTTAGTTGGGTTGGATTTGGGCCTAAATTTAATGGACTGATGTGTTTTCTACTTTCTGGGTTGCAATACCTTTGTTGGATCATAATTATGGTTTTGGTGATGAGCTCTATTTCGAAGTTGAGAATTTATTCTAATGATGTGGTAAGTTTTAATGATTTTATTGCATGATTATTTTCCCTATTTTTTTTGCTGACGTGAACAGCCTTAAAAGCCAGGAAAGTAAACCCTTTTATATAAAGAAGATATGCTATTACGTTTTATCGTTGAGCTATTCGATTTATTATAATTGCTATATTAATCGTTCATAGTTTATATATAATCCTAAGATTATATATTAAAAGTAATTTAATTTTTTGTATATTCAATAAGTTGTTCATCACTAAGTTTTTTTTCATTCTATTAACATAAAATTTCATGATTGATAGTACATGCAATCGCTAAAAGAAATCATAAATATTGATATATACTCCCTCTGTTCAGAATTATTTGATGTTTAAGGTTTTTGCACACAGTTTAAGAATTTATTTAATTTTTATTTTTCCTATATTAAAAATATTATTTATAATTCATTTAAATATCATTCAACCAATAAGAAGACTATCTGCAGAATATAAAAAGTCAAAAACTATAAAAATTCATTAAATTTTGCATTGAAAAGTGAGAATATCAAATAATTCTGAACAAAAAAAACCTTCTAAAACATCAAATAATTCTGAACAGAAGGAGTAGTATTCAAACAAACAAAAAAAATTATAAAACTATTGATGAAAAACACAGATTGTTTTTATAATATGTATTTTATAATTGGGAATAGCGAGATAATCGATGAAATTCATTTATTGATCACTTTCTTGTTGGGTAGAATTTTAAGTTGTATATATACCTTCATAAGTGTTTCCGACTCCCGACTAAAAGAATACTGAGATTTGTAAAAGGAAAAGCCACGGAACAACTCTTTCAAACGAACACAAGTTTTTCTTATATATATATATATATCACATGAGTTCTGGATTCTAAAAGTGGAATAAACGTATAGATCGAGTTACATATCAAATTAAAGGGTCCTTGACAGGTACTGAAATAAAACGTTTTGACTCGATGCATAAAAAAAGGAGCCACTTTTAATTTTCCTCCAACAAAGAATCACTTTTAAATCAAGCTAGTAAAGGTGTTAGGTGTGCGTGGCTTAAGCACACATCAGAATACCAATAATAATTGATCTTAAGCGCGAAGGTCACTGAACGCAGTCGTTTCAACGATGACCATTAAATGCAGATGTGTGCGTGTGGATACGTACATGCACACGTGTGGAAGGGAAGGGAAGGTACAAAATGTGCATACGGCTTAGGATAAGAGCGAACGGAAGGATATTTTGAAACAGCATCTCTCTGTGTATTTCTCTATGCTACTAAAGTAAACGAACCACATGCGCCCTTGTTGTTGTCTCTATAACTTTTTTATTCTTTTATTCATTTACATTTTTTATATACCAAAATGATTTTACATTTAGAGCATCGTTTTCCCTAGTTCAAAATATTTTATCGGTATTCCGAATTGGCAGGAAAACAATGAAAACGAATGTTTAAATACCATTAACACTGACGGCAAGAAAAAAAATACCATTAAAAAACCAATCGGCAACATAAAAACAAAAGTCCTAAACTAATACACTCCAGTTCACTGCAATTATAAGGTTTGGTTATAAATATCAGGTTTTAAAGCATAATGAATGTTACATGTCCCACGTCAATTTTTATAATGAAGACTTTAACAAACAAGTGGAAGAATATCTAACCACGTAGTCGTAGACCAATCGCAATTACAGTTGCAGACTTGCAAGCTTACAATCTTACGTGACAGGAGGAACAAAACAAGAGTGGTTATGCCCAGGGTTTTTGCCTTCTTTAAGAATAATGAACATGACACGTCATAGAAACTTACACGTGTAAGTATAAGACGTGTCCATACTCGAAAACAGCTGTTAAAATTTTGTCCAGTTCTTCGTACTTTTAACTTTTTTTAAACTGTATTTTGCCGAATTAGGTCATGTTCCACGTGCCTTTTTTTCTGCACCACTCTCTTTTTACAAGAGGGGCAATGATTTTCTGGACCCAAATTATTATATACAGTTGTAATCTTGGACGGTGTGTGATAAATAAAATAACATATGGCGGTGTCTCCTTTTATTTAATGTTTTCAATGTTCTTAGTATGATTTTTTTTTTTTGGGTGGTCACTATGTGTTGGAAGAAAACATAGATCATAACCAATAAAAATATCTTCGCTCCAATAATTCTTGTAACTGTTAAAACTTTGCGCCAATTATTAGACTGTGTACGTTGTTGTGTCTTCAAGTTTCCATAGATTGTTGTATGTTTTATTTTACTAAAGATTTTGGTGTGTTATGTTTTCAATTTACATTATAGTCTCGAGTATTAATTATATCTGTATATTGCGACGTTAATTTATGAATTAGCCAAATTATTTTCAAAATACTGAACTGGCGTTTGTGCTCTATAGTGAGTTATATGGAAAAAGGAAAAATATTTGATCAAAGTTTTGGAATGATAATTAAAATCTTCCATGAATTTTGGAGTATTAATTAGTGTGATTACATCTAATTACATTGTCAACAAATCAGCCCTCGATTATTTTATTACTTTTGGTAAGGAAGATTGTATATGTAAACAGCTCCAATAAAATACAATGAATATTAGCAGACCAAAACCGACACTCGGACATTTGATCGTAGCAACAACGAGCCAAGAGAGTATATAATATTCTGTTAGGTTTTGGAAAATAACACATAACCAATACTAAATCAATAGGTTAAAATGGTTTAATCATAAACATGCAAGGTACAGCTAGCTTATTGTTCCCATCCCAATAATCACTTACCACAGTTGCACAAAGTCACAAATTCACTTAAAGAGTTAATCGTAAATTTGAAATAAGAATTTACGATATGATAAAAGAAATACAATTTGTGGGCAGTGGCGGAGGTATAATTTTTTTTATTAGGGGCAAGTAGGAGTATACATAATTTTATAAGTGGAAGCATTAATATTGAGCTTACTAAAATACATCAGTTTTTTTTTAATTTCATTGGGGTCAAATGACCCCATGTTGTTGCATGTGGCTCCTCCACTGTTTGTGAGATGTTAGGGAAAAGATGCGTTGAGAGCGTGCGGCGGGCTAACAACACCTGATATCTACCGAGCTTACCCGTACCGTATCGATCAAAGGAGTCCTTAATCCCGCATTTGTAACTGAAACGTGTCACATGGCGATTCTTGATTGGATTACACTAATGAGTTTTAAATACTAATTGTGTTTTATTACCAAGGATTTACAGCCTGTATTAGATTCATTTTCCGAAAATAATAATATATAAGGAAGCGATGTAAGAAAAAAAATGAAAAGGAAATAAAGGCAGTGATGATTTTGCGTTCCAATTCGGCAATCTGTTTTGTCGTTTATACCACCACGTCACCAACAGCTATCTTTTGATAGCCGCTCATTTACATCACGTTTCTTTATCTGAGCATTAATATCTAACCATATTTATACATTCATATAAATTTGAATTATCAAACCATTTTGTGAAAATTGCACACACGGTTCTATATAAAAATGCTCAATCCAGATTTAGATTCGGCTTGTTTATCGAGTTTTAGATTTAGTTTTCTCTGTTTCTTGTTTTAAAAAATAAAATAAAGCCAATTTATTTACGGATTTTATTTTGGTTAATAGATTTTTAGTCTTAAAAATATCTTAGCAGTTCTCAAAGAAAAAGGAATTTGATTCGGTTCTAGATTTCGTTTAAGTTCGGTACATTAGATCTAAATAACAAGTGAAATAGAACAATCAGATTTTAAACGATCGATTTGTTCAATTCAACCAAACTAAACATTAGTCTTGTCAAGAACAGTTATGAACATATGAATTAGGTAATGTTTGTGTTTTGTCTAGTAATTAGGAGTATTTTTTTAGTAATCATTTGTAATTTTTTATACGAACTCGTCAAATAATTTGCTAGTTTTCTTCCCTATCCCGGAAATCGGTTATGTAAAGTAGATACTATTATAGAAAGTATATGTGAAGTGGTGGTATACAGCCTGGCTTTCGCTATTCTAAAGTCAGACTAAACATAAATAAAATAAAAACTGTCCTTACCCAAACCTAACCGTTCTAGTCTTTATTTCAGATATTTCTTTTTTTTTTTTTATATATATTTCCCCCTAAATTTAAAAACCACCTCAAATTGTGCGAATATTATCAATAGCTTTGATAGTTGGGTTTCGTGATTTTGTCTCTTTCAACTTCCACATTTCGCCACGCATCTTTAAGGCGCGTGAACTCAAACCCCCTCTTACATTGACCTCGATTGATATCCACGCTCAAGTGTACGAAGTTTACCATTTTTTATAATAAAATCATTACGATAACGACAAAAGAAGACACATCGACGTAGTCAAGTTACGACGCGTGTTCACTTACAGCTGTATCGCAAACTTTGAAATACCGCTTGCGTGGAAGAAGCGTTGCCCATGACTTCTCCACCGTCTAAACCGGTTCCCGGTTACTTAAAAACTTTGCAGTATAAATACTTTTGTCCTCTCTTATAACATCTCGAACTTCTTTTGTTTTGTCATCTTAAAACAAAACGGAGAGAAAATTACTATACTCGTAGATTAAATCTCATTTTATCGAAATCCTCAATGGCGGATCGCATTAAAGGTCCATGGAGTCCTGAAGAAGACGAGCAGCTTCGTAGGCTCGTGGTTAAATACGGTCCGAGAAATTGGACTGTGATTAGCAAATCGATTCCTGGTAGATCGGGGAAATCGTGTCGGTTACGGTGGTGCAACCAGCTTTCGCCGCAGGTTGAGCACCGGCCGTTTTCTTCGGAGGAAGACGAGACGATCGCTCGAGCTCACGCGCAGTTCGGTAATAAATGGGCGACGATTGCTCGTCTTCTCAATGGTCGTACGGACAACGCCGTGAAGAATCACTGGAACTCGACGCTCAAGAGGAAATGCGGTGGTTACGACCATCGTTTCGAAGAGGATCATCGGCCAACGAAGAGATCGGTGAGCGACGGTACTCCTCCTGTTGCTACTGGGCTTTATATGAGCCCAGGAAGCCCAACTGGATCCGAAGTCAGCGATTCAAGCACAATTCCGGTTTTGCCATCCGTTGAGCTTTTCAAGCCTGTGCCTCGTGCTGGAGGCGTTGTGTTGCCGCTTCCCATCGAAACGTCGTCGTCTTCTGATGGCCCACCGACTTCGTTAAGCTTGTCGCTTCCTGGTGCCGACGTAAGCGAAGAGTCAAACCGTAGTCACGAGTCAACTAATAACAAGAATCCGAACCGCCAAAACAACAATACGATGTCGTTTTTACCGTTTTCTGGTGGATTCCGAGGTGCGATTGAGGAGATGGGGAAGTCGTTCGCCGGCAACGGCGGGGAGTTTATGGCGTTAGTGCAGGAGATGATAAAGGCGGAGGTGCGGAGTTACATGGCGGAGATGCAGAGAAACAGCAATGTTGGTGGTGGATTTGTCGGAGGATTCAGGGATATGGGAATGATTCCGATGAGTCAAATTGGAATTGGGAGAATCGAGTAGGGAAATGAGATTTTAGGAAATGTTACAAAAGATCATCAAATCGTCACGGAAAAATTGTACAAGGACAAAAAATGCTCTGTTTTTCTCCAATGGATTAGGCATACGAATTTTGGGGTTTATTTCAAGAAATGTATAGAAGTAATCGAGTGAAGAATGTTCTCGATTCATGGACCTAGAGACGAAGACGAAAATTAAGTTCAAATTTTCTCTTAGACTATTTAATAAAATTTTCTTGTCAACTAGGTTAATCGTATATATATATATATATATATACAGTCGATAAAATCGTTGCAATGTTTTTGATCGGACAGTCATTTAGTGAAAATATAATAAGCTAAGATAAGGATCCATCCACTCAAAGGACAACATTGTGGAGGATTGGTGAAGACTTGCATTTGACAAATAAAGGCACAGCTTTAGGCATGGTTAGTAAGACACCCTCCTTCCGACATGTCAACTGCCACGCCATCAACTCGCCGTACGGTGCTGTTGTTTTAAGCAACGTAGTCACCCAAACTACTGATTGGCCAGTTGGGAAAAACGACATCATTTTGATTACTTAAGAACTCGTCCGCAGCTGAAACTAATTTTAGGAGGTGGAGAAGTCCGATCACCAGAAAACCCACCGGACTTGGCGGTAAATTCTTCTTCTTCTTCTTCTTCTTCTTCTGCTTTTTAATATACGCAGCTGCAACTAATCCGGCGATAGAGCAAGTAAAGCTGTAAAGCCAAATTTAACATATCTTCTGATGGAGACTCGTCAAGGATTATACAGTACGAGGCTAGTTCCGCTGTTACATTTATTGATGTCGGAAGTGATAAACCGATGACGACATATTAAATGGGCTTGGGCCAAAAGATGATTTTTGTGTGGATAATGTTAGGCCCATTAGGATCATCTTAACACCCGATTAAGTTGAGGATTATTTTTAGATATGTCGAAGATGAAAAATTATCATGTGAGAAGAGCTTAATAAAAATCTCGAGAAATATTTCGAGCTCTCTTTTTGGGCGACGTTGTTGCTCGAGCTCTTTCTTCGATTCTTGTCTCTTTTTTTTAGTTGTATCTTTGTGATTCCAAGGGAGAATTTGTCTTCCGGAGATGTCTTCACTCACCTCCGTTGAATTGAATTTTCTAGTTTTCCGATATCTTCAGGAATCAGGTGCGATAATTAGCATTCTCTTTCTTTCCTTGCTCTTACAGATTTTTCTTCCTTTTTTTATTATGAATTTGAGTCTGCTCCGCTATCTACAGGCTAGGGTTTTGATTTGGTTTCGAATTGTGAATGTCGTTGTCTGGTCCTACGAACTTAAACATTCCTTAGGGGTTTTCCTGGATTCTTCGTCTTAGGGTTTCACCGATTGTACAAACTGTAGCTCTTAGGACTGTTGGTTCAGGATCCTTTAGATCTTCTAGTTCATACGAAAACTGTAGGTTTCTCTGGATATTCGTTTAGTTTTTCCATGTCGAGGTCTGAGAGCTTGAGTTTTCTCTGTTCTGAAGACTTTCTCTAGAAGCTCTATTGTTATCTATGTTGTTCTGCTTTTATTTTTTCTTGAAGTTTCCTAACTTCGTTTTTGCAGGGTTTACACACGCTGCATTCACTCTAGGTTACGAGGCAGGGATAAATAAATCCAACATTGATGGGAATATGGTCCCACCTGGTGCTCTTATCAAATTTGTTCAAAAAGGACTCCAGTACATGGAGATGGAAGCTAATTTGAGCAATGTATAGATTTCAAGTCTTTTTTTAAATTTTGTTGGATCTCTTGTGTTTCCTATACGGTGGTTGGTCTAGCTAGACTGAGTTATGTTATTTTTATTTGCAGGGAGAAGTAGACATTGATGAGGATTTCTCATTTTTTCAACCGCTGGATCTGATTTCAAAGGATGTGAAGGAGTTGCAGGAGATGCTGAGAGAAAGGAAGAGGAAAGAGAGGGATAAGGAGAAGGATAGAGAAAGATCTAAAGAAAACGATAAAGAGATCGAACGCGAACATGAAGGAGATCGCAGCCGAATGAAGGAAAAGGATAGGCATGAGAAGCAGAAGGAACGAGAGAGGGAAAGGGAAAAGATGGAACGAGAAAAGGAGAGAGAAAGAGAGAAGATGGAACGAGAAAAGGAAAGGGAAAGGGAGAAGATGGAACGAGAAACTTTCGAGAGGGAAAGGGAAAGATTAAAATTAGAGAGGGAAAGAGAAATGGAACGGGAGAGGGAAAGAGAGAAGATAGAGAGGGAAAAGGCCCATGAAAAACAGCTTGGAGGTGGTGATCGGGACATGGTTATTGACCAAAGTGACAAAGAAAATGCTGGGGATGAAGAACATGGGGGTTCGACAGGTCAGTCCTCAAATTTTTCTTTTATTTGTTTCTGTTGAAAACTTTGCTGATACTTGGTGAGGCTCAACATCTAATTTCCATTATTTATCTTTGTGTGTCTGTTTTTATTTATTTTTTATTTGAACAGCTGCAGAACCTATGGATATCACGATGACTTCTACATCTCAGCCATGTCACATTCCTAGTTCTGATGTGAGGATTTTGGAAGGGCACACTTCTGAGGTACGTTATTATGTCATTTTCTCCGTTAAATGAACATTTTCTATAGCTGCGTCCATCTTCACTTGTATCTATTCGTTAATCCTATGTCACTCTTATGTTGAGATTACGATTCTGGCTATATTGCTGATTTAGGTTTGTGCTTGCGCGTGGAGTCCGTCGGCTTCATTGCTTGCATCAGGGTAAGTAATTTGCTAAGAAAGATGAATGCACTTGCAAAGAATTTTCTTTTCTTATTCCATTTCTATACCTTTGCCAAATATCAGGTCTGGTGACGCAACAGCACGTATCTGGAATATTCCGGAAGGGCCATTCAAATCTGGATTCCATCGTAGTATCAACGCTTTGATCCTGAAACATGCAAAAGGAAAGTCAAACGAGAAGAGCAAAGATGTGACCACTCTTGATTGGAATGTGAGGGCTGCTGCATTTTCACTTTTTTTAAAATATCTAGCCTTGGATACTGCTTATTTCTGGTTTTCTTAAGGTAGAGAATATATGAAGCATTTCTGGATTCGTGCCTTAGTTTATGCTAATATACCTTTTCTGATTTCTGATTGTTTCAGGGTGAAGGGACTTTACTTGCAACTGGTTCATGTGATGGTCTAGCAAGAATATGGAATACAAATGGTATGTCCACGTTTCTGGTGTTACCCCTTGTATGAATCAGCCATTGTATCACCCTGCATCTCTTTTTTCTGGAAGTTAATCGTAGTTTTGTTATGACTGATGAATATTCTGGGGCTGTCTAAATTAATGTCTCTATCTTTCCTCTTAGTGTGAACTACAGATCTGAGAGAGTTCAAGTTGTGAGGGCTTTGATAATAATACGAGTTCCGCGAGTGAAAAAAAAATGCTATCAGCTAGTTGAAAACATTATCACTCTGGATCATTGGCCACAAAATTTACTCACCTTCTTAGTATGTTTTTTGGAGTTAGCTTCTGAATGACAAATTACTCTTTTTACATTTTCAGGTGACCTGATAAGTACCCTGAGCAAACACAAGGGACCTATTTTTTCCCTAAAGTGGAACAAGAAGGGTGATTATCTTCTAACCGGAAGTGTAGATAGAACTGCTGTTGTTTGGGATGTAAAGGCAGAGGAATGGAAGCAACAATTCGAATTTCATTCAGGTAGCCCTTTTTTTTTGGGGATGAAACGTTAAATTGAATCAAGTTTTCTCATGCATATGACATTGAATACAATTGCGAATATAGGCCCCACACTTGATGTTGATTGGCGCAACAATGTGTCTTTTGCAACGAGTTCCACGGACACCATGATATACTTATGTAAGATTGGAGAAACTAGGCCTGTCAAAGTCTTTGCCGGTCATCAGGTTGTGTCTCTTATCCAAGTTTCTCCCATATGTTATCGACATATCGTTATGTTTAGTTTTCTCAATCTTAACTAAGCAAACTCGGTGCTTCCACAATTGCAGGGTGAGGTTAATTGCGTGAAATGGGATCCTACTGGTTCATTACTGGCCTCCTGTTCAGATGATAGTACTGCTAAGGTTTTTTGAATTTACTAATTTCCATCGACTTAGATTGACAATTGTGTTGAGTTTTTCTGTGTCTCCTTATTATCTAAATATCTTTTTTCTTTCTTTTCTTCAGATATGGAATATAAAACAACACAACTTTGTTCATGACCTTCGAGAGCATACTAAGGTAAACAAAAATCCACCAAGTATTGAGAATTTCAAGAATGGGTTTGGTTGTTTAATAAGCGTATCGATATCCTACTTTATTCAGGAAATATATACAATCAGATGGAGCCCTACAGGACCGGGAACTAACAATCCTAACAAACAGCTTACTCTTGCGAGGTGAGGTCATTTAACAATGGAATACTCCTTTGAAAACAAAGTAGGGTGATTGTAACATAATCTCTTTGTGTTGTTTCTATGTTTTTTTGTGAATGGAACAGTGCATCATTTGACTCAACAGTAAAGCTATGGGATGCAGAGCTGGGAAAGATGCTGTGTAGTTTCAACGGCCACAGGTAAACTCGACCCTCAAGATATGATCTGTGTGGTTAATGGTTTAGCCGGTTGTATTAACTAAAGCTGAATTGATGATCTGAAGGGAACCGGTTTACTCGTTGGCGTTTAGTCCAAACGGGGAGTACATAGCGAGTGGGTCTTTGGACAAATCGATACACATATGGTCAATAAAAGAAGGGAAAATCGTAAAGACGTACACAGGAAATGGAGGAATTTTCGAAGTGTGTTGGAATAAAGAAGGTAACAAAATCGCAGCTTGCTTCGCTGATAACTCGGTTTGCGTTCTTGATTTCAGAATGTAGTTTTAAAGTGTAGTAGTAGTGTTCCCAACACTCTCAGTCCAAGCCTTATTTTTGGTTGTTGCACATATAGTTATAACCCTTTAAATTCAAAAAAGGCACAAGACAAAAGTGTACTTCAGATGTTTTTCTCATTGTTTTTTTATTTATTTTAATTTTGGTTGACTGACGAGTAACAGTGATAAATTGATAGAAAACAAACGGCATAATAATAACAATAAAAGATAGGGATACATATCCATTATCTTCGAATTTAGTCCATAAGCTAGAAATGAAAGTGAGTAATTTTATTGGGCTATTGAAGACACCAACTATAAAGACAAAGTCTATCTTTATGTCCGTCGTACACACGTTAGATGGGGCACGTGGTGGGAGCTGACGGAGTCGTACAACCCCCACGCCAAAGTGCGCTTCTTCTTAACAGATATATCCTCCTCTATTTTTTGTTTGTTTCTCAATCTTTGATCCTACTATTTCCAAAATCTTGAGGAACAAGATTAACTGTGGATATTGTAAATGAAGATTCGTCATCGTCGATGTCGCAATGTTTCTTTTTCTCATTAAAAACAAAAGTTTAATAGATGGCGTAACGATTGAGCCTATTTTAGTGTGCTCGTTATGACTAATTTTTTTTTTATTCCGACGATAAATTAAATATTAAGAATTGAATTCTCTAGAGGAAAGTGATACTCCCAAGCAGATTCGATAATCCCAAGTTTCACACACGATCTCGCGACTTGTTGACAAATCTATCCCTGCGCTTCTTCACAAATCACAAAATATTACCATTCATTAATATCGACATGGCGTAATATAATTGGGACAAAACTGGATTAATATCTATAATTAAGTTGATTATATAAGGCAATAAAGCAGTAGCAACAAGAGATGATTTCGAACACTCTAATTTAGTTATTCCTGAGGGTGAAATCGCCGGGAAAAGATGCCGGAGACTGAGAGAGAGCGTCCGTTACTAGCATCGGAGGAGAGAGCTTATGAAGAAACGGAGAAAGTTCACATAGTCGGAGTCGACGAAGAAGAAGACGCCGAATACGACGAGTTGGGAAATTCGCCTCGCTTCTCGTGGAAGAAGCTATGGCTATTCACCGGACCTGGGTTCCTGATGAGCATCGCTTTCCTCGATCCAGGTAACCTCGAGAGCGATCTCCAAGCGGGAGCCATCGCTGGTTACTCGTTGATCTGGCTCTTGATGTGGGCAACCGCCATCGGGCTTCTGATTCAGCTTCTGTCTGCTCGGCTCGGCGTCGCGACCGGTCGACATCTGGCGGAGTTGTGTCGGGAAGAGTATCCGACTTGGGCGAGGATGGTGCTTTGGATTATGGCTGAGATTGCTTTGATCGGTGCCGATATTCAGGAAGTCATCGGCAGCGCAATTGCTATCAAGATCTTGTCTAATGGATTGATTCCTCTCTGGGCTGGAGTTGTCATCACTGCCCTCGATTGGTAATCTTTCTCAATTTTGTAATCTAATCATTGAAAAACCCCCTTAATCTTGGATCCTTGATGTGTGTTTTGTTCATTGCAGTTTCATCTTTTTATTTCTGGAGAACTACGGAATAAGGAAACTAGAAGCTGTCTTTGCTGTCTTGATTGCAACAATGGCGCTCGCGTTTGCTTGGATGTTTGGTCAGACAAAACCCAGTGGAACTGAACTCCTTGTTGGTTAGACCTCTTTATTTTCGTTTTGTGTTTTTCATTTTGCTGGAGAGTAAAAATGGCAACTTTCTCAACGGTTTTGACTTTAAAAACAGGAGCATTGGTTCCAAAACTCAGCTCCAGGACTATAAAACAAGCTGTTGGAATTGTGGGATGTATTATCATGCCTCACAATGTGTTCTTGCACTCAGCACTTGTGCAATCGAGAGAAGTTGATCCGAAAAAGAGATTCCGGGTCAAAGAAGCTCTGAAATACTACTCCATCGAATCCACTGGTGCTCTCGCTGTTTCCTTCATAATCAACGTCTTCGTGACAACGGTATTTGCCAAAGCGTTTTACGGGACAGACATAGCGGACACTATCGGTCTTGCAAACGCAGGACAGTACTTGCAGGACAAATACGGTGGCGGGTTTTTCCCCATACTCTATATATGGGCGATCGGAGTCTTAGCTGCTGGTCAGAGTAGTACAATCACAGGTACTTACGCAGGACAGTTTATAATGGGAGGGTTCTTGAATCTCAAGATGAAGAAATGGGTTAGAGCCTTGATCACTAGAAGCTGCGCGATCATCCCGACTATGATTGTCGCGCTTGTCTTTGACTCTTCAGATTCTATGCTCGACGAGCTTAACGAATGGCTAAACGTTCTTCAATCTGTTCAGATCCCTTTTGCCGTTATCCCTCTCCTCTGCTTGGTCTCAAATGAGCAAATCATGGGCAGCTTCAAAATCCAACCTTTGGTGCAAACAATCTCGTGGATTGTAGCTGCTCTTGTGATTGCCATTAATGGGTATCTAATGGTGGATTTCTTCTCAGGAGCTGCGACGAGTGTGGTTTTGCTCGTGCTCGTGATCATATTTGCTGTTGCGTATGTTCTGTTTGTGCTTTACCTTATTTCAAGAGGCCTCACGTACACTCCTTGGCAATTAGTGGCTTCACCGAAAGTAACACATCGGGGTGATGAGTAATAAAAAAAAATCAAAGAGACTTTTCCTTCCTAGAAGAAGAAGAGCAGACTGGCTTTTTTTACTTGATAGCAAACATTTCTGGAAACTGAAACAAACAATAGAAAGTTGGTTTCATCAGTATGGTAACATAATATCATGATGTATTTGTAATATAGTGTTTATGGTTTAGAGTATAGTTTTGGAAGAAGGTACTCGGAACTTTTGAATTTTATTTTTAAGATTCTGAAATGTATCCTCGGTTGGAAACTTCCGATTGTTCTTGGAATTTCGGCAGAATAAAACGGTAATACGAAGTTTGTTTTTTAATTCACCCGTTTTCTATCAAATTAATAAAAATGAAATTTTATTCGTGAGATTGCATTTCCATATTTAACGCAAATTTATAAATATGGCCACGTTTCTCCTCTTCTTTTCAGACCCAAATGATATATTTTTTTTATGAATTTTTAGCTGAATATATATATTTTTTTTGTGGGGGTGGGGGGATTTCAGTAAAATAGAAGAATAAAAAATGGGACGAAGGAAGAATTAGTCAAATGTAAAAGGAAGCGGCCTAATGGAAACGCGCTCGCATTTAATTTTTGATGTTTATAGTCAAACAAATTCTCAGTCGTTTAGGGAAATTCATGCACAATTTCATCCTATAATTGACGATTAGTTAATTAGATAGCTAGTACTTCTTCTTTTTTTGGGGGTATAATGTCTGGAAGCTAGCGTACTGTTTAATCATTTGATTATGAAAATTTTCTGGTTTAACGACTCGAGGTATTTATACATCTTGTAAAGTTTAATTAATTACCAAAAGTTCACTGACTACAAAAATAACAAAAAAAATTATCAAAGGTAAATGAATACCACCAAAACAGGAGCAGCCTCTCCTAATAATTTAATATTCCCTCCGTTTTATAATAAATGTGTGACATATTTCACACAAATTAAGAAATTAAAAAAATATAAAAATATACCTCTAATTAATATATTTTTATAATATTTAATTACAAAGATTATTATTTTTAAATGAATAAAACAGGAAATAAGAGTAAAAATTTATATTGAAAATGCAGAATGACACTCTTTCTGAAACAAAAAATGAAATTTAAAACGACATTTATGAAACGGAAAGAATAATAAAAGTCTCAAACAAAAAAAATTTGAAAATGTATTTAAATTACATAACCCACCTAACAAGGTTTGACGTAAGACTCGCTAAGAGCCTAACGCATTTATTGGGAAGAGAACACCAAGAAGCATTGTTGTTAAGGACTAATTAATGACTATGTAGAGACTACACTAATTTAATTAAACATTATCGAGAGGAAAGTCTTGGCGATCAAGGATTCGGTCTTACCGCGCTTCCACTGTTGTAATTTCCCTTCTTCTTCGTCTTCTTCTTCTTCATCTTCTTCTCCTTCTTCTGAGAGAGAGAGAGCTGAAACTGCCATAACCGCTAGGTAATTTCATCGTCATCAACTGATTACTTTCTTTCGTTATAATCTCTGCTTTGGCTGATTGTTGCTTCTTCTTTTCTTTTTTCTCGGGATAGAAACGTTTTTCTGCACTTTCGTAATTGTGTAAAGTTCGTTTTACTTTCTGGGTAGCTTAAAAGTTTATGAATTTGAACAACTAATTGAAGCTCAAGCTGATGTTCTCTTTGTTCGGTTCAGAGTTTCAATGGTTTTTTATTATATTGACTCGAGTTGACTAAGCATTAATTTATAGGTTAATGCGTTCTTCTTTGTAGATAAATACAGAAGCGTCTCTGGGTTTTGCTGGGTCCTCAGCTTAAGAAATTGGTTCGAATTATTTTTAAAGCATCATCAATAAATGAAGCAAAGCAAATGTTCAACGTTGTGAAACTAATGTTAGGTTGATTTTCAGCTCAGCGTTTAGGTCATTTTAAAAATCTTGGGTGAAAAGTTGAAATTTTTCTTACTTGGTGTTCTTGCAGTTCTTGTTTCAGGGGCTTGGATTTGCTTAATTTCTTACAAATTAGTTATTATAAACTCGTAATTCTTGTTCAGTGTTTTTTTTTGGTAGGTGAAGGTAAATATGGAGGTGTCTTGGTTAAGAGTTCTGCTAGATAACATCTCATCATATATGAGTATATCAACGATGGACAACTTAGAATCAAACCCAGCACATAGGTACTACACCAGAGGGGAAGAGATAGGAAAGCTTCTTAAGCTTGTTCTTGAGGACCTTGTTGGCTCTGATGCCGCTCCTAGCGAATTGCTTAACAACGGCTTTGAAGAGTTATCTCAATACGTTGACGAACTGAGAGAGCAGTTTGAGAGCTGGCAACCTCTTTCTTCTAGAATCTTTTATGTAAGTCAAGAAAACATATGTAGAATCTCCTCCCCGTTTTTAACAGAGCTAACTCGTTTGCTCTTATTTGCCTACCTATCTTGCGTATCACCAGGTTCTTCGAATCGAATCATTAGCATCACAGTTACGGGAATCCAGTTTGGAAGTCTTTCAGCTGCTCAAACACTGCGAACAACATTTACCTGTCGATCTGATTTCACCATCGTTTGAGGTAATATCACAATGTTAGCTTCTTTTGAATCATCTAGAGTTCATTAATTAGATAATTTTGCTCAGTTTTTTTTTTTTTTCAGTTGATATTTTATCTTCATAGAACCAAACTGAAAATGCACAAGTGTTGTTCATTAATCTGTGTGTAGTTTTCTTTAGGACCTACTAATTGATCAGGCTTCTCTATGTTGTGACATTGGTTCATATATCAGGAGTGCATAGAACTGGTGAAGTTAGTGGGAAGAGAGGAGATATCGTATACTATTGATCTAGCTTTGATAGATCAAAAGGAAGGTGTTGGGCCTAGTTCAGAGGTTCTGGTGAAAATTGCTGAGAGCATTGGTTTGAGATCCAACCAGGAGATTCTGATTGAAGGTGTGGTTCTTGCAAACTTGAAGGAGAACGCCGAGCTTGCTGAGAATGACACCGAAGCTGAGTTTATAGACGGATTGATCTCTCTAATGACACAAATGCATGATTACCTTTCCAACATAAAGCAGTCTCAGTTACTTTGTCCGGACCCTGTGCCTTCCGACTTTTGCTGCCCTCTGTCTCTTGAGCTTATGACTGATCCAGTCATCGTGGCATCTGGTCAAACATACGAACGGGTCTTTATCGAAAAATGGATCGGTATGGGACTCATGGTTTGCCCAAAGACAAGGCAGGCTTTATCTCACACCACTCTGACACCTAACTTCAGTGTCAAGGCTTTCATTGCCAACTGGTGTGAATCAAACAATGTCAACCCTCCTGACCCATTGGAGTTGATTCAGTCAAGTCAGCCATTCCCTCTTCTTGTTGAATCAGGTGACTCGGCTGGTTCTCTGCCTCTCTCTCCATTGCTGGATGATTCACTGGATGATTCACTTGAGTCAGAGAGAGCTTCGTCATCAGAGGATTCATCGGTTTCCGGAAAGGGCCATACAGAATCGTTAGATGCTACCAAATGCGAGGAGCAGCATCAGGTCCTAAGTAGGTCAACTTCTGCACCAGGCATTGTCGCTGAAGTGGTTTCCAAAGTCCAACAAAGAAGCACTGATGCTGCAGATACATCAATCTCACAAGAACCGGTGGAAACTGTTTGGCGACTTCCATCAGTGAGGCATTTTCGTCACCCCGGGATCATCCCAGCGACCATAAGAGAAACTGGAAGCAGTTCAAGTATCGAAGCAGAGGTGAAGAAACTTGTGGAGGATCTCAAGAGTCCTTCCTTTAGATACACAAAGAGAGGCCACATCTCGGATCAGGATCCTATCAAGAACCAGTACTGAAAATCGCATTGTGATTGCAAGGTGTGGAGCAATCAACTCCCTAGTCGATCTGCTATACTCCACGGATGAGAGAATCCAAACGGACGCTGTGACTTGCTTACTAAACTTATCCATCAACGACAACAACAAATCAGTGATCGCAGATAGTGGAGCGATAGGGCCGCTCATTCACGTCCTCAAAACAGGAAGCATAGAAGCCAAAGAGAACTCAGCAGCGACTCTGTTCAGTTTATCAGTGATCGAAGAGAACAAGACAAAGATAGGAGAAGCAGGAGCTATAGAGCCACTCGTTGACCTCTTGGGATATGGGAGTCTCAGAGGAAAGAAAGACGCAGCCACGGCTCTGTTCAACCTCTCGATACACCACGAGAACAAAACGAGAGTAATCGAAGCAGGAGCAGTTAGATACTTGGTTGAGTTAATGGATCCTGCGGCTGGAATGGTGGAGAGAGCTGTGGTTGTGTTGGCGAATCTTGCAACCACGAAAGAAGGAAAGATTGCGATTGGGGAAGAAGGAGGAATACCTGTGCTGGTGGAAGTTGTGGAGTTAGGTTCAGCAAGAGGCAAAGAGAATGCAACCGCAGCACTTTTGCAGCTTTGTATGCATAGCCCTAGATTCTGCAACACTGTCATTAGAGAAGGAGCTATTCCACCTCTTGTGGCTCTTACCAAATCAGGAACAGCTAGAGCCAAAGAGAAGGTTTTCCTTTACTTTTTTTCTTTTTGGTTTCATCTTCTTCTTTTATGTCTCATGGTTAAAGTGATAACTGTTCTATGCTTTGTTTCAGGCACAGAATCTTCTTAAGTACTTTAAAGCCCAAAAACAAGGTAACCAGAGGAGAGCCTGATCTTCGTTTCCTGCACAGCTTGATATCTATATGTATATATGGATGTTATATTATATAGTGATTCTTACGGAAAAAAATATTTGTACAAATATAAGGTGAACCTGTGAATCTCTCTAGCTGAAAAATATGTGTATACTATTTTATTATTTCATTGGAGCAAATATTTTGAAATGACATTAATATATAGTGGTTATTGAACTGATGGGCGGCCCATTTGATAGTCTCCAGCAAGATGTGCATCCAAGTTTTGGGTAAAACTTTTTAGCCAACTATGCTCATATACAAGTGACTAAAGACCTTTGAGTTGAGGATTTTCATTTTAGTAGTAAAACCATGTATACTATATAATGAGAAAAAAAAACATTATATTATACGATATGGTGATAAACTCACGTCTTAGATATATAAACATCATTGCTTTAATCATGTCAACCACCACTCCTTATAAGAATCTTTTATGGAAAACAAAATAAAGTAAGCACACCCATATGATATTTCACTTTCACATCATTCTCGTTTTTTTAAATGATGTTTCGCTTTCATACCATCATATACGTGTATGCCTCTCTCATATCTATTCGTATGAAATTTAACTTAGTTAAAAAAACTTCTATTACATTTGGTATTAACATTAGGTCATTATGAACGTATCCCCTTGCCATACGATGAAGTCGAATTAGATTCTCGTATTTTAACTAAATGCGTGTGTGCGAATTTTTTTGTTTGGTTGAATTAATGTAATCTAGAAATATATGTAAATATATATTGGGATTTATTTAAGTAAACTTCGTTACTAGTAACGGACACACAATTGGATATTATAATTAGTTTCGTCGATTGTCAAATTTTTGAAAATCGAAACACCCAAAAAAGGCAAAAACCTAAAAATTGGAAATAAAAAATACACTCAAACTCAGATGATGAAATCTAAGATTAGCAGAATGAAAACCAAAAACATAAATCATTTGGAAAAATTAAGTATAATTGACAATTAACACTAACATACAAAAAGATAATTACGTACGAAATGATTAAACAAAAAATAAAATAAAGAAAAACGAAAGAAAAGTGAAACATGAAAGTTTTTGCCGGAGTCATCACGCCAAGCTTCTTCTTCCATGATCGACGACGACTGCAGATCCTACCTGTGATAATTCTTTTAACCACTCAAAAGTTCTCTTACGCGCAATCGCCGTTTTCTCCTCTTTCTTCGCCGTCTTCTTCTTCTCCACCATCCTCTGTTTCTCCTCCGTCTCACCGGAGACATTCATTTTCACAGGTACGATCGTCTCCGTCGAAACCGAACACTTACAATCCGCGAAAAAGAAACTTCTTCTTCGATTCCTCGATCTCGATTCTCCTGATCCTGTTTTCTTCGAATTCGAGCTCGTGCTCGTGCTACTGCAGCTACTGTTTCGACTCACTGATATTTTCGCGTTACCGGCGGTTCGAAGTTCGATCTCCGGCGTTCGGACGAGTCCTAGCCGGAGAAAATCCCAAATCGAAGATGATTTGGGGTTTCTGATTGGATTCACACGAGCCGTCATGCTCGATGATCTTCTTATCTGTGGTTGTGGACTCGGCTGGCTGTAATCGATGAAAGTGTTTTTGATTTTCCGGTCCGATCCGATTCTGGTTCGTCGGAATTCGACCGATTCGGATCTGGAAATTAACCGGTTCGAATCGGCGTCTAAACTGACGGAGTGACGAAGAGGCAGAATTTGGCCTTTGAAGAATAATTCGTCTGCCGTAGTCATCTCCGGAGCCGGTTCACACGAATCTGACCCGGCCCGAAACGATGACCCGATTTCAAATTCGAACCCGGAATCGAACTCGAATTCTTCTTCCCTCTTGGATTGTTTCGGAAACGGAACTTTCTCATCGGATAAATTCACCGGCAAGTCACACAGAGACAACGCTTCTTCTTCTTCTTCTTCTTCTCCTCTGTCATCTTCTTCTTCGTCTTCTTGATCTTGATTGCCGTGAGAGATCAATAGGGCTTTTTCTTCTTCCGTACATGTCCTCGCCATTTTCGAAGCTTCCGAGTTTCCAACAAGAGACAGAGAGGTAAAGTTTCTTAATTTAAACACATAATGAATTTGAGTGGGCGACAAATTTGAATATTTAAAGAAGAGAAGTTTCGGTTGAAAAAGTCAATAACGATATCGACCTTTATTATTACTATTACTCATTAGTATTATTTTTCATTTAACCTATAGCCCCTTAATTCATATTTTTATGGACATAAGTTATACTTGGAACCAGACATTAGACATAAGCCATCGAAAGAAAAAGTAAATTTTACACCGAAAGTTATTTTCTCCTTTTTCGCTCTAACCATGACTTGACTAAATCATCATGAGAAGTATGAGTCCTAGTTTACTAGACGTGTTGTTTCTTTTTTCTTTTTCGTTCAGTATCGTGACGATCATCTACGATTATTTCTTTCCATCGAGTAAAATTTAATGATAATTTTTATGCGTAATTTGAATCCTGAAAATAATGCTTTACTGTTTCGTCTTTTAATGGTCAACTTGCATAGGACCAAGAGTCTACTTCAAAACCGTCCGCTTTGTGATTTAAATTATAAACCTAAAATTTTAGTCAAAATTTAGAAATAACAAAACCAGTTGAATACTGGTTAATAGTTTACTAGCAGTCTGCTTAACGTTTTATATTGCTTGGCGGGTAAAACTAAAAATGTTTTTTTTTCTTCTATTAACAAATACACATGATAAGCTTTGACCCAAAAAAAAATACACACACATGACAAAGCTGAGAGGCTGCAAGATAGGGCAGGCTTTTGTTAGACTCTCTACTCACTTTTTCTGATAAATAAAACATTAGATACGTAAAAACAAAACAAAAACCAAGAAAATAAAAATAATAAGAATAGCTTAGAAGGTTGGGTCTGTGGAGGAGTGGGCCTAGGCCACTATTTTTGGCACGCGATAGCTACGCTTTACCCAGCACCATCACCATCATCTTCCACAGGCATACATTTATCATGATTATTATCTAATTTTTTTTAATTCATTTCTTTTGCTGCTTTGTTGTTAATGTTGAGCGTTTAATTTGTTTCTATATATGTGTAGAGAATAAATTATGCATCCTTTTCTAATTTTGATTGTTTAAATTCCTAGCTAATTTCTAGCTTTAATACGACTAGAATGATCTAACATCTATTTTTCTGCATAACTCTTTTTTTTTTTGTCTCTTCTCTTTTTCAAACGCGTATTACTGGTCTACAATTGTTTCCATTAATTGTAGAGACATTAGAGTTTGACCACATATATAATTACAAACTATAAATACAATCTGAAAATGACTTTTTGCATAATTAAATTAAAAGTTATATTTTGATGTCCAATTCTAGAAGAGGACGTGGGCTAATTATATTCATGAAATAGGAAACTTTACTCATCATAGTCAAGACAAATTGTTCATCTACGAAATAAACGGTAGAATGGATTTGAAATCATATGATACGTCTAGGTCGAATTGTATAATTAGGAAAGCTGTTTTTGACATAAAGTACTAGAAAAAACAAAATAAAGCGAGGTTGGTACCATCATAGTTGAAACTTGCGGTGAAATTCATAATTATATGCTTTTGTCAACTTTTTGTTCTTTCTAATTTTATCGATTTTTCTAGCACACTTTTTATATATTTGATGGCACTATAGTTCAATGTTCATTGCTTTTGATTCATGCGTGACTCGTGGGATTGTATTTTTTTTTGGTTTTATGAATAAAGGGCGACGTGTTTCATTGTCGTGTCGACTTTTTTTTCCTTATTTTCAAACTCATAATCACACTGTTTATCATTAATATTGAACTACTTGAATTTCCCACACAACTATCATTACAACAAAAATTTGTTCCTTAACTTTCTTAGATATATTGGTAATTTTGAACATTACACGTACGGTACATGCTAATGAAAGCCGTAAAAGAAAATTAAATATGCTAGTAAAGATGTTTGGTTTGATAAATTTGGCATGTGGATATCCTTAATTGTGTGCGCCTAATATCTATTATATTAAAACAGAAGCACATTTAATACTTGCTTCCAAACACTCCTAATTTTTTTAAATATTTAAAAAATAATTTTAATAATGATTTATATTTAATTTCGAAAATTAGTTATTAATTTAAATATTTTTAGAGTTCCTTAAATATAAGTAATTTAGATTTGATTTGATTTGATTAAAAATAATAAATCAGATATTAATTTAGATTTGATTTAAAGATTTTAATTTAAATAATTTCTATACTACTAAACATTTTTATCAAAAATATGTAGAATTTTTGAAAACAAAATAATTCACATATGAAAATAATGGTTATATTTGAAATATAAAATATTTATAATGATGTAAATGATATGATATTTATGTTGTTTATATAATATATTTACGATTATGATTTATTTACAAATTAATAATAAAATAATAGATAAAATTCAAATGTATAATTTAAATATTAAAAATATATTTTAAAAAATTCATAGAACTAAAAATATATATAAAAACCGGATTAAAAATATTTTGGTAACTAAAATCACTAATTTTGAATTATACATGTATATCGGAAATATATTTTTTATACAAAATAAAAACATAAAAAATTAAAAATTATTGCATACATTAAAATGTGGTTTGAAAAACCAGTTGTACATTCCTTTCGTTGATTAAATTTTAGAAAACTATAATGCTAAATAATATTGTTAATACATCTCAAACTTTTAACAAATATTTATATTATACGGTAATATGAACGGAAAAGTTAGAATTATGTTTTTATAATAGTTCATTTTGAATTAATATTAGCGGACCGGTTAAAATTATATTTTTATAATCATAATTAATTTTAATACTATAAAAATATATCTAAACACAAAAATCAATATTTTCACTTATTAAAAACTATATTTATAAAAATAATTATATCTAAACTCAAAAACACAAATTATATTATAAAATTTGTTAAACAATAAAAAATATTCCCGTGCAGATGCACGGGGTTAGAATTTAGTTTGGTTTTAAAATCTTAGAGATGTTTACAATCATGCAACGTGAACCAATTGGCTATGGAAGGCAAGATGCGAAATGGACTTGTGCAGTGTGTAATCATCTTTGAAATTTCGTTTACTTAAACATTGCACCAGATTTAGCTCGAGAAAACGAAATCGGCTAAAATTCTGATGTAGCTTTCTGGAACCGGAGAAATAGAGTACATCGGAATTTTAGCCGATTTCACCACATCACCTTTATAAAATCGGTTAAAATTCTCTATTTTTCTGGAACCGGAGAAATAGAGTACAATAAACAAAAGACCCACAAAAGTCAAACTGGCAATCCCAAATAGGCCCATCATTATAAGGCCCATTAGCGTATACAATCCTTGAAAACTCCATTAGAAACAAATATCTAAATGGCAGAGAAGAAAACTCTAATCATGATTTTCGTTAGATATCTACACTTCAATTTGAAACAGTTTAGTAAATCAAAATAGTCATGAGTCCGTAGCTCACTCGGAGGTGAAACAGTAAATGATGGTGCTATATATATATAATTTTTTTTTTTTTGCTATTCATTAAATATTCAAGTTACATGAAAAGAGAAACACCTAGAAACCCAGCCATTGTTGTGACTGTAAGTTGTGACCGGGGAATATTTCTTTTTAAAATTAGAAAAGAAAAAAACAGCGCTGATTTCCAAGAACAAACTATATAGATAAGCCATCAATAGAATGCATGCCGTTTTTGCTAAACAGAGGTCTTATATTAAAACGGCATTACAAAATATCTGTGACACCTTCTTTTCATAAGAGCCCTTTGAATTTCTCGTAATTCACCAAATCCCACTATGTCCAACTAATGGCCACGGGACTTGCTACCACGTGTTTCCCATCTGACCATTCGATGCTCCCAAAGCTGTTAGATCCAGACGCCTTAGACGAATCTACGGTAAACGTCACCGTATACGATTTTTTCTCGTTAGCTTCCTTGAAATTCAAAACCGCCGGTTGAACCGAAATCTTGACTGCTGTCGTCTCCGAAGTTATTTTAACCGAGTAGGTCCCAGCTCCTCCCACGCTCGTAACAGTGCGCGTGTACTTGTACGCGCCGGCTCCGTCGACGTTAAGGGCAAACGACGGATAGTTCAGATCAGCGATGGAGTACGATTTGCTCGGATCGCAAGTGTAATTGCGTCTCGACACGCTTCTAATCTGCGACGATGTGTAGTTCAACGCGCAGAGAAAACCTAAGTAATCCGCCGTCGTCAGATCGTAGATGAGTCCTGGATTGATGGCGGTTGTCGGGGACACGTGTCCTGCACCGTGATCGAACGGCGTTGAAGGTTTCCCCGTGGCGATGTCGAGGATCGGTTTCCCGTCTTTGTAGGTTTTGTAAGCGGTGGTCATGAGAGCCGATCTAATCGCCGCCGGGCTCCATTCCGGATGCACCGACTTGATAAGAGCCGCTAAACCGCTCACGTGAGGGCAAGACATTGACGTCCCTGAGATGATGTTGAATTCCACGCGGCGAGAATCGGAAGCGAGTCCGGTAGGTCCTTCAGCTCCGGTCCAACCGGCGAGGATATTGACTCCCGGCGCAATCAAATCCGGTTTGAGTATGTTTGGCGTAATCGAATTAGGCCCCCGGGAGCTAAACGCTGCAACCACCGGAGAAGGCTGGACGTTGACGACAGTCCCTTGGATCAAAATCGTAGCGGTGGGATTCGGATCGGTCAAGACGTAGTGCCGGATAATGTCACCGGCTTTCTCTCCCACGGTGGTGGCGGGTAACAAATGAGCATCCGCCACAAGCTCTTCTCCGTTGGCCGCGGTATTCGCCAGAATCATTCCGAGCCCACCAGCCGCTTTCACCACATCACCTTTCTGAACCCTAGCATTCACTCCTCTGTCGCACATGACGATTTTGCCCTTGACTTTCTCTGGAATCAGAGTTCCGGTCATACAAAGATTCCCATTAGTAGCGTTACTAGCATTCCCGGCGTAAACAAACGGCAACAGTTTAGCAGGAAGAGCATCTCCTTTAAACAACGAAACTCCCGAATAGTTCTTCCCGTTGCCGAGAATCGCAAGCGCCGGAAAATCACGATCTATAGTACCAGCACCGACCGTAGTAATCCAGGGAGCTACGTTGGATAAACTGAAGGAGCTGGGACCAGCATTACCAGCAGAGCAAGAAACCAAAATCCCTCTTTCCATGGCGGCGAATGATCCAATCGCGACGCCGTCTCTATAATAATCCGACATTCCACCGCCGAGAGACATCGAGAGAACGTTGACGTTATCGTCGATGGCTTTATCGATCGCCGCGAGAATATCTGAGCTGAAGCAACCGCCTTGCCAACAAACTTTGTAGACAGCTACGCGAGCGCGTGGAGCCATCCCACGAGCAGTGCCATTAGCGAAGCCTAAAAGACTAGCTCCTTCCACTACCGATCCAGCTGCTGTTGATGACGTGTGAGTTCCGTGACCGTCGTCGTCTCTAGGAGATCTCGATTCTTTGGATTCGTCCACAGGTCCCATCGTTGCTTCGTAACCTCGAGCGAAGAATCTTGCTCCGATTAGTTTACGGTTGCAGAGCGACGCGGTGAAATTAGTCCCGACCTCGCAGCCGCCTTTCCAGGTAGACGGAATCGGACCGAATCCTTCGTCGGAGAAGCTTTTGCTCTCAGGCCAGACTCCGGTGTCGAGAACTCCGACGACGACGTCGCTTGAGGCGCCTGTTTCGGGGAATAGATCTGCGTTGTGTATGTCGAGGCCGAGGAAGAGTGGAGTCCGAGTGGTGTGTAGCTCGTACCGGTGCTCCGGTAGAACCGAGATGACACCCGGTTGAGTCATGAGCGAGTCGGCTTCTTCTGGAGTAAGCCGAGTGGAGAATCCGTGAATCGCGTTGGTGTAAGTGTAGAGAAGCTCAGCGGATTCTGAGACGGATCTGAGAGAGGAATCGTACCAGAGTGAGTGGAGGTCGAAGCTCGACGGCATCTCAGATTTCTCCATGTGAACGATGTAAGTTCCTTGTTGAGCTCCATCTGACACGTGGAAGAAACCCAGATAAAGAAGAACGAGAAAGAAGAAAGCAGTGGAGGAGAGAAACGAACAAGTCATATCTGTGTTATAATTTTGTGGTCTCTCTCTCTGAGTCGAAGAAGAAAGGAGGAGATGAGAGAGGGTTTAAATACAGTTGAGAGAAGGAGAAGAAGAGATAATGGATGCGTACGAATGAATCATTAGAGACTCTTGTGTCCACTCTTCTTCTTTGAAAGTGATGACTTACTTTTTTTTTGTTTTTGTTGTTTTAAGTCTGTTTGCTTTATTATCTCGAGATTCTGTTTCTGTTTAGTATTCTAATTATCCCATTTTCCCCTGATTATTACTGTGACTGGTAATGGTATAATCATCATCGTGCCGTGTGGTTCGGGAAAAACATTATGATGTTGACGACAACTATTATGACTAACTGTATATTAGCCTTTTAATTCATACTAATTAGAAGATTGCGATGCATGAGACTTCTTCGTTTGGTTGTGTACTTATGTAGTTCGCTTGCATTTAACCAATATATGTTACATTGGTTTCCACATGCACATTCGAATTTGTAAATCTTATTATGCGTTACGAAATAAACGACCATTGGAAGATGACTAACGAGTGGGTAATGACTCACCAAGGCAATGTCTTGTGTGTATAAATTATATATTGGTCACCAAAGGGGCAAATTAAAGGGTTTAATCAAAAAATCACTAAATATAATATTTTATTAAAAAAGGATAAATAGATTTCTGAATGGGTTTGAATCGAATGGTCACTCAAGTCAAAACAAAAACAGTAGTTTTATTTTTTCAAGTGTTCTTGGAATAGTTTCTAGACATGATGTAAATAGGTATAGTCTGGTTTTGGGATTGAGTTTAATTTGTTGGTTTATAATTATACGATGTGGATTACATGGTATATTTCTATATCCATATTCTAATGTATCAAATACAATTTTATTTCGGTATTGTATAAAGAGGATAGAATATAACCGAAGCTGTAACCGAAGCTACGAGTGAGAACACGCATACGACTATATTTGGATCTAAGCACAGTTTCTGGGATTATGGCCCACGTGTCATAACGTGCCATTTCTCAGATCTCTTTATGTGTTGTTTTATTGCGAAATCGAACCAGATCTCAACTCTGCAAAAGAGAAAGCTAAAAGCAAAACTCAAACCATTTTCAACCGTCCGATCTCAATTACAACCAATTATGTGTAACCTTTTTTTTTTCTAACCGGGACTGATATTCATTATCTGAGAAACTATATCTTATAAATAAGAAAACATCTACGACTTTAAAAGAGTATATCATACTAAATATGAAATTATTAAGTAAACTATCTTGTTCCGGTTGATGTACTGAGGTATTATTAACGTTGATTCAATTATGACAGTTAGGACAGATGAGTCGTAACAAGTAGATATTAATTCGCGACATGTGACGCGGATTAAGTTACTTTATTAAAGTACTAATGAATCTTCGAAAACATCATAATTTTTATTTTTCTCAACGGCACATCATACTATTTTCCTGCCTAATACAGCTTACACAAGTAATTTAATCTGTTTCCTCACTTGTAGATAATGTCCTAATAATTTCAGTTGTTTCGATATTCATTGATAAAGACAAAAGTATTATTAAACCGAGTAATTGTCTTACCTCCGGTTCGCTTGAGTACGGTACGGTACGTGTCTAGTCCGGTTAAATTTCCAGAAAAACGGTACGATACCCCCACATTCGATGTATCCATTAGGTGTTGGAGTCAACAATTTTGTCTTACCTCGAACTACGTTTATACAAGAATCTAGGTACTCGTGACTCTCTTTTGTTTGTATACAGCAAAATAGTACATTATACGCATGTCCACATTATACATCAAAATGTCTTTATGTACACACTTTATTCAGAGACAGTCTTTATGTATATATGCTTTACATCAAAATCTATGTCACGGTCCGTGGATGCCATTAACGCTTAGGTTTATTTTGTTCAGCAAGTTGTTTACTTCATACTTCAATTCTGCGTACATTGATTGCGTATAAAATTAGGACTTATATTTTCGTAACTTACATAGTTTTACATACTTTACGCTGTCTTATAGTATTAACAAAACGTTAATTTAATGTTAAAATGTTGAAAACTTTGCGGAAATAAGCATCAAATTTTTATCTTCAGAAATTAAGAGAATAGTAAAGGAAATCAATATTTCTCACACACACAGACACATGAATAGTTACGTATGAGAACGTACATAACGAACTGCTTTTCTAGATCTCGATTGGGTTTGGTCGAAGCATTCAACTAAAACCAATTCTTTTGACGGTTGGGATCCAAATAATGTGAGTGGCAAAATGGCAATTAGAGACTTTGGTTCGCATGGTACGACATGAATTAACGTGTCTCTCAATCAGACCTAACACAAGTCCCATCCGAATAATTAACCATTACAGTGATACATTTTCTCATTACATTAAACAATTTTTATAAAGGAGAAAACGATAGCAACAGCGGAAGCTGGCACTGGCTGGTTTCTTAGTGAATAATGCCACGATGAGCATTTGAATCTTGTCCATGTCCTTGTTTTCTAATACTATAAAACTTGGAAAAGAATAGTATATATCAGGCTTTTAATTAGACCAACCTTTTCTTGTTTTGGAAATTGAATTGTGTGCCTACCAAAAATTTATTTCAGAAACAATTTTTATTCTATTCAGGATTTTAGTATTAAAAAAACTCACGCATTCTATCAAAAAAGTCGTCATATAAGTGGGCCGTTAATTGAAGATCTTATTTTTTTAAATCAGGCCATTAACAGGCCCCCGCAGCCCACTAGAATAGAGTAAAAGAACGATCGTTATTACCGTTATCGCTTCTGTTGAAAATGGTCTTTAATTTTGTACATTTTTGCGATTAGGCGCGAGGCGATATCTCCGACTTGCAATTTAACTCATCGATTAGGTTTCGTAGTCATCGCAATCCAAGAAGACGAATTGATCTGGCGATTGAGATTATTGGTTGAGAATTTGAGATACATTCTTCGGTTTATTGGAGGAAGAAAAGTAAGCATTGATCTCATTTTTTTATTCTTCATCTGATAGATCTCCGATACGATTTCGAAGCTTGAGTATAGTTTTTTTCTTTAAGTTTCCTGATGTTAATGTTTATCAGGTGACTGAAATCTTCGATTGAGATCCACTCGTCGGTTATCGGATATAATAAGCAAGCATCGATTTCAATTTTCAGTTTTCTGTAACCTGATAAGGTGATAGATTATCACCTGACTAGATTGTTCTTCATCTGAGATTCCATTATGACTTCGCTTTATGGATTTCTTCAGATACCTGCCGATTTAGCACAAAATCTCAATAATCTGAATATTATTAACTTTTAGTGAGAGGATTTAGGCTTATTCAGCCATATTTGATCAAGACTGAGAAAATTTACTTTGGTGTATATATGTGTTCTCGTTCTTATTCTAGTATGACAGCTATTTAACAAGATCTTCCCATTTGCAGTATTGACCACCGGCTAATGCACGGTAGTAACGGTCTCTGCAGTACACAGGTCTTCCATCAGCAGCCTCAGCCGCCGCCGCTGCCAAGTCATCGTCGGTCACAACATCTAAGGGCAACCGAAGCAATTGTTCTTTTCTGAAAGTTTTGTTTATAGTGAAAAGAGGTTAGTTTGCCTTTCAACAAAAGCCAGATAGATAGGAATTTATGATTTGATCTTGTTTATAACCTCATATTGAACTTGTTGTTGTTGGTTCTGGAGATGGAAACTTCTGGTTGGTTATCCTTAGAACTTAGGGTGGTTTTAAAGAAATCCTCGACTGGTGTTGCAAAAACGAACAGCACGAATGCTGAAACCAGTAAAGCTCCTGTTCCAACTAATGTTTGTTTGAGCATCTTGATTACTGGCTTCACCTGAAATGCACAAAAAAAAGTTAGCTGATTTTCTTTGCCCTTTGAGCATCTGTTTATTGTTTACCTTGTAAGAACCTAACAACCTGTCGCGAGCCAATACCTGATGCAAAGTCACAGTAATCAATCAGTCTCAGGTCGATTCAACAGGCAAAGATGCATTTGGACCAGGGCATGTTCCTTTCTTCTAGTGTTATATAACAAAATGCATAAACTATTAGAACCGGTGATACCTTTGTAGTGCTTAAACTAGAACTATAGGTCTCCATTTCAAGCTACCACAAATGACTACAACTATTGCGACTAAACACATTTTTTAATTGAGCTTATCGGGGTTTCTTTATTATTTTATTTTTCAAAGGGAACTTTGTAGATTTAGCAAAGGAAAGGACTTTAAAATGCAAACCTCTGGTGGCTTCACCCACATTTGGCCATCATACCATCCACTCTCTTCGTATGGCACAACTGCAGAAAGCAGTCTATCTCCAACATAGCTCCATCCCTGGAAAAAGAAAGAAAAAAAAAAAACAGAGTCAAGAACAACTCAATCAAATCCATCGGAAAGTTTCAAGTAGAGAGATACAGGGAAAGTTTAAATTAATACCAGGTAAATTCTCAAGACAATCAATGAGACGAGGAATAAGGTTCCTGTCCCTGCAGCTAGAACAAACCGCAAAGGTTCCTGCAACATTTTTTTCAAAGAAAACATATAATAATCATCAGTTAACAGTGTAAACACATCTTATTTTGCAGAGGCTGGGATTCGAAGCTCACTCTGGAAGGATTAAAGCTAGCAGCAGCGATGGGAACTCCAAGAACAGTGAAAGTCACCAACCAAAGACCACCGAGACGAAGAAAGAATTGGCTTGGACCCAATTCTCCCCATGAATACAACATCCCTTCCTTTAAAGACGAATACTCATTCACCTAAAAACCCAACCAAAATTTTTTAAAAACCAAAAGGTATAATTTCTAAAAGCTAATCATTACTTTAAAAAAAAAACCAGAAACATTTACTCACCGGTCTTTGGTCTGAAGGAACTTGAATCTCCGAACTTGGATCCCAGCTTTGTCCAGAGAAACTCATGCTTCCACTGCCATTACCTTTGTCCTCCATTGCTTTCACCGAAACGCTCAGAACCAGCTCCTTCTTCGTACCAATTCCGCCATATCTAACGATCGACGAAGAATCATAGTGATTCCCGAGCTTTCTGTTACAAACCCTGTGGGATATCTTCGGAATCGAAGGATGATTGGCGTTTAATCTGAGCATGATTCGCGAATGGTTTTCCTTGTGAGTAGCTTCGATTGAGGATTAAAGGTAAGTGGAGCAGAGCACCTGAAAGACGGCAAACACTGCAGAGCCATAAAAATTATATTAATCAGTTTAGTTTTTTTATTTTTTTTTGTTGTTTCCTCTGACCTGTGGCGTCTCTCTCTCGTCACGTGGCTGATGCTTCCTTGCACGCAGTTTTCCCGGGCATCTGCTTCTGTTTCCACGAGCCTCTCTTATCTTTGATAGTATTTACATCACTGGGCCACTCGGCCCATTTTGATTTAATCGGCTTTCAATAAAAAAGGCCCAGTAGGTGTCCATACGAGCTGTCATTAGCCCATTACCATTACCATTATTGTTTTTAATATATATTTGTTTTTTTTTAGTTTGATTTTCTTTTTTTTAGCAATAACGAGAGTGTAGAGTTACCACCATAATTACAGAACAAACATTTTCAAAAATTATGGACAGCCAGATGGTAAAAACATAATTACGAAAAGGCAATAACATCGAGGATAAAACCATAAATTTGGACAACCCAGAATATTAAAATCTTCAATTACCGAACAATCAATCTGAGAGGTTAAAGATATAGTGCTGCTTTTTTTTTTTTTAAAGAGATCTCTCTGAGCCTCATTGACTTCTCATTCTGCTGGTTTCTGCTGCCCTAACTTGCGCGAAGTAAGCGTGCGCCTGTCATCAAATCAACAAAGCGTATGTTCCTTTTACTTCATAATATGTGATTGAAAAATAAAAAAATGAAAAAGTCGGCCTTTTGTTTCTACGTACCATGGCTTCTCTTGCAGTTAATCTGTCTTGATGATCATACCGGAGTAGCTTGTCGAGGAAATCAATCGCCTACATGGTTGAAGATACATCCACTTAAAACCCAAACAAACCATTTTCTAATGAATGAAAATCAAGAAAAATACTACACCTCCGGTGAGACTAAATGCTGATTGTTTGCGTTGATGAATTTTGACCAAGGTTTCCTGCTATGTCTGTGTTTGTGTTCCATTGAACCAGAATGATTCAGCACAACTATTATCTTAGCATTAAGCTCATTACAAGAAAAATCAGAAGATTCACATACCGCCCAACAAGTGCTTCAAGTTGTGGATCAAGTTCTAACTGGTACTTATTTAGATACGCATTTAAATCATCTGTCCCAAGTACCTAGGCATAAGAGGTAGAGGAGATATATTCATGTCGACAATGGAAACGGGAGATCTGATCAAATTCAAAAAATTGAGTTTTACAAGTTTTACCTTGGCAATTTTCACTAGTTGATCCTGATTGTCGTGGCCGTAGAAGAAAGGTTCCTTACGGAATATCTATACGAGCAATGAATTGGCCAAATCAGATCACCACAATACAATTCAGAAACATTCTGGAAAAAAAGGAAAATCTCCCGAGTATGCACTCACCATCCCACCAAACATACAACCAAGACTCCACATATCCAATGAATAGTCATAGTCTTGTAAGTCCACAAGAAGTTCGGGTCCTTTAAAGTATCTGATACGCATTGGGAGATAAAATCAGAGTGAGCTTGGCTACAGAGAAAAGGGAAATAGAGAATATAAAGTAAAACCATACCTGGAGGCAACGCGGACATTATACTCTTTTCCAGGGTGGTAAAACTCAGCGAGACCCCAATCTATCAGGCGAAGCTTACGCAGCTCATGGTCAATCATAACATTGTGAGGCTTGACGTCTCTGTGCATTATTCCTTGTGAATGGCAGTAGTCCAGTGCCTGCAACAAGTAGTTTATATAGATAATGTGGACTAGAAGTCAAATGGAGTATATATACAGACATTTACCTTCAACAGCTCATAGATGTAGTAACGAATGTCGTAATCAGTCAGCGTAGGATACAGAACTTTAAAATCTGTGCTGTTAACATATTCAAATATTAGGCTTGGGGTTTTCGAATGTTGATCTCTAACAACGTCAAGCAGCTTGACAGTATTTGGCCCACCGCATAGGTTCTGAAGAATTTTAATCTCTCTTCTTATCTGCCAAAAGAAGGATCACATAAATACAAGAAACCACCGTGGACAAATAAAAATAATCAAAAGCAAAACCTTGTGAGACAATTCACCTTCTTTTTCTTAACAGGTTTGAGGATCTTGATAATGCACTTCTCCTTGTTGTTCACATTTACACCCTCGAAAACTTCACTATATTTTCCACGCCCGACCTTCCTTACTACCTCATAATCATCCTGCTCCCTAAGAGAGCAACGAAGGAGATCAAAACTTTCACTAAATTGCTTTACCATAATAGAAGAAACCGAATTCATTATCTAATAGATTCAAATTCGTGAGTTTTGAGTTACAACATTCATTAAGCATTTCTTCTACATAAGCATCAAAAACTTTCATTAGATAAGCTTTATCTGGAAGTAAATCCAGAGCAAACTGAAATCATTATCACTACAAACCCTGGAAAGAACGATTCGAATCCTTACTACCAATTCAGCTGATCTCAAAAATGAACACTAAATTAAACTCCGTGACGGCTACAGTGGAAAAGGGGACTTTCTAGGGTTTAACAATCTTACCCCCACTGAACATTCAGCGACTCGTAATCCCAGTAATCCTTGGGTCGAATCACGTTAACGTCGGTGTAAACACGAGCTTTTGACATCGCCCGCGTCTGGCCAAAAGCAGAGATCTCGATGAGAGAATCTGGATCGATGCGCTCGATCGTAGTATTACCGGGGACGACAGAACCAGCTGTCTCTGTGGGAGTGAAGACAGGTGAGCGTAGGATAGGAGAGTGCGCCAAAGGCGCACGTATGGTCAAGACGGCGCACACTAACAAGAAACGTCGAAGAAGAAGAGGAGTTTCGAAGAGGAGGAAGCAGGTGAGGAAGAAGAAGACGATTAGCGCATGTATCATTCACTACGCTCTTCCGCACCAGATTCTGATTTCCTTTTTTTTGCCGTTTGCGTAGTTTTCTTTCGCGCAACAAAATTTGCCAAAATAGGCCTGACAAATCACTCATATGGACTTTTAAGGCCCAATATGTATAATTGGACCCGAACGATTTGGGCCTTACGCTTGTTAGGATTTTTTGGAAAATTTTGGAAATTTCTGACATCGTTTTTGCAGGTAAGATTTGGTGAAAAGTTTTTGAATTCTGGTTCCTAGGTAGGTGAAAGGGATTGGAGGGTATATCAGTAAATAGTTATAAGTTCAGTAGTTTCAGTAATTTGGGGCTATTCTTCTTGAAAATCTGCGGTATTGGGCAAGAAAAAGGTGGAAAGTCGAAACTTTCTGTTTTGTGTCCCCACGATTTCTCTGACCAAAGATTTGGGGGCTCGCGGGGCAGCGACGAAGTCATTTAAAGATCGATCATAATCCTATCACAAATGCGACAGCTCATTGGTTGTTACCTTTTATACACACTCGAAGATTACTACAGCTACAGTTATTTTAGATGGTGGAGATTTCCGAAGCCCATTAACGAGAAGGAGATTCAGGAGTTGAGGCTTCCTGATTAGAGTAGGTGTTTCAGAGATATTGAGGCATGTGATGGATGAAGAAGCTAAAATGAGAGGTCAGTGTGAATCTATTGACAAGAGCGATATTTACATGAAGGAAGTGTTTCCATTTTTAAGTGACCAAGCCATGAGAACAACAAGTATAGGTAAAAAATTCAGATACATGTGGCATTTTCTGTCTTGTTATCGTCACTATTTCAAAATTTTAGATTTTTCGTTGCGGACGTCTTATATTATTCGAAGACACCATTTATTGTAAGATTGAGTTGAGTCTCAATCAAAATGTTGGGGCATATAGTGACCTTCAATTATCAATAAAAAGGAAGAATTTAAAGATGATAAGACTCTTTGTAGGGACATAGATCCATCATTCATACTCTGTCACAAAATCAAGATTCTTCCCTCGCTTCTCCTTACCATAAACCAGTATATAGCAAACATTATATTATACATGTAAGAGATATATACATTTGTGGAGAGGAGGCGATAATCTTTTTTAATTTCAAATTGGAATTATTTGTTTTCGTCCGAAGATTTGTCTGATCCACTTGGACCCTTCTAAAATCTTTAAACCAGCTACTGAATAAGGCATGAGGTTAACAGTTGAACCCAGATCACACAGCGATCTCTTGAATCTCTCTGTGAAGATAGAGCTTCTTGCTCTGTTTTGTTCTTCACTCTTTGTGTTAAGGGTAGTTTGTGGTTTTCTTCGTTTGGGGAATTTCGGTTCTGTTTTTCTGTTGGGTCGCAATTATTAGAGGAAAAGAGAGAAAGAAACTCTTTTCGTTGATCTTATTCTTTCTTCTTATTACGTTACGGCACATCATCTTCATGAGAAGGACTTGAAATAGTGTTCCATGGTGGATTTCTTGAGTGAGAAGAAACTACGAGCTTAGTGTTCGTAATATGTCAGCAAAGAAGAAAGATCATTTTTCCTCAGCTATGAAGAGAACCAGTGAATGGTTTTTAATTCTCTTACTTTTCGATTTTCTTACTTCTCTCAATCCTTTTTTGTTTCCAGTTTCGAAGTAAAAATCCTTTCTTTTTCTCTAATAAAACACAAAGATCCAATCTTTTTACATTATTATTTCAGGATTTCTTCTCAGGAAGTCTCCAGTGATGTCACCGTTCATGTAGGAGAAGCTTCGTTTTCACTGCACAAGGTAAAATCTATACCTAAATTCGCCAATTAGTCGATATGATGCTAAACCAAAGACATGATCACATTCTTGCCCAATCATTTCTCTCTCTCTGTATCTTGCAGTTCCCACTCTTGTCAAAATGTGGGTTTATCAAAAAACTTGTGTCTGAATCAAAAAGCGATTCAGATGCTACTGTTATCAAATTACCAGATATCCCTGGAGGCTCTGAAGCATTCGAGCTAACGGCTAAGTTCTGCTACGGTATCAATTTTGATATGAGCACAGAGAACATTGCCATGCTGCGATGTGCAGCAGAGTATCTAGAGATGACAGAGGAACACTCTGTAGAAAATCTCGTCGTAAGAGCCGAAGCTTACTTGAACGAAGTAGCTCTCAAGAGCTTATCGAGTTCGATCACAGTCTTGCACAAATCAGAGGAACTGTTGCCAGTTGCTGAAAGAGTGAAACTTGTGAGCCGTTGCATCGATGCAATTGCTTATATGACTTGTCAAGAGAGCTTATTTTGCAGTCCTTCTTCTTCGAGTAATAACAGTAACAATGAGGTTGTGGTTCAGCAGCAGAGCAAGCAGCCTGTGGTTGATTGGTGGGCTGAAGACTTAACCGTTCTTAGGATTGATTTGTTTCAACGTGTTCTGATCGCAATGATGGCCAGAGGGTTTAAGCAGTATGGACTTGGTCCAGTGCTTATGCTCTATGCTCAGAAATCTCTTCGAGGGTTGGTGAGTTTCCTTCAAACACTCATACCATTTGGAAATGACTGTTTTTCGGTTTGATCCGTTGGAGAGCTCTCATTGGTTGAGAACAGAGATTTTTGCTTATCATTTAGAAATTTCGATTTATTCAGCTTGTTATGTGTAAACATCTTTGTTCTGTCTATGCAAAAGCAGGAGATTTTCGGGAAAGGAATGAAGAAGATTGAACCAAAACAAGAACACGAGAAAAGAGTGATTCTGGAAACAATCGTAAGCCTTCTTCCTCGAGAGAAAAACCCAATGTCAGTTAGTTTTCTCTCGATGCTTCTACGGGCAGCAATATACCTCGAAACAACGGTTGCTTGTAGGCTTGACTTGGAGAAGAGAATGGGACTACAATTGGCACAAGCCGTACTTGATGATCTCTTGATTCCTTCTTATTCTTTCACTGGAGAACACTCACTGTTTGATACCGACACTGTTCAACGCATTCTCATGAACTATCTTGAGTTTGAAGTCGAAGGAGTCCGGTTAAGCAACAATGGTGTAGATCTTGCTGGTGATATGGAACGTGTTGGTAAATTGATGGAGAATTATTTGGCTGAAATTGCTTCTGATAGAAATGTGAGCTTGCAGAAATTCATCGGTTTAGCTGAACTTATTCCTGAACAGTCTAGAGTTACTGAAGATGGGATGTATCGAGCCGTCGACATCTACTTGAAGGTAATTATCAAGTTTGCAAACCATTTACAACTTTATTGATCAAATACTAAATCCTTTTTTGATGACCACAAAAATTGATAAATATTTGACATTTGCAGAAAGTGGTGACCAACAATTTCCTGAAATTGGATAATGACCTATCGTTTGCAAAAACTTTTAGCATCCCATTTCATGAACTTGATAAATCTTGAGTCTTTACAGATTGATGAAAGCTCATTTCCTGAAATTGATAAATCTTGAGTATCTACAGAAAATGATTAAAAAAGCCTTACTAAAAACCTGAGATATACTTAGCATTTCCTGAAATTGATGCCAACCCATTTCCTGAAACTGATAGATCTTAGACTTAACAGAAACTGATGAAAACCCATTACTTAGAAAACTTGAAAATCTTGTGTTGAAGGATTTTGTTTAATGATCAAGTTCCCATTATTCTGGGGGATTTCGAAGCCTTTTCAGGATTTTCACAATGATCTCTGGTGAAATATGTTCTTCTTGCAGGCGCATCCGAATATGAGTGATGTAGAGAGGAAGAAAGTATGCAGCTTAATGGATTGCCAGAAACTATCACGAGAAGCCTGCGCTCACGCAGCTCAGAACGATCGTCTTCCCGTTCAGACCATTGTTCAAGTCCTTTACTACGAGCAACAACGTCTACGAGGTGAAGTCACTAACGATTCAGATTCTCCACCACCACCACCACCTCCAGCAACTGTTCTTCCTCCTAAACTCAGCTCCTACAACGACGAACTCTCCAAGCTAAAACGCGAAAACCAGGACTTGAAACTTGAACTTCTCAAAATGAAGATGAAGCTTAAAGAGTTTGAGAAAGAGAGCGAGAAGAAATCATCAACAACCATGAGCAGCAATCCCAGTTCTCCAATCTCAACTGCTTCCATGGATAAGCCTCCATTGCCAAGAAAGACATTCATAAACTCTGTTTCAAGAAAACTCGGAAAGCTAAACCCTTTTAACATCACACCATACAACGCTAGAGGCAGAACCAAACCACCCAAAGATCGGAGACACTCTATTTCTTGAAAAAACAAAAATCATATATAATATAATATATAAAAATGAGTACATGTTTAATTTTTGTTGGGACTTTTAAGTTCTGATTCAAGGATATTTTTTTTTGTTTTCTACTCTTAAACATTTGATTTTTTTTGTGTGTGTCTGTGTGTGTTTATGATGTTTGTTTGTACATAAAGCTGGTAATATCTTTTTTGAATGAAAAGTATTTCAACTTGTTTTCATCTAATAGTACAAATACACCATTTACACGCATATGTATACAATTTGATATCTATTAGATAACCTTTATCTGAGGAGCTTCTGAGGATAGATCATAGATTCAGAGAACTTGGGATTCTAAAGCTGATAATGATCATACAAGATCGTGGGGTCATGTATCAGAAATTACTGATAAGTTTTCATTTCTTCTTTTATTGGGAAATTAGAAAAGAATATATAAATCAGAATTTTGATTTTCTAATAAATCAGAGTTAAATCAGGGGAAGTAGGTGATGCTTGAAGCCTGAAGGGAACATGCCAGCAGATAGTGCATGTTCTTGTCCCATAACTAATTCATCATTGGCCCCTTTTATAACTTCTCCTCTATTATTTATTTATTGTTTACCATTAATAATAATAATCCAATTTTTTCTTTTTTCCTTTTTATCTGTATAATAGAATGTAAAGATCGAACCTTGTGTAGATACTCATACTACTATGATTGATTCTGGGAATGCAAAATTATGTTGAACTCGAAAATAATTAATATTTATCTTCGAAAACAAATTAAAACATGCATATTGATTTTTTTTACAAGAAACCTAAAAAGGACTACAAAAGAAGAAAACTATTGATACGCATTTTTTTGAAAGAAAAAAAAAAAGATCACCTGATAAGAGGCATGATGATGAAGCACTAAAGAAATACTAAATTGGAAAGAAACTCAAATCTATTTCAGAATATAGTTAAATATGAATACTATTTATTATCAAATAACATTCAAGGTCAATGCTTGAAGCCACGGCTGCTTCTGCTTTTGATGTTTCGTCAATCTCTCTTGACTCAATTGTTCTTCAATATTGTTGTGATTATTATTGCTTGACCCTGTTGAAGACGACGAGAAACTCCGGCGACCGGAATTTAAATTCCTGCCCATCACCTCCGGCGAAGAATTCTTCTTCTTCTTGTTCATTCTCATCAAATCACCACTATAACACGACGGTCCAAGCGTTAGCTCGATCTCACTCTCGTCCATAATCTCTATATCATTACCACCGGATTCACCTCGGGCGGGAAAATTCACCGGCCGGTCAATCTCATGGTCAACTCGTCTGATGAAAGTCCCTGGTCCTGGAGTTACATGATTGCCTTTGTTGATCTTCATGTTCTTCATCAATATCTTCTGGACTTGATATAACCTATGAAGTTCATATACCTGAAAATGCATTTAAAAACCAAAACCATACTTTAGTTTTCATATGTATCTTATATGACATAAGATAAAAAAGATCAGAATCTACTAATTAGTAGTATTTACCTGTTGCTTGAAGGTTTCTTCGTGTTTAAGCATAGCCATTTTCATGTACTGCTTTTCGTACGGGTTAAGAAGCTTCTCCATGTTCCAAGAAATTAAGACTTTATTTCATCAAGATCTCAAGAAGATCTCAAGAAGATTTGATATGACGAACTTGGAACTTCGCTTTGTAATAACCTGTGACAAAAAGAAAAAGAAATTGAATTTTGTCTGCTAGTACTCTATTTAGATTCTGCAATTTTTAGCCACTAATGTTATAAATCTGAGCACACATGCACAAAAAATATCTTCATATATCTATACATACAAAATCTCACACATATTTATCGTACTTTCAAAACCAATTTGGTGGTTCATGTTCTTTCCCTTACACGCATGTCAATCTTGTCTTTTCATTAATAAGACTCTTTTACATTCTTATGGACTTTTCTGGTTTTTAGAGTTACAACTGATGTCACGTTTGGTGGGAATAATAATATAGGTGTTCAATCTAAATGAAATCGAACAAATTTATATTTTGGTTTTTAGAAAATTGAATTTGAACCTAACTGAACGTACAAATCCCGAAACTTAGTTATTCTTTATAAACTAAAAATGTATTTGATTATAAATAAAATTTAGATCTATACCAAAAACCCGTATAACCTGCATATTGATAATATAGACGGTTTACTTTGACTTAAATCCAAAAACCTAATCATTCGAAACCGAAACCCACATTCAACACCCCCCCCCCCTAATATTAGCTTATAACTCTTCTGTGTATTTTTAACTTGTTGCATTGCTAGAGGTTTTTCACTGGGGCCTTGGAGGATACAAAATCGGACCGATAGGTTCACAAAAATAATCTAATAAAGGGATCCATTAACCTTTGACTTATATATTAGCTGATGAAGAAATGACAAACAATAAAAAAAAAAATCATATTAAAAAAAAAGATAATTAGGATCGGATTATCATGACTAACCTGGAACAATTAGGTTTAGAAGCTGATTCTATGAGGGAAGAAGATGATGAAGAGAATTAAAAGCGACTTTTTTTAGTAAGAGAATAATGAGCTTGAGATCAAATAGATGATTATGAGCTTTAGAGAAGAGATATGGATCGGTGCGTCACATTCTTCGTAGTTATATATACTGCAGATAAATTATTTTAAAAAAAACCTTTCACTAATATAATGATTATAAAAAAGGGTTTAGGTAATCATTTGTTTAAAAATATTAATTAATCTCCTTCTCTCACATATCACAAAAACCAAAGTGATTGTTGCATACTCATGCCAAAACAAACAACAGTGTCTTTAGCCAATAGCCTTCAAAGGTTCTTCTAAGAAATATGCCATTTGCCATCTCCCCAGACAGCTCCAGCAAAGCTTCACTTACAATCCATATAATATTTCATTTTAATTTATATATACATATATATGTAACTATGTATATATGTATTTCTGCATAATCGTATACATATGGATACATGCTTGACAGATGAGACAATACTAGATTCAAATTCGGATCCATCACATACCCGCATAATAAATTCGTAAAAACAATTATAATATTTAGACTTCACTTCGTATTCTGAAATCATCTCTATATATCATGAATATCGAAATTGTTTTGGAATATTTAGTAAACTTTTTGTAAATTCTTCGCAAACTAAATGAGAATTTAGTGGTTGTTGGAGACTTAATATCTTATAAACCTTATAGTAATTAAAAAGAAAATTATGATTCGATAATAATTATTACTTAAAAATAACGGGGAACATCTTATATCTTGCTGAGCTTGAATCACATGCAACCCAGACTAACTAATCAACAAACCCAGTTGTCGTAATATATTTATAATTAATATAATTATGCATTATACAAAGAAGTATGATTATTAATACTCCCTCTGTTCAGAATTATTTGATGCTTTAGAAGGTTTTTTTTCAGAATTATTTGATGTTCTCACTTTTCAATGCAAAATTTAATGAATTTTTATAGTTTTTGATCTTTTATACTCCCTCTGTTTCATTATAGTTGATTTTCTAAGTTTTTTTTCTTGTTTCATAATATTTGATTTCCTACATCTAATAAATGCATGTCTCTTCTTTAAATTGAATGAATAATATTAATGTATGTTGCTTTATTTCATTAATGCACAGTTAAAAAAAGAAAAAGTAATAATATAAATAATGAAATCAGTTATAAAAGTAACTTAATTAATAAAAATAAATAGTAAATAATTGAGTATTTATAATTTTCTTAATCTATGTGTAAATATTCAGAAAATCAACTATAATGAAATAGAGGGAGTAATGATATTTAAATGGATTATGAATAATATTTTTAGTATAGAAAAAATAAAAATTAAATGAATTCTTAAACTGTGTACAAAAATCTTAACATTCAATCATTTTGAACAGAGAGAGTATTTGATAACATATGCTAAAATAATTAGAACAGACTTTTTGGGGGAATAATTTGGTATATTTAGGGAAGGGGCGAATCAGAATCTGAGAATAGGTGGCATGTCGTGGGTCCTACAAGTATAGGAGAAGAGATCTTAGCCGTTGGATTCGGTTAAGGATGTCCTTTCGAACTGTTCAAAGGACTTAAAACTGACCCAACAGGATCTGATCTCCACCGTATCTACGAAACACACATAAAAGTGACCAAATAATTCTTCTACAAGTAATAATCGCAATTATTATATAAAAATGGTTTCTGATTAAATGTTCCTGGACCGACTTTTTATTTTCTAAAATGAAACTTTATTATCCCGTTGAGTTTGCATGTTATGTCAAATTTAAATTAATACAAGGCATGGCTTTCTAGTTGGCCGTTTTGTGTTATTTTTATCTTCTATATAAAGTCAATTTTTTTTTTATGTATTCCGTAACGGGAACAATGTCAAATCCTTTACAACTCATTAACATATATATAATTAAGCTATATTTTTGGGTCTTAAGGTATAATAATTAAGCTAATTCGAGATGGTTACTAGGATTCTAGAAAAAGGCATCAGGGAATCTCAATATATACTTCATCTTAAATTTTATATTGTTCTGGACGATGAATTTCCCTTTTCATTATACTCTGTTTGCTATGTCTTCGTGATAAAATCAATATATTTGGTTCGCATGATGAATATGGTCCGGATGAATAGTTAGTTTTTGCTTCATAAAATTAGATGAATTTAGTTCTTAAGAACTTGTTATGTGAAGTTTAAACTAGTTTTTTCATGGTAATTTCAAGTGGGTTTCCTACTGAAGATGAACCAAAATTACGTATCAGCAGTACAATTGAAAAGAGGTATTTAGGTTCATAATAGAATAATGTAAAAGATATCAGATAAAATACCTAGCCACTAACCCTCTCCGTCTTTTCATTTTGACAGCCTAACCACTAACTCATATAATAATCCTATCGCTACCTACATATGTAACGATCTATTATGTTAATACATAACATGTGACAAGTAGCTACTAATTTTATTTCTGTTACCAAAAAAAAAACGTGCTTAGAAATGTGGGTTTAAATCATGCAATTGGAGAGAGAGGCACGCGTTGCCGGAGAGAGGAGAGGCAATGGCATGGAGCCGTGCGTCCGATCGACGCCCGCGTTTGTGGAGTGCTCTCTCACTCCTTCCTCGGAAATTGTTGTTCACAATTATTTAAAGGGCAATTGTTGTTTTATCACTAGAAAAATATGTGGATCGGACGCAACACAATTAGATATACATAATAAAGTCTAAAATAACGATCGAGAGTTGTGAAGAAGATGAAGAAGTGTCTTTCTTCGTAGGTTCTCGATGAAAACGAGACACTGACTCCTACAGTCATGTCTTGTCCCTCCTATGCTACGATCATGCGCCTTCGACGAATACCTTTAATTTGTTTATTAACTTCGGTTTTCTAAAATAGGTCCCTTTAAACTTCCCATTTTATATCATTAAAACAGCGCGACTAATAAGACTCTATGATGTTTTTTTTTAATAAAGGATCTATAATTGTTGTGGTTTACCGTTATTATACACAAGTAAATGTGTATGTTTTTCACTAATGCGTGTCTTTGTGTGCTTTGAGATTATTATTTTTCAAACAATAAGTAACAGTATAAACATCGAAATGCATGCATTTAGTTATGTAAGTATATTGTAAGTTTGTAACGTTTGTTAACATTTAATTTGAAATTAACAAGTTTTCGTTTAAATACATCACTAAATTTGATTTAGAAATCTTAATGGTTAAAACTGTACTAAAATTGAAAAATAAAATTGACGTGCAATGAAAGAAAGTTAAAGTTGCTCTTCGCATTTTAACATTATTAATTTTTATAGGTTATATTTCGAACAGTAGTTGTTTTGTTATGATGCTGTTAAAGAAAAAAAAAAGGATTTCTTTAATGAGGAGATGAAATTTCGTTTTGAGACGTGTTGATAAAATCAAGGATCACGGCCTTCTGAAATTCTGAACCTCGGGTTTCCCATTCATAATCACGAGCTTAATTATTAGAGTTTGAAAGTAAAAAAGATGATTAAACAAGTGATTTATAGTTCGTGTGTGACTAAGGGCAATTATGATGACCAATGGCGATGGGTAACAGTTTCAACTTTGATGTTTATAAAAAAACAGTACTCATTTTTTCAATTTATTTTACAAACCAAGAAGCTCGTGGTCGACTAGTTTCAGGATCGATTCCTTTCGATGAGAGAAATATTTACAAATATATTCACGCATTTTCGGTTAGATCACTGGGATTTGTAGCTATAACAGAAAAAGCATAAGTTCGAATATTTAATGAGTTTCTATCCCACTATAAAATATTTTGGCCGTCTTACTTAATTTGGGATGAGTTGGGTTCGTCAATATATATCACGTAGTTAACAAAATAAATAAATTATAACAATATACACTGATTAAAGTATATTATATCCACAATCTAACTATCAAAATAATCTTACAATTTCACTATAATTTTGATGAAATATATAGGTTTTTCAAAACTATACTACACTATTGTGATCACATTTACCTTTATGCCACATGTAAATTTTACAAACTCTTGCCGGTAAACGTATAACTTAGTTTATTTGATCCGTGGCCATGAATTTTACTTTGTAAGTTTGTAAGTGCAGGCTGCACAATTACATTAAAAAAAAACAAAAAATGGTCATAAATGAGAGTCTTTTTTATCCAAATATAAGTACAAATGATTTTTGGTCACCGACTCCTATAAGTTATAAAAAATTGTTACGATTTTTGCTATGCACGAAGGTCACGATTGAGTATCTTATCTTTTTTTCTTTCTTTTTTAGACATAAAAAAGAAAACATCCATTATAAATTTCAAAGTGCCAAATGTCATCTTTCTTGTTGCTGTTAAAGGAGCCTTTTAGATTCCCTGGGATGGACCCACCTAAAGAGTATTCAATATTCATATTTTTCCGTTGAAATTGTCTGATGTACCCTTTTGAAAAAGTATATTTAGTTCTAATGGGTCTTAATTCATAAACAAATAAAAAGCCCACTGAAGACAAAATACCGAAATGGGCCCAAAGCAGAAAAAAACCGGGAGAAGTAAATATACGTATACATTCTACAAAGTCAACGATTAAATGTCATATTCTTTTACTAATTCAAATCCCAAATTACTGGAGAAGCAACTCGTCGGCCATCACCAAGATCGTGGCTCCAAGTTATATAAATATTCTTCGGCCACAAATTGAAAGTTTCTTCAAAACACGTACAGATTATAAAAATAGAAATATATGATAAAAGTCCATTTGACGATTTCTATAAATATTATTCCATAGTTTCCTCATTTCTCATTAACCAAGGACCACCTCTCGGCATAAACACAGCAACTTGTAATTCCACACGAAATGGCGCGGTTTGGTATGGTTCTCGCCGTGGCTCTTTGCCTCACCATCTCCGTGATTCCGGACACAACCACTGCTCAGCTCAAAACCGATTTCTACAAAAGCTCATGTCCAAATGTTGAACGTACAGTGAGGACAGTTGTCCAACAAAAAGTCAAACAGACATTCGTCACCATCCCAGCTACTCTCCGTCTCTTCTTCCACGATTGCTTCGTCAACGTAACGCTCAAAACTTTTGGTGGTTTTTTTCTATATTTGAAACCTATAGCTAGTATGATTAGTTAAAAAGTTTTACTTGTTTCAATATATAGGGATGTGATGCGTCAGTCCTGATTCAATCAACGCCTGACAACAAAGCCGAGAAGGATCATCCAGACAACGTGTCTTTGGCCGGAGATGGATTCGATGTTGTGATCAAAGCCAAGAAAGCCCTTGACGCAATCCCAAGTTGCAGAAACAAAGTTTCTTGTGCTGATATCCTTGCCTTGGCCACCCGAGATGTTGTTGTCGCGGTGAGTTATATTATAAAAACAATTATCGGTTCAATCTTAAAAAAAAAAAAAAAAAAAATATAGGTCAAAAGTACGAAACTTTTTGGTTATAACTATTAAATGTAGCTTTTTTGGATGTGTTTAGGCTGGAGGAAAGTCGTACCCAGTGGAACTCGGTAGGCGAGACGGTTTGGTGTCGACGGCTGCAAGCGTCCACGGAAACTTGCCAGGACCAAATGACAACGTTGACAAACTCAACAAGCTCTTTGCCAAAAACAAACTTACTCAAGAGGATATGGTCGCCCTTTCAGGTACCAAATTATATAACTCTCATGCGTTTCTCTATCTTAATATGAGACTTCCTAACAAATGAAAATGAAAGGTGATCCATTTAATGATCTTAACCGTTAAAAATATTCTCCAAACGATGCAGCGGCTCACACCGTCGGATTCGCTCACTGTAGCAAAGTATTCAACAGAATCTACAACTTCAACCGCACACACTCCGTTGATCCAACTCTAAACAAAGCCTACGCTAAGGATCTTCAAGCGGCTTGTCCCAAGAACGTTGATCCAAGAATCGCTATTAACATTGACCCAGTCTCTCCAAGAAAGTTCGACAACATTTACTTCAAGAATCTGCAAAACGGCAAAGGACTCTTCACTTCCGATCAAGTTCTCTACACCGATCGTCGCTCTAGGCCCACCGTTGACGCTTGGGCCAAGAACTCCGCTGCTTTCGACGCCGCCTTTGGAAGAGCTATGACCAAACTCGGCCGTGTTGGCGTTAAGACTGGACGCAACGGTAACATCCGTCGCGACTGTGGAGCGTTTAACTAGTAAGAGGAAAAAATCAGTGCCAACAAAACAAAAAAAAAGGAATTTTCTTTTCTGAGTTTTCTGAGTCTGTTTTCTAGAATTGATTCTTGACAAAATATGTATGATTTTGTTTTTTTTTTTTTTTTGGTATCTTCCGTCTGTTCCTGCTTCTTGTATCCCTGAAAAACATTAACAATTTTATATCGTGTTTTTATGCTTTTGGCTGTAACAATTACTACCTTATTTCTATTAAATTTGTTTATCAAATCAGACCTAAGCTTACAAAATCAGTGCACCAAGACATATATACACATAAAACCTAAAGATGATGTTCAACACAAACTCTGCAATTGAAAAATCAGATCTATCTAGTTATAGGGTTAGCTTGTCTTGTCTGAAAATCTGCAGGAAAATCAGGTGTGTCTAACCGGATCTTCTCAAGCTTTGCAGACCAATCTTCCCCGAGTATCGACGGGTTTAACTCCATAGCTACTTGAAAATCTACCATAGATGCTGAAGAACATGCTTCTCCTCGGCTACTAGACCTTGAAGCCGCAAATTCTAGACACGGTTTGATTAATCGTTTCAAGAAGACATTGAGTCCCGCGTTCAACGAGTTAGCAAACCCAACGGAAACCTCTAGTCCTTCCTCCATTATTCCCAAATCGTCTTCGAGTTTCTTCTTTAAGGAAATCGAGTCAGGAAGCTCACCAGAGGAGTAACATGTCCCTATATGATGATGATGTCTTTTCTTGATCACATCTCTAAGATTAACACCAAATGGAGCTTCAACGGGTTGACTTCTCGAACATCGACTCGATTGGTCAACTTCTTCACCATCTTCCAATGACCATTGTCGTTTACAACTAGAAGACACAACCTCAGTGATTTGACTCTTTCCTTTGCTTCCATTACAATCCTTGAACCTCCGTTGAGTCCTTCCTTTACGAGGCGATTTAGGAAGGTCTTTGCATAAAGATTTGAAACTAGGATTTGTCTGAAAAACACCGTTCAGTTGCTTCTTCTTCTTCTTCTCTACGTCTTCATTCTTTATCAATGGAGATGCCTTTGAGAGACATACATTCCTAACTATCCCTCTTAGCAAAGCGTTGTGTAGACTGATATTCTCCTTCTTCACCGTCGCAATGATTAGTTTATCGAAATCAGATTTGCTGATTTTCAAGCTCAGGAATCTTGATAATAGGTTAAGATAGCTCTCAGTTTTGGCCCGACCTATCTTCTTCTCTATCTGAGATTTTAACTCCAAAATGTCTGTTCTAACGATATGATGCTGACCCGTTGGCATTTGGGTCCCTCGAATGTCCCTTTTTAAAAAAATGGAAAAAATTAGAAAATTCACACAAGAACCTAATTGTAAAATTCGAATCTGGATCCGTATAAGTCAAATCAAGAGATAAAGAGGTCAACTCCAGTTGCCATACACACGAAAAACCAAAATTGAGATCCGAATTACGAAACTCAGATTGGGAATTGATGAATTAAGTAACTTTTTCAAGTTCATTGACATGATTGGTACTTAAAAAACCATGTAATCTCCCAGAACGAAAACACAAATGAAGACTGAACAGTAGCCTAATAAACTAAAAATCCAGACTTTTTACCAGTTTCGAGTCCCGAGATAAACAGAAATTAAACTTCATAATTTCTCAATCACAATAGAGAAACATGAATTCCTTTCTACAGATTACCAGATTCGGAAAAAGCTTCGGAGAGCCAAAAAGAAAAATTTGAATTGCCGAATTTAACTTACCTTGAGAACAAGAGAGCAGAAAACAAAGAATCGAATCGAGCTTGAATTGAACAGTAATGATTCGATTTTAATCGCGACTTCGACTGGGGAAAAAAAAAAACAGGAAGAGGAATTTTGGGAAAATTTAGACGGATAGATCGCATATTCTAATTTCTTTTGGTTTTTTTAGAAGCTTCTGCTTTGAGAGAGTCAACGTTTAGTCAACGTGGCACGTGCAAAAATCTACACAGCTGGAGATATAGCTAACGGACCAATCATGTTACCTGATTTGCAAAACAAAGTTTGAAAGTCAGCACATCTAGACACAACTGGTCGGGTCGGGTTGGGTTAACACTTTTTTTATCGCATCACCTACTAATTAAGTACTACTACGCACTACTAATCCTTGATTAATGATAAGATAAACATCATTATCCAATTTAAGCTTCTATATACGTAACATCATCAACTCCATTAATTGGTACCCAAACCGAGGCAAACACAACACTATGTCCCTTCCACGTCAGCACAAAACGGTCCACGTCATCATCATCATCAACATCTCTCTTCATTCCCCACCCGGCGGCGTGTTCCTCTAGCATCGTTTTGACCTCCCTCGCCGCCGTCTCGCTGAAGCCAACTCCGGTGAACTGCGCTTTTCGCATCCGCTCGAACCACCGACTCTTGGGCTCCAATCTCTCAACTCTTTCCGCACCTTCCTTGGCCACCACGTTATCTATCTTCCAGCCTATATCCGCCTCGTACCACCGCCTTTGCTCGCTGCCACGTGTCAAAAACGTGTCGGCGGTGTCGTAAGGAATCCACATGTAGTTGAAGAGAGACCTTAACCTGAACATATGATCACACATTTTAGTATTTCACCTTTTTAATAATTACTCATATATATGTATTATCAATATCACTTTCATCGTCAATAAGTGTCAAAGTAAGCATCTCCAATAATAAGTACCTTTTCGCCAAGATTTCACTAAGTTTTTTATAATCCGATCAAAAAGGTCAAAATTTCTTCTTTAGAGTTTTTTTTTTTTTTTAGAAAACAGTAGAAGTTATAAGCATTAATTGGTGAGTAACCAAATTAAACACAGACCTGGAAATAAAGTTTCTGGAGGTGAAATCTGCGTCTTCTTCGATTAAAGTTACTATCGTAGGGTTTAGATCTTTGAGCTCTTTCAAGAAAACTGATCTGGGAGGACTCGAAGAAGTAAGGGTTTCGTCGGGAATGTAATGGAGCATCATGTGGCAGTTAACGACGAGAGCTTCGTTGAAGACGAAAGGGTCTAATCGTAGCTGTTCGATAAGAGAAGAGAGGCCATCGGAATAAGAAGAAGAGATGATTCTGAACTCCATTGCTATGTTACGTGTGGCTGCGAAGTTTACTAGCTTTGACCCGAGTTCTTCGTAGGAGATTCCGAGCAGTGGAGGCGGATGAGATTCGGCGACGACGACGGTGAGTTTGAGAAGCGGAGGAGGTCGTAGTTCTTTGAATGGTTTGGTTGCGATGGAGTCGATAAGAGTAGGGATTTGCATGCAATGAGTCAAACTTAAGTCAACGACGTGAACGGAGGAATAACCTTGGACGGCGTCGAGGATCGCTGCGTTCGCGGCGATGAATCCGAAACGGTGCCACGGCGTGAGGTCGACGAACGCGGCGAGCTCGATGACGGAGAAGCGGTGAAGCGTTTTCTGGGATAGTGGGGAAGCGGCGGACAGGAAAGCGAAAGCGGGGGACTTGGTGGAGGCGCGTGAGATCAACGCGCGGAGTAAGGAGGAAGCGAGTCTTTGAGTGGAGTTGCCGTCAGGGGAAGCGAGGTTGTTGAGGACCCAAATGATCTGTTGAGCCAACGTGGCGTCGTTTGATTCGATGGCGTTTGCGCAGTGGAGGAGAAGCTGCTCCATGCAGTTTGCATCGCCGCAAAGAGATTTGGAAGATGAGAAACCGGACCAAACGGGTCGGGTCGGGTTTAGAATCATGGTTTTGTTCATTAATTACTAGATGTTTTAATTAGGGAAGGCGAACAGAAAGAACATTATGAGAATTTTAAGAAGATGAAGGCAAACGAACGATAGATGGGAATAACATTAAATGCAAATGTGTATGTATTGAGGATAGAACAAAAAAAAAAAAGAAGAGAAGGATGAGAGAGTGTTGAAGGCAAGAAGGAAGAAAGAGACGAGACATGTTGAGTAGTACCTTATCAGTATGAAACGCACCGTTTTGAACCTGAATCGAGACAAAACGTAGGTGTACAGCCTTTTTTCTGGTCATGTGCTTTCGTTTTCGTTTCTCTGGGTCTTAATTGATATAGGCGTTAATATGTCTCTAAAATAGCTAAACTTATGTATAGCATTTATGGTGGCAATCTCTATGTATATGGACAAATCATCTTTCATTTCGTAAAAGTTTTTACCATTTTATGACGTCGTCTTGCCCTCCAAATTCTCGTACGCTCCATATATAGTTATACTTAATAGATAACTATTTCCTTGTATAAAGTATTATTCTTTCAACAAAAACAATGTTCCCGACTCCCGACTTAGCTACATTTTAAAACGTCCATTTTTGTAAGAACCAAAAATATAAGTTTTTGTCTATAATCTCAGATTATTATAGCAGATTATTATTTATTTCCTAACGACTGAAATTCGAATTCATAACTTTGATACCATGTGGAACTCGAAAGAGATATTGTCATTTTTTGTATGTTAGTGTTACAAATAATAGTCATATGATAACTAAGCAAACCAGTATCTCTATATTATATACATGTGTGTCGGAATATACCGTATATGCATTAATGCATGATGGAAATATATAACATCGTATATGCATGATGGATATTAAAACACCGTATGTATATTAACATGTATAAGGAAAATCCGAGCAAAGTATGTAATTATGTGGGCAAATAAATCCAAGATATACATTACAAACACACACGCACACGCTCCTCAGAGAGTTTTGGAATCTCTGTGGATGATTCCTTAGGCCTTGAGATAACAGGGACTAGAGGACATGATAGGGTTTGGTTTTATTTCATTACCCGATGTTGAATTAGACACCACGACAAATACTACATTGTCAACCATAAGAGTTAATTTGTGTCAATTTTAGTCAGCTCAACTGGCTAGTTACTTTGATCAAACATGATTTTACTGCTAATTACTCAAACCCTTATTTTATTCACGTGTTTAGTTAGCAATTAAGTGGCCACGCATAGTTTTAATAACTTTATATCGCATGTACTAGTATACAGTCTACGTGGCTGACTTGATAGTGTTTTGTTAAGAATCGATTCCAAAGATACTAATAAACAAACAAAATTGGACTATTTTAACAATAAAACACGAGAGATTTTACAATTAACAAAAGAAATTATCATAATAATATTTTCTTAAAACTGAATTACACACAGCAGAAATTGATAGTATTGTTCTCCTGGATTGGAGTATCACTTTGACCCTAAATGTTGCAATTAAAAATTTATAGAACAGTTGGTACGCATCAAAGTGCTTAGACCATGTTCAATGGTAGGAGTGCTTAAGTATTATTTAATTATTAGTTTGAAGTTAAAAATTTTTGTTAAACAATTCTGATTTTGTAAGCTCCAATGGAGGAGTCCAAAGAACCAGCGCTTACAGTAAAAACAACGTTAACTTTTACAGGGTTTACCAGCTCTTGTTCAATTGATTCCACAAAGATTCCATTCTCTTTCTCTTCAACATCCAAAACTTCTGCTAAATTCTGGTCAGGGATCTCTCGATCTCAGCTCTCAATTTGTGGTACACAGGGAACACAAACGACACCGTTTCACGGTGATTATCCTCATCACGCCTAAACATCTGAACAGAATTTGGGAAAACAGAGCCTTAGAAAGCAATCGCGAGAAGCAAGATTCCCAGAAAACCTAGAATCTAAACGATCGAGACGGAGACGGAGAAATCGAAGGTCGGGTTTTTTCGATAGAGAAGAAATGAATAAAATTTTATCCAACACAGAATTTTTTTTTTTTTTGCATTCACACTTGAAGCCTATCAATTTTGACACGTGTCGGGTAAGCATCCATGCTTAAGACGCTTGTTTGAGTTTCGATGCTTAGAGTAATTGAATATTTAGATTTATTTTTTTAAAAACATCACTTAAGCACTCCTTTTAAGCTTTCGCATTGCTCTTAGGATCGTGTATGATCGCATCTATCGGCGCATTCGTGGGAAAAAGAACCAGGCATATCAATTGGCCCAAATTACATTGGGCTTATCAAAGCAGTTAATGATATAAACGGCTAAAGTGCATTGGGCTTCACTGACAACCAAAAGAAAAAAAAAAATTGATTTAAATGTGCCCAAGTTCCCCACTTTTAAAACAAATGGACAAAAAGAATTGTGGAAGTTCCCCCCACCCAAAACATATCTAAACACTTGATTCCACACGGAAATTTTTTTTATTTTCGTTACAATATCAAATAGAGGGTGTATTAGTCGATTTTTTTATGTTACTGTTTCCTCACTTACGTGTATATGTAGTTGATTAAGTTTCATACGTAATATATAGGGTGTGAGAAAAGATTAGTAAAAGCTGTCAAAATATCTTTGTAGTAGGGTGAAGAAGAGGCCAAGATTGGATATAAGTTCCGGCGATGCGGGAGACATTCACGTGACTTTCACGTGTTCGAACACCGTTCGGTCATTGTCTCCATCGCTTCTAAATCTCCGCTGGTCCCAAGTCGTCAGATTTTGTACGCCTCCTCTCGCGTAACTTACCAAATTACCCCCGACAGAACAGAACATTCTCGATCATCTTGCATTATCTCTTAGTATTGACGTGCTTTGACTTATTGATACGCAAGTGTATACTATTGCTTTAACAAACCTGGATATTATGTCCGGACTCTGTAATTATGTTTATTTATTCTACATTAATACTATAGATCATGACCTGTGTTCCACAAAATACGAATTGGTGTTTCGAATTTTTATATTTTTTAAAAACTACCCAATGCTACATCATTTTATCGCTTTATTTTTGCTAATTAATTCCGTTATTTGTTTTACATTTGTTTATGTCACCGATATGAACAATAATTGGTAAGTTGGTATATTACGACAAAAGCTCATCAATTTTATTTTTTAAACACTGAACCCACATGATGTCACTGGAATTATAAACCTTAAAACGTATATATTAATTGCATTAAATTAGATCCGACATGTGTGGAAGGGATCAATAGACAATCGTATATATTAGTATCAGTTTAATTTCTCTTGGTTAAAAATATCTCTAGTGGATAACGTAATAATATGACAAAATACAAAGTGCGTGGATTAGGAGGAGATGGAAAGAGTTTAGGGCACGAGTGCGACCGATAAAATTGTTGAAGGGGCATATGTCTCTTGGACTCTCCCACGACCAAGGATCGTTTTATATACTAAATTTTGCCTGTTCGATAGTGGCAGAAACAACACCAGTGACATGGCTTTTGTCTTTAAAATCATCTTACGTCATGTAAAATCTTTCAACGACTATATTCCTATAACATTATATGAAAACGCCAAAAAAGTTAAAACCAAATCATTCATCTCGCCCTTATGTCTAAGTACTGAGTTTTAATTGATATTTTGATATTTTTTTTAGAGTAATTCAAATTTATTTATTTTCAGAATCGGGCAAAATAAAATATAATGCTCAATGTGATAGGATGTTTACAATTTTGATAAAACTATTTCCCCATATGTCAATATTGTGATGGATTGGATAAAGCTAAATATTATTAAGTCAGCAAGTGGGCTCGGTGCAGAAAAAAGACTTAATAGGCCCTACCAGAGTCCAATTACAGCTACGGCTTTTTACATCCAGCACGAGTCGTTCTAATCCTTTTATCGATTTGACTTGAATTTGTATCTTGAGACAAGTCGTTGATGATATCATCTTTGGATATGGGTCTGGTAAACATTAAAAAAAGTGAAAAATCCTTAGTCTTTTTTCATTAGTGTATTAACAAAAAAAAATCTTCATTATCTTTATCGGATTTCATATTTTTTTTGGTATTAAACTTGAAACCAATGTATGGTCCTAAGCTGGTTAAATGGTTCATTATATTAATTAATAGTTTAAGACATGAAAAACAAAAGATACTGTAGTACTTAGGTGTAACTAATTATTATATCCTCAGAATGTCATTATATTTCAAATATGTTTTTTTTTACGGTAGTAAGAGATATTGTAATTAGGTGGACCTAATTATTGTGAGTGGAACGGACGGAGCAGATTGAAGGCTGGAGGATGAGATGACGTTCCCAATATCGGTGGAGATAAATCCTCAGATGAGGGAATTGATTAGACGAGATAGGGACATCTTATTAACGACATCGATTTCTTCTATCATGCAATATGTCAAATATAATAAAGGGAATATACATAACAATTTTAATAAATGAATCTGGACGAACAAAGCATTAAAAGCATATCGATCCTTCTAATCTCTGGCCTTGCTGAAAAATATATTGTTTTTACTCTTGTTTGATGACCTTTTTAATTTTGAAAATATATAAATTCCGGTTATTATTAAAAATTGTCGATACTTGGAGGCAAGAAGAAATATGGTTGGCTATCTTGCTCTCGCTTTTCTGCTTTCGTTGTAATTTGGTTCTTTTGTAAATTCAAAAAAACTGGTATAAAATATTAACATTTTACAAAAAAAAAAAAAAAAAAGAAATATGGTTGGGAGAAATAGGTAACTTACAAAATTAAAAATTAAAAATTAAAAGTATTAAAGAAGTCATAAAGGTCGAAGGAAAGATGAGGTGGACTACTGCCCTTTGCTTGCCATTGGCACAGGAATAAATGTGGGTCTCATGTCATAATATCCCTTTTATGATTATCATAAAACGCCAAGTAGACTATATCTGTCTGTATATCATTAGAGCCGAGAATTACTTCTGTCTTTTCCAATTGCGCTTCTATATAAATTCGCCAAAACCTCACTGACGCTAATTAAACTTAGGTAATTGTGATTTAATTTTCTTTTTCCCATTATGGAATAAAACTGCAAAACAAAAAGATCAAGTGAAAAAAGAACGAGTTGGTTTCAAGAATTCTTTGCTAGTCAGCAAGCTATTCCCTTTATGTAATAATTAATATTACCTGGCAACAACCAAGCAAATTCTATTATTACTGTATCTATAGACTACAAATGAAACGATTTATGTTATAAGTATTATTATCTCATTTGTGATCACAGATAGTGAAAGAACTAGTGATCAAATAGCCCTCGTCCAATTATATTGGACAGTCTATCCAAGATCACCGGTTTGATTAATTATATAAAATAGCCTTTGGCCAAAGTCGAATATTAATAAATATGAAGATGTGAAGAAAAAGGAGTGTGTGTTTTAGAGTAGTCCATGGGCGAAAAATGGCTCTTTGTGCCGTCCAAAAGCCGCCTCTAAAACAAAGGGCTCTCTGTCATGTGTGCCTCCTCTCAAGCCATTTGGTCCAACCACATGCTTAGATATCGTATATCCACTTTGTTAATTGTATACACATTTAAATATAATATACATGTACGGCGAAACCTTTTTTCGATATTTTATTTCCACCATGTTAGGAGCCCACTATACTGGTTGAGAAATTGTTTTTTGTTTGGAAATTTTGCTTGCTAAAAAACAGGTGTATACTGGATATACATGTAGCATCCTGGCATCTTTGCGTGTGAAAAATTCGTTTGCATTCAAATAATATATGCTAAAATAATGTTCTTAGACGTTGGAATATCTAACAAAATATTATACGTGAAGAATCGATTGGTGTTGGTAATGATTTCGAGTTTATTCTATGTATATAACTCGATACTAGTGATTAAAATTATCTTCGTTATAGGAATCGGGACGCATTGTTACTGTGTCATTGAGGTAAATATAAATCAAGGTAAATTAATTCGGTCGGAAATCTAAAAGTTCACTCAATAAAGTTTTACATTGGTTGGTTAATGACTCTAAAACGAGAGAACAAAATCAACTAGTATTACAATTGACTCGCCGGTCTGCCAAATATTTATCCACGGAAACGGGGAGAAAAATGTGAAAAATAACATTTTTAACCCTAACTAAAACTGGAGAAGAAAAAAAACGACACCGTTTGTTTAAACAAAAAGGTTAAGCAGCTTGCTTGTTTCTCCTCCCTTCCCGTACAGATCATCAGTTGCCGTTGCAGTGTTATCCCAAAACGACGTCGTTGTAGTCGTCGTCACTGATTCCTCCGAATTCATCGACGGTGATTCCACTCGCCGCCGTGTTGAAGAAGGCGTTGTCTTAATGGGGAAATTAGGGATCAGTGATAGATCGAGCTCCGAAGATAATTGTTGCTCCGATGCTAATCGTTTACGTTTCGTCGGAGAAGAATCCATGGTAGATCTGGACCTAGAGCTTGAGAATCGGGAATGATGGTAGACGTTGCGATCGCTGGAATTATTCTGCTGGAGATTCAACATTTCCGTACAGATTTCAGATGCTTCTTCAGATGTAGCCGATGGAAACCCGGCGAATCCGCCACCGTGAGTGAGGAGCTCCGGGATCGGTCTCAAAGAACCGCCGCGAAGCACCGTCTCAACCGCCGCTTGGCAGATATTCCAGTTTCCAGTCCACAACATTCCGATTGCTCCGTTTACCGGGTTCACTGTTCTTCCACAAGCTTCGTATAGCAAAGACTGAAACAGAGCTGCGCAAAACTCGAAAAACATCAGAAAACGACGACCAAATAAATAAAAAAAAAACTTGAAAACGGTAGAGATCTGGTTTGGTTTGGTTTAGATTAATTACCGGGACGTTGAGATTCCGGTACGGCTGAGATAAAGGACATGAGGCCGGCGCGACCGAAGAATTTAGCGACGAAGACGGTGGCGTGTCCTTGAGCATCGGCGGTTTCTATCCATTGAATACATGGCCGGAGTATACAATTCTCGCTGCAACCTTTCCGGAGCACTCGGCAACCATTGCAACTCATTTTTTTCCGATTAGATATATAAATAATCTTCTCTTGCGTATTTTTGTGTTTGTTGAGCTTTTAATTTCGCTGTTCTTTCCTCGTTTGTTGCTGAAGTCTGGGAGAAACTCAGAAGATGAAGAAAGAAGAAGATTTGCTTTGGGAGCAAGAAAGTGATCTTTGCACAGAAAGAGAGAGAGAGAGAGAGTAAATGTTCTGAAGATAGAGGGGGAGACCAACATATATTTATATACACACACATTAATACATACAAATTTAAATATCCCAAATTGGGATTTAACAAAAGCAAATATTTAAGAGACGGAAAAACTTAGGAATTCAAAGGTCTTGGTGTGTGAGGCTCGCCGCCGTAGAAGTTTCTTACACTAGTGTATTTTTTTTATTAGCAAAATGAAAATTAATTACTGCGATTTATTTTTCAAAAAGAAAATAATGATTTGGACGCATTTTGTTGAAACGTTTTATTATGAAGTGACCTTAGAGAGGGAGGAGTCAAGATTCCAAGATGATGGGTGTGAGCGGCTCCGTGTCTCCGCGAAAAGGTTTGTGTCTTCTTCTCTCAGCCGTTCATTCTTTATATTAGACTATTAGTATTAAATTTTATTAGTTGTGATAATTAGGATAACCCCTTTTCTTTAAGATGATGCGTCAGGAATTATCCGCAGCCTGTAATTGGTGACAACAACTGTGAAGTGAAATTGGAACCTCTTATTATTTGTCCAATAATATAAATAAAAAAATACATTTCTCATTGTAATTTGTTTGCTATATATATCCTGTGTTGATAAATATAGACTATTTTTGCAAAATAGCATCAATAATTGCTTCCATATCTGGTTAGTAAGTGGGTGAAATAATATCTAATAATGATTTTAGACTTTTTAGCAATCTTATCTTTTTTTCAAGGAATGCTAATCATAACAATCATTTTTTTTTTGTATGAGATAATATCACATGCAATGCAATAGAGGTAGGGAGTTAATTGTATGCGTCTCCCCCTCCCCCCTAATCTCCACTAATCATCTCACTTGATGATTAGTGTAAATATTTCATTTTTTTTACCGTTTTGACAATCATATACTATATAATAATGGGATATAAAAGAAGAACGTAATATTACAAGATCTAAAAAGGACAAAGATAAATAAATTTATAGAAATTTAGGGGACTCACCGCTAAGTCGACCCCTGAAAGAAAGAAAGAAGCGAATGACCCTAAAGCATCCTTAAGAGACCTACCTACATAATTAAATATTAATTTTGCAATACCAAGTCTTCTTCTATGGTCACTCTCCACACAGCTAAAGTGAGGCTCCTGTTTGCATGCAGTGATGTCATGGGTGACGTTATCAACGTTTTCTTTTCTCACATATATTGTACTCGATAATAATTGGGATAAAACTAATGCGATAAAACGCCGCCGTGTTGCGTTCGAGGCTTACGCGGTATCTTCTATCAATAGCCAAACTGCGATTACTGTTTTCTTATTAGGTCCATTAATATTGGGCTAATAAAATTAATGTATCGGCCCATTAAATTCTGCACTCATCCAATAATTATGAGTCTTGTGATTTGTAGGGTTTCGCGAACCGATCCGTTCTAATGAAATCTACTTCTTTTCTTTTGTATTTAATGAAAACGGGTGACGACGATGTTGGTCTCGAATTTGGCTAACGCAGACAACAGGATTCTCCGGATAAATGAGCTAATTACCATGGGCCATGGCCCGTGATTTCAGACCAACCTTTTATCGAAATTTGATATCAATTTTTATATTTTTTCCTTAGACAGAGTATATCTGAGATTGAAGTCCCAAAAAAAAAAAAAAAAAAAAAAGAAGGTATATCCAAGGTATCAAACAGAAACTAAAAGATAAGGAAAATTTTTTGGCTTTCAAAATTTAAAATAGCTCGTAGCTGAAACAGTATACCTGTTAGATGTTAGATCCATGGTATATTTGATTTCACTTTGTATAAAAATCTTTTTTGGGTCAAAATCTTGTAGACCATAATTTCAGAATAATGGAAAAAAAAAACAAGTGCAGTACAGATAAAACATATAGATCATACGTTTACCTCCTGAATTTTTCACATGCCCGTTTTTTCTTAGTTAGATAATAAACTTATAATCTATACGCAGATACATGCATTCATGTGGATGGTAATCTACATATATTAATTATATTGATGATATACGTGTTTCGGACCGGGTTATTTAATTTCTGTGTTATATAAATTATGCTGCTTGACCCTTATAACAAGGAAGAAATCAAGTAAATAAATAACATTTTTCTTGAGAAGTAAGTGAGGTCACAAAGTCCAATACATCAGCAGACATTTTATGTCTTTTAGCAATTGCATTACCTCCGTAGCGTGATGTACACATTTTGGCATTTTAACTTTTTTATATATTACAATAAAAGGAAATCCCCTAGAGGTTTACAACTAATCATGTCCTTTTGATTATGATTATTTCCAATATGTCATTTCTTAAAGAGTTTTTCAACTCTTTTATGTGGACAACAAAGAAGATTTTAATAAAATTCGTGAATATTCCAATGTAATGTTCGAGCCAGTCGCTCGACAGTCCACACTCATAAATTTTTTTATAATATTGATACTCGATAGTTTTAAGTAATATTAAATTTAAACAATATAACAAAATGATATCCATCAATTATTTGTCTCTATATTCGATCATCTTCACTAAAATATTTTTTTCAAAACTCTAACTGTATTTCGAATCCCTCATCAACTTTATCAGAAAACGTCATTATTGAGAAAATAAAGGACAATGTAAAGAGATAATTCGATGAATAAGTTAGATATAGTATCAGATAATTTTTAAATATTTTAACTGGAAAATATACTTTTAAATATTAACGAATTAATGGAAGTGAGGAAAGGAAACTGCGAAGAGATAGAGTAGAAACTGGAGATACGAATCCAATCCAAAGAATGTTAAAAAAAAAAAGTGGAAGAATATTGTGGAAAAAGTAAGCCGTCTGATCACGTTCGATATATTATGATTAGCGCAGAAAGATGATATTCCACTGTAAGGTAAAAGATTGCGAAGCACCTTTGCATTTCTGTAAACCCATTTTAAAAAAAAAAAAAAAAAAAAACCCTCTGCATTTCTCTAAATTATGGATGTTAAAGAAAAATATATAAAAGCCAGAAAGGTAATCGCTTTTATTCTAATTGGGCCCACGTATAGAAAAATCGACGGCCTATGTTTCAGGAGAGAATTTCAGGACCACCAGTCTCCTTGCGCCACATTGCAGATTCTCCCTTCGCTTTGTTCATCGACTCCGAACCCATCTCTTTTTCATTCTTATTAGTTTATGTTTTTAATCATTTTATTTTTATTATTTATCAACAAGATCTACTACGATTTAGTTAAAAGGTTCTATTTCTAAAGTAATCAAGGTTTGTTTTACCTCTTTTGATTGAAACTCTACTCTTTTCGGCTATTTTCATTGTAAGAATATCATATCTTGTACTCTTGACAAAAAAATTACTATAATAGAATTGTCATTGCTATTAACTTATGTGTGATCAGCATAACTAAGGTAGTAGAAACTGGTTGTGAATGTATGTATATATACACAGTTATTTATACACAACTGGTTGTGAGTCTATGTATATCAGTATATATACACAGTTACTAATAACTATAGTGTGCTTCACACAAATAAAATAAATAATTAACCCAGATAGTAGAATCTGGTTGAACTGTCGTATTTTTTCCCGGATTCTTAAATATCTACGGACTACGGATATAAGCATAAAGCATTTGTCATCGATATACCTATATATGTATATACGTATGGATCATACTGATCTAGTTTAATCGGTTATTTCTTATATTCACGGGGTTGTATTTTGGAAACTTTTATTTTTTACATTTACACTATACATTTTTTTTTTCATTTACACTACATTTACACTATATTAATTTGTCCCTTGTATTGTTTGGATACTAGAATCTGAGTTTGTTTTGGTCATAAGACACATTTAATGGAGTTGCGTAAAAGACAACAAATGATTATTGAATCAAATCGAGTAAGACTGTACCTTAAGATTAAAAAGACTTCGAAAGGGAAAGGGATATCGAGGTGATTACAGTGATGATCATGTGGAATCATTATGACATCAATTACAAATATATAATAGCTCTGTATTTATAAATTCAGCAAATGATATAGGCTTATTAGCTGACTATAATTATATGTTAAAACAAACCTAAAAGCAAATGATCAAAGATCGTAGCTAATCCTAAACCCACCACGTATCACCGCCGCCATTTCAGCTTTTCGTGTATGTGTGTTCGATCGATATATTTATAATTCTTAAATCCCTAATTACCTTTAATAATTTTTTTTTATGTGTGTCTGTTTTTCATTTGTATTTTTTTCGCTCTAAATAGTAAATAATACGCAGCGGCATAAGTGATTGAAGAGCAATAATAAAATGGTCAGAAGATTGTTTATACACAGATGTGATGGAGAGCATAAACATATAGCAATTAGTTTTATTTTATATAAAGTTTGTGATGTAACATTTATACTTTATAGACGTGATGAAAAGCACAAATTGGTATTCCTATATGATCTAAGTATATAACGGAGTTGCAGTGCCATGTGATTGGAAGAAAGAACTATAAATTAATTATGATAGAAGTTAGAATTGTGGGTAATTAGTTTTTTTTTTTTGCATATCCGTCCATATCTATATACTTTTAAACGGAATTAACATATGAGTCGTGATATTCCCGGAAAATATTGCTATACACGAATCCTAACCGAATCATCAACATATAATATAACCAGATATGCGAATTAAAATAACAAACAGAAATGAGGAAGAATCGAAAGAGCTCCAAAGAAAGAGCACTAACAACAACATTTAAATTATAATTAAAGTATACATATATAAATACATAGAGAGAGACTGAGAGAGAGATAGTGATAATTAAATAAAACGCTAGTCGTATACTAATTAACTAGGAGAACAAAGCTAAATAGCCTAAATACTAACTATAAATAGGCTAATGACAATACCCACTTTGTGAAAGAAACAATCTGAAATATTTGCAAGTAAACACTTTTTTAGATCTCCGTACGGTTCTATAATACCGTAGCAAAGTTTTATTAGCAGATAAGTTGATTTTTAGGTCATGGGGAAAGGGTTTCAAGTAGTTGTGGTGAGAGATTATGATCCAAACAGAGACTTAAGGAGAGTGGAAGAACTTGAGAAAAGCTGTGAAGTCGGGTCTTTAGTAGTGGATCTCATGGGTGACCCGCTTGCCCGGATCCGACAGTCTCCTTCTTTCCACATGCTCGTACGTTTTACATATATTATTGATTTGCTCTGTTAGTGTTGCAGCTGCTTATTTTCGTTTTTAATTTGGGCAATGCATGAGACAGGTGGCAGAGATCGGTAACGAGATAGTTGGAATGATCAGAGGAACGATCAAGATTGTGACACGTGGCGGAAATGCATTACTTGATCCACGTAGCAAAGATGACGGCGTTTCGCCCGAAATAAGCACCACCAAACTCGCCTTCGTCTCCGGCCTCCGAGTTTCTACGTTTTACAGGTTCGAGTTCTTAGTGTGATCTTGATTAATATCATTATAACAAAAGCAAAGAATTAAGTACACATTTCTTACACTACTGGTTTCTATATTTTCTTAAAAAAATATATATATATGATGCTTACTAGTTAAATTATAATATTTTGATGATACATAACGCCTAACGGAACGGAGGTTAAGAATCTGACAAACAAAAAAAGGAGGTTAAGAATAGTTTATTAACGACATTTAAATATTTTGAGCTAATTAAATAAAAATATTGTAGGAGGATGGGAATTGGACTGAAATTGGTGCACAGACTCGAAGAATGGTTTAGACTAAACGGCGCCGTTTACGCATACGTGCAAACGGAAAACGACAACACAGCTTCGGTCAAACTCTTCACCGAGAAAAGCGGTTACTCTAAATACCGAACACCTGTTTTCCTGGTCAACCCGGTTTTCAACCACCGAGTCACAGTATCTCGCCGAGTCAAAATCGTCAAACTCGATCCCTCCGACGCCGAGTCACTCTACCGCCACCGATTCTCCTCCACCGAGTTTTTCCCTTCAGACATTAACTCAATCCTCACCAACAAACTCTCACTCGGCACTTTCCTCGCTTTGCCACGTGGCAGTGACTACGTTTCCGGATATTCACCTGACCCGACCGGGTCATGGGCAGTTATAAGTATCTGGAACAGCAAAGACGTGTACAGGCTACAAGTTCAAGGAACTTCGCGTCTCAAACGCACATTAGCCAAAACAACGCGCGTTCTCGACGGCGCGTTTCAGTTTCTGAAAATCCCTTCGTTTCCTAACCTTTTCAAACCGTTCGCGATGCATTTTTTGTACGGTATCGGCGGAGAAGGGCCACGCGCGGCGGAGATGGTGGAAGCGCTTTGCTCACACGCTCATAACATAGCTCGAAAAAGCGGTTGCGCCGTCGTGGCTGCTGAGGTGGCGTGCTGTGAGCCACTCAGAGTTGGTATCCCTCATTGGAAGGCGCTCTCGCCGGAGGATTTATGGTGCTTGAAACGCCTCCGAGACAATGACGGTGTCGATTGGACTAAGTCAACCCCTGGATTGTCCGTTTTCGTTGACCCTAGAGAGATATAAAATTTTGTACATATATACTATTGTTATCTTCGAGGAATATAACCACCAACTCGCAAAAACAAAAATTACAAACCCAATACTAAATCTCAGTGTTATACTCGATTGCGATCGCTCTTAGGCTTTTTAGTTTTATCTGTAATTTCATACTGAATAAACTGTAAATAAATTGTATTACAAGCACGAGCTAGTAAAACCTGTATATGTACAATGGTTTTAGTGTTACTTTAATTTGATTATATATCGCTCTATAATCTATGCGTAACGGATTGTTGTTCCAAGGGTAGATTGTATAGGTTCTTGGATTTGTTATCGCTGAAAAGTTAGTGATTTCACGGTGCAAGTCAAGTGTAGAGCAAATTTTAAATTTCTATTTATTTTTCATTAAAATAAATCAGTTAATTCAAGCTGAACAATGATAATATTTGAATAAATCTCCACTTGAATGTAAATTTCTATCTCCCCATAGGAAAGGAAGTCAAAACCAAAGTCTTCGGTTTTTTGTTATCGCTTCTTCTTTTGTTTTTAGAGGGAAAAGGTTTTTATTGGTCAACGAGGAAAAGGCTGATAAATCCAAACTAAATAGATTAATAAACCCAAAATGGAACAAACGTAAGCTTTTGAGAGTATATAATAAATTGGATGACGTAGAACAAAGAAGCTCATGGAAAACTAACCAACTTTTTCTTTATGGTTTTTATGGTCAAATCTGGCCGGCTAAAGCCTTCTTTATTTTCAAATTAAATAATTTCTTGCAAATTGCTAGTATAATTATTAAGAAATTAAGAAGGAACAGGTTCCACTAATATTCAATACATACGAATTTTGCAAGTGTGTAATCTTCAAAAGATTTTATCTACTTTCTTGGTTACCATTTTATCAAAAAAAAAAAAGAAGTAAAGGCATCATTAGAAGTTGGATTTCTCAAAATTGTAACGGTTAACATAACCAAAAAAACTTGGCGTTACAATTAATTACCAAAACAAAACTATTATCTAAACAAACCCAAATTTAATCTAAAGTAAATTAGCTTAAAAGAAAGCACTAAGTAAGAAATTGTTTTAAAAAAACAAGTAGTCAACAGTCAAGACGATGATCTTCTCCGGCGAGTCGACGGCGTGGATTTATCATCAACGGTGGTGGCTGAGCCAGGACTTTCAGATGTATCTGAGCTACTAACATCTCGGACACCGTCTCTGTCTTTACCTGTCCAAAGCTTGGAGAACATCCGAGACATCACAACTCCTTTAGCTTTCGTCTTCTCAGAACTACTCGTCTTGTCCCTCGTCGTCGTCGTCGTCGTCGTCTCCTCCGTAGCCGTGACTGAGTCACACTCTTCTTCCGTCGTCGTCCTCGAGCTCCCGTGGGAGCCGCTCGGTGGTAGAGAAGGTTTCGTGGTCGGACACGCGGCACGAACCTGCTCAAAGAAGAGGATCTGAACAACGACTCGTAAAGGTAACCGCTCGTTTTGCACCGCATGAGCACATGCCTCCGGTGATAATTTCCGGCAATCCATTAATCGGCATATCGATTTCTTCTCGCTCTTTGTTATTCCTGGATGTTGCTGTTAAATGATCATAGATAAATTTAGAATATTTGATAGAGGAAAAGAGAGAAATTCTGAGAGCAGGCATTACCTTTAAGAACATGTCAATGGCACGATAGATTCCATCGTGTGAAGATCTTGGGAAATTCGAAACCTTTTCTGCGATTGTGATGAACTTTGAAGGAGACAAATTGGGTTCCATTCTCGCGATTTCAGCCAAGTATCCGTCGATTAACTTGGCGACGTTTGCTTTCGAGCTGTCTGAAACAAACCCATTTCCTTGGTTGATGTCTGAACAGTCAAGCTCGTCTCTTGTCTGTGTTTGTGTAACAAACTCATCGACTAAAGTCTCAACAATGTCAGTGTCGTAGACCGTTTCACATCCCTCTGGAGCTCTGATCAAAAGATCAGGCACATTTGCTTCCTCAAGCTTCTCTCCTATTCTTCTACTTAACTCTTTCCTCTCTTCTTCTCCACAGTCCAAAGAGACCGATGACTCCAACAGCTTGATCAAGAATCCACAAGAAACACTCTGTTTCTTACAAGGCAGCAACGAAACCAATGTCTCCAACAAAGATCCGTGTTCCTCCACATCACAATCATCATCATCATCATCGTTGGTTTTGATCATGCAGCCGGGGATTCTCTTCGCTGCATAGACCTCGATAGCTTCTCCTATAACCTCAGGCCTAACCCCGACTTTTCTTCTGATAGTCGAAATCACTCTTTTGAATAAATCAATGCTAAGCTCGGCGAGATCCTCCACCCACCAGTCTCTCGGCACGCCATTGTTAGGTGGAAGAAGCTTTCTTCGGTTATACGTGTAAGACCAATCTACTCTTGCTGGATCCATTGCAGCTTTCAAAGCGATTGATTCCAAACACCTTACATCGATTTTCACATCTTCGGACCACGGATAAAAGGATCTTGTCGTCTTGAGAACAATGATGGAGTCTTTCCAGGCTCTCAGAACACTCGAGGTCAAGAAAACCTCAATCTTGTAGACAAGATTCCCACTTTCAATCGATTCATACATCTCGAGATACTCAGCAGCGCAACGCACGGCTACAACATTGTATGCGTTGAGAGTCACAGTCATACCGTAACAGAATTTGGCGCATATCTCGAACGCTGGAGGCCCTCCCGGAATATCCGGAATGCGGATTTCATCGTCTGCTTCTTCATCGATTGTTGCAGCGATCAGTTTCTGAAGACGAGCGCTTTTCGACAGAAGAGGAAACTGTTTTAAAAAACCCAAAAACAAGAATTTGTTTCACTATAAATCAGAAGCTAACATTAAAAATGGTCGGTTTTCAACGAGTTTTTACTATCATTTACCTTGTGAAGATAGAATTTAACATCTCCAACATTTACAACTACATCGGTTGCTAAATCCGATGCTACTACAAACCTGTAAGCAGCCAGAAAAAAAAAACTAAGTTTCATATGAAGATAAAAAGCAATGGAAATACTCGAATCTTGAAGACATTTTTACCTTCTGCGATCTTTATCAGACTGAAACGAATCCGGTTTGGATCCAAGTTTCATAAACTTCATTTCTCCTTAAACACCCAAATAGAGAGGTTCCTGAAGATTGTTAAGCTCTCAAATCGAACCTGCGAAATAGTTGTTGTCACCACATGAGGATTAAGGATTCAACATATGAGATCCTTATTGGATGCAAAAGTATAAACAAGCAGAGTGTTGTTGAAGCATAAGCTGTGAAACTTTATAAATTAAGAATTTTTAGACTTAAACCATAAGAGAAGAAACCTATTTTTGCGGGAAACATGAAAGAGCAAAAACAAAAGAGAGATGCTCCACTTGCTTATAAATCAGGCACGTTGCATATTTCTTTATTATCAATTTCTCTGTTTTTTTTTGTTTTCAATGTTCTGTTTTTGTACCGAATCTTTTCAGGTTCAGAAAGCATCAAAGGAAGAAGAAACAAAAACCCAGAACCCTAGAAAAAAGTGCGAATATCCGATTAAGAAGAATAAAGCAGTTCTTGGTTTGTGTTGAGGAACAAAAGCAGTAAAGAGAAATTAAAAAAACAAACAAAGGAGATAGATGGAGAGTTGCTAAATGAGCAAAAAGTTGTTATATTGGTGAGAAAAATCAATAACCCAAATCCTGTGTCATTTATAGAAAATCAACAAAATTTTTGTTCTTTAGATACCTTGACATGTGGTTAAAGTTTCAAATCTACAGAGTTAAGAATATAAAACATGTAGATATCAGCAGAAGTTTACTCTCAAAGCCAAGAAAGAAAGGAAAAAAAAAAGATTTTTAGGTTTTTATTTCGATTTTTGACCAAATTTACGGAAAATTTTTGATGGCTAACACCAAAAGAAAACTGCAAATTTCAGAAAGAAAAGATTGAATTGTAATCAACATAAACTCATACCTTTGGTGGCAAAAGAAACCTCCTTTAGGATCAATTCGATGAAATTATGGAGAGAAAAACAAAGACAGGGGAAAAAGTGTGGGCTATATTGCAGCTGTTTGCAAACACACAACTCTGTTCCAAGAGAAATCCGACAAAACACAAAACAGCAATCGAACAAAAGAAAAAAAAAACCCTTAAAAGTAAAAAACAGAGAGAATCAAAGAAGATGAGCTGTTTCTTCTTCCTTCTCGCCTTAGTGCAAATCTGAAACCCTCAGAATGTTCTGTCCCCTTTCTCTCTCTCTCTCTCTCCTCCCAATGTCCCACTCTCTGAATCAGCACCACCGCCTCCACCACTCAGCCTTATTTAATTTTGATTAAAGAAAAAGCTGTTTTTGATAATTACCCAGGATTTGTCTCACTGTTTTCAATCGAATTCAGTGATATGTTACTTGCTTTTTCCTTTTCTCTAATGGACAAAACCTCGAATCAATGGTTTAACTTTAAAAGTAGTAGCAAGTAGCAACGATTTAATGTGTGTATTTATATATTCAGTCACGCTAAATCTGACAAGTAAAACTTTAGTCTGCTTCCTTCATCAATATCCACATTTTTTTTCTGGCTCTCTCTCTTCCCTTTTTTTTTCTTCTTTCGCAAAATGAATATTTAAAATATATATTCATTGAGAATATGAATAGGTTTATTCAGTCATTCATGGGTTGATGACAAGAGTGTGATCTGATGGGTTGGCTAATGGAACCAATGTTTTTTTCCGTCAAACTAAACACGAATTATGAGGCTAATAGTTATCTTTTATTTTTTGACAAACTTAATTATCTTTCATTTTTGACCAACAAACAAAAAATAATAATGATTAGTGTTTCTAATAAATTCGCAGGAATATTTTTACTGAAAAATGTATATCAAATTATAAAATGTATAACAATTTTCATTTTTATTTATTACAAAGAGAAATAAACCTATTTGTACTTTTTGATTTCCATAATAAATTGATGACCGATAAAACAAGTGAACTCGTCTTTTGCTCTAGTGGACGAAAGAGGACCGCACGCAACATTCTTAAAATATAAGCTTACTCCCAATATCATATTATATTTTTTTTTTGTCGACAATACATATTACATTTAACATTCTTTTTTTTTTATCAATTTATATCTAACATTCAAGATTATATATATATATATATATCTATACTGCATAAATACGAAGCAGCTACGTTAAGAAAACTATGTATATCAATTCAATGCTATTTATATATCAAACCTGTTTTATTCCTCTGCCTTTTAATTCTTTCTACAGACCTCAACACCGAAATCCAAAAGGATCCAATGTTAATTGAAAAATATGTTATGTAGCGAAATATTATAAAAAGCAATTCTAATATTTTAACTTGGACTTGTACCACGTCACTCTCGGGCGCATCCCCATTAATGTGCTTCATAAACTATTCAAGGAATTATAAAAAAAAAAAAAAATTGTTTACCTTCCTGTTGTGAGGAATTTGAAGGCCATCACCCTAATCTGTAAGGCTACGTAATTAGTTTAAACATGTAAATGTTTTTTTTTTTTTTTTTTTTGGAGAAAGCGTTAAACCTGTCTTATTGACTGTTTTGTTCAGTCATTATGCACAATTTATTACTTTTGATGATGTTATCCGGTAGCTCTTGAAGAATATTTGTTTGTTTGTTAAAATAAAAACTATTTAACATGAAGAACTCCCATTGATTTTCAAAAAAGAAAAAAAAAGCATAATAATTACACTACATTCAATTATAAAAACAGAGCACATAAAATTGATCAGGGTCACATGATTATGGAGAAAGATAAGGCATCCTTAAGAGTTTGGTCGGTTAGGGGGAAAGTTGATGATGATTACTTCCAACGGTTTTGGTCAAATGGACTTTACAGATTGAACATTAGTACTTACATATCGCATGTGCTTCCTGGATTTTTTCAACGTCTTATCTCTCAATTTATACCAAGTCATAGTTTCGTTTCTCAATTTATACCAGTTTAAAATTCAATTGGTCAAATTGTAAACTATCAAGATTTTTCTGTTTCTAATTGGCAATGCTGTTATAGTATATATTATGAACACAATGGGATTATGGGAGTAAAAATCAGTGTCTACTAAGTAAGAGCTTTTCTTTTGTTTGTTTATAGTTATAGAAAAGAGGCCTATAACAGTTTGGAAACCTAAACCGGTCAGAAATGAGTTTCTTAGTTATCAAATAAGTTCTGTAAAACAATATTTTATATGGATACAAAAAACTTTGAAACCAACATTTTTTTCATTATTAATAGTGTTTAATATCGTTATCGGTTTTGTTGTAAAACGCGAATTAATGAATTAAACAAGATTTATAATTTGTAAACAGATATCGGAAAGCACATGGGAGACGCAGATTCTCATAGACAAACAAGATCAAATGCATGCATATTTGCTGATTCACCTCCGTGTGTGGTAACATGTTAGAATCATTACGGTCAAAGCTGTCGTAATTTTCAATTTTACTCCCCTATAACTAATAGCTTTGTTTTTTTTTTTTTCTCGTCATCATGAAAATATCTATACTAATCTCTGGATCAAAATTATTCTCAATCTCATCCTTGACCAAAAAAAAAAATATTATTCTCAGTCATCAGGTCGACTGACAGAGTATCCATCTATCCTTTTCAGTAGCGGGCCATTTAAGAACAAGGCCCAATAAACGATTATATGGGCCTATTAAGCAGGCTGGTTTTTTCTGATATCACAGAATTTATTTCTGAATATCAAGAGGTGGAGGACCCGTTTCGTAAATACGATGACGGTCCACAAAAGTTGGTATTTTTTCCATCTTTTGCCACAATGAGTTTTATATCGTTCCGTTGAATAGGATTCATTGTGGCAAAATTTGGTGTAGGTTGAAATATTTTTATAAGTTTTAATTGGATTTAAAATAGTTAATGGGATTTAATACGTGAGGATATTATATGTTGGAGACCGGAGATACATTCTGAGCAAGTCAGAGAGCGTACCAAATCTTTACTAATGGATACAGACTAATCCGTGTTATGAAACGTTGCAAATCATGTTATAACAGAAAATTATGACAGGTATTAATTGACTATTAGTTAAAGTAGTTAATGTGAAGAACAGATCACTAGGAGCTGTGAGTAACAGAATTCAAGTGGCTTTCCTTTGCTTGCGGAAGTAAATGAAGTATAGATTACGAAAATATATAAAATATATTTGACAAAAAAGATAAAAAAAAGATATGCATTCAGTATTACAGAACGGTCCACTATACATTAACGTGTACGATCCAATCATCCATCTCTGTATTATTATTTTGTCTTTAGGAAAAAATAATGCAATATCCCAATTGTTTCCTCTATCTATAAACAAATCCAACAACAAATAAACATTTCTTTAAAAAATCATAATAAAAATTAATGCAATTGCAATTGCGCCAAGTCCACTCCAATCATTTTCATTACAGACTCAGTCAAGCCGAAGCAACTGGAAAGAAACGACCGTTAATCTTCACCGTCCACTAACCCATTCCTCGCTTGGAAGTTGACTTTTTTATAACCAAGTCAACGTTAAGAAATCAACACCGAGACTTGATCAGCTGGTAGATTTAAGTCAAATCCACGGTGGCCGCCGATCGCGCTTTGTTCCGACGATCTCTCATCGTCCACATCGCTGACGTCACTACCAGCAACGACTTCGACACTGTTGCTGCTGCTGCCGTTACCGTTACCGTTATTACCACCGTCATAGTGACACCTTTTGTGTCCACCTAACGCTTGGCCAGACGAAAACGACTTGAAACAGATTGAGCAAGTATGAGTCTTTCCGCTATGACTAACAGCGTTAGTCGTGTTACCGTCACCGTTAATAACGACGGAACCGCCGTTACTGTTACTGTGACTGTTATTGGACGGCTCTTGGTTACTTGGAACGCTATTCGCCGGTTTCCGATGACTCGTCTTGTGGCCACCTAAGGCTTGGTAAGACGAAAACGACTTTCCACAGACCGTACACTTGTAGCCACGGTGATCGGACAGCGGCGGACGTGACGGCGTAGACGGAGTAGATTGTACGGTGGAGCCACGAGCGAGCATGAGGAGACAAAGAGCGAGATACTCTTCTTCCGAAGGAGTCGTTTCTTGATTGTGATGATTCTGATCAAAACGTTGTCGTTTGGTGCGTTTCCTTTTGGCCCATTGCTCGAGATTCTCCGGCTCCATCTCTTCACGGTACCGGATAAGAGGGCTAGCCGTGGCGGTAGCTGAAGTCGGAGAATTGAGTGTCTCGAGAGCCATATATGTATATATGGTTTTGAATTTTTGAGATGTGATCTTGAGGTATTTAAGAAGAAAGAGTGAAGTGTGTGTGATGTATTGTGAGCACGTCTTGTGTTTGTGTTTGTGTGTGTTTTGGGAGTTGGTTTGATTTATATATATATATATTTTTTGTGAGAAATCTTTAGAATTGGGATTGAGAGTGGGAACGTGGGCTATGAGTGATCAAGTGGTGCTGCTCTTGCTTTCTCCTATCCCTTAAATTCCTTTATTTTTATGTAGTATGTTGTCATTACTTTTGGAATATTATTGGTATTTTTTTTTACCAAGTCAATGCATTGTTTTTAGTTAGAAATTGCCAAACTTGTTGAGAAATTTCTTACAACAGTATGTTTTATTGTAAAATAACGACGATCTATATAAATGCCTTAGTTAAGCACTTTCGAGTTGACCTACCAATCTAATTATGTCATAAGTAGAAACTTTTTATCGATCCTATAACTTTTTCTTGGGTGTTCTAGTTACTTTCTAAAATTTTAGCATGGCCCTAACTTTTTATTTCTTATCCACTTTCATTTCCTTAACTATCCCTCTCAACTATATATGAATCATCCTTTAATTTCTCAACGTAGAAGACCAAGTGTTCACAAATTAGTTGGGAAAGTTTTTGTTTTACGACTTCCAAGTTGGTTCTCACACTTTTCGCGGTGGTCACCCAAACATCATACTCATTTGCTTGAGTTTAATATAGGGAAATAACGACGATTAGGAATATAAAGAGTAAACTATAATCAAAATTAGGAAGACAGTTGTTCTTTAAATGGAGTGCCATATCTTCGGAGTTGTATTTTAGATAAATAAAAGAAGAAGAAGCTTTTGCCACTTTGGGAGTATAATCTTCTTTTCGTTTTTGTGATTATGTGATATGTGGTGGCATTGGGCCATTGCTTATCTGGCATTCTCTCATTGGTTAAAGAAGGCTGGATTCTTCTGGTGGCCCACGTGGCGTAATAGGAATGGCGAAACTTTTCGGTGGATAGTTAAAGTCGGTACGAGACTTAAGGCTCAGGCTACATGACGGTGACAGTTCGTTGCACCACCGTCAACACCGTATCATATACACTATCTAACTGTTTTCTCTTCTATTGGTTTATTAAAAAAAATCTCTCAATTGTTTTTTACTTCTAATTTTTTTTTAACAAATAAATTAGCACACTCGATTTTCACAAGAGGTGAATAGATATTACAAATAATTTTGGGGTTAATGTGTCTCTGTTGGTGTGTGAAACTTGCCCACTAGTCAGTCAGAGTCACCAACTTAAACACAAGAGAAAATGCTGAGTTTAAAAAACAAAGAATACAAAGAAAAAGAAAATAAATAATGCGTTAAATAACAATTGGGCTTCGTTGACGAGGATAAAAAGGAAAGTGGAGTGGGTCTTAGTCTTCGGGTTGTTGCATTATGAAGTGGGTCGTCGTTGCTCATAAGAGTTTTGTCTACTTAGTCAATTCAACTGCCAAAAAACGCTTCAATGAATCTAAAAGCTGTCCTTTTTGCTGAAGAATATTCGGAAATTCTCTATGCCGTTCACCGTGGAAACAAACAGTTTTGAATATCGCAAAGTTAAAAAGTTGCGTCAAGATAAAATATAAGTAGTGATCAATTTGTAATAGACCTATATGAAACTAGAAAGTCCACCAACAAAGACAGATGGACCGAAGGAAGTAATAGTTTTAAAGACCATCATATAAACTAACAGAACACCGAAATCAGAGTGGCGCAGCGGAAGTGTGGTGGGCCCATAACCCACAGGTCCCAGGATCGAAACCTGGCTCTGATATAATTTTTAATTTTTGTTTACATATACCGCGAAAACAAAGCCCATGAACAACGACAGACAAAAGCGCTAAATCTAAATAGTTTAGAGCATCTCGAATGGTTTCTTCATTTTTTCCTTCAAAAAGAATATTCCAAGCAAACTTTATCTCTATTTTTTTATTAATTGCTAACAAGGTCCTATACTTTTCAGTTTTACAAATTTTCACCTATATATTTACATAAAGTAATTATTCGACCAAATTATAAATTTTATATTAATAAAAATTTTATTACATAAAGAAAATAAAATTTTATATATATAAAAAATTTCAAAGTAAGAATTATGCTTTGAAAGAATTTAAAGAAGAAAACAAAATTTTGTTTTAAGACATAAATTCTATACAAGATGTGAATATTCGTACATATGTTCAAGCTGAACAAGCACAGATTTTACAGAAAAGGGCTGAACAACAACAAAATCAGCAAACTTCTTCTTCAGCATCAACTTCATTTGGACAGTATTTTAATCATTTTAATGGACCTGGAAGTGATTTTCCAAATTATTAAGTTGTTAGTTTATGTTATGTTAAGTTTATTATTTATAATTCAGTATTAATTATGCATTTTTAATTTTTATGTTCTTGTATTTTCTAAATAATATATGTTATTGTATATTTTTATTGTGTTTTATTGTATTTTTATTTTATAATTTAATTAAAAAATTTAACAGTTTTAAAATTAATTGGATTAAAAAAATATATAAATTTTGTTTGAGTATAAAACAAAGCATCTGCAAAGTTAAAGATATATTTTGTAAATAAAAAAGTTCACCTTAAAAAAATGAAGATGAAATTGAAGCACCATTGGAGAATATTTTTTCATTTTTATCTTCAAAATAAAGGAAAAAGTGAAAATGAAGGACCATCCATTTTGATTAACCGAATGATAAGAGACCCCAATTAACAACAAACCTACAGATTCTTAAAACTAATAAATTACGAGAAAATATTCCTTCTTCTAGCTTCCATGTAGATCTTCCATTGTCCGACAAACCTCAAGTCAGATCAAATCGGCAATGCTGATAACCTGCGAAAAACAAATGATGAGAATCATAAACTTGCAATTTATTTTGTCTATCGAAATGTTAATGTAAAAACTGATGTATACTTACTAGGGTCAGTTGCAATAAGCATGGCGGTGCCACCGAAAGAGCAAGTGCCTCCGCTTCGCTTAGTCTTCTGCCAGTAACTGTTGAAAGCATAAGAGGCGTGAGCCATGACCGTGTCTGGGTAGAAGCATATCCCTTGTGGCTTGATCTCATCGCAATTAGCTCCTCCTTGCCCGCAAGCAAAATCCAAAGATTGCTGCAATGTCTCCGCCGCTACGCTCGGTTTCGCCACGCACCACAGCCCTTCCACGTCCTTCTTATTCACCGGTGACGGAGACGGCGCCGGAGTACGAATGCACGGCGGAAGTGAGAGCCCTGGACTCGAAAGAGGTGATGGAGATTTCTCCGGCGAATATTGGGGAGGGGAGGAAACTGGGGGTTTAGGGTTTCTAAGTGGAGATCCGATTGAGGAGTGAATCGGTGAGCTTTCCGGTGATGGAGAGGGTAGTGTTGGGAAATTGACTGTGATTTTTCTGCTAAAGTCGATTAAAGATCTCAGATTTCTTCTTGTCGTCGTCGTTGTAGCTTCTTCTGGTTCAGGGTTTAAGATATTCACCTTGTTGAATCTCAGAGATCCGAACTTTTCCACGGAACGAAGCAAATCAAGATGATTATCAGGTGAAGAAAGGAAATTTAGAGGTGGGTTTATGGTGAAAGTGGAGTTTATGGATTTGATAAAGACAAAAATAGGCTTGAACATTTCAAGATATTTAAGGGTTTCCGGTTTGTTAAAGCATTGGTAAGAGAAGCCAGAGGAGACTTTGATGTTCTGCTCAAGACCCCATCTTGTAAGAGAATGGTATAGGTTCTTCAAAGATGACAAAAGCAGATCAAAGCTGGGTTTGTGTTGTGTGGTTTGGCAAGAATCAGGGGGAGAGATAACAATGGTGGTGATTTTGGTGGAAGGGTAGCGAGAGAGAACATGGTTTTTAAGCCAAGTTTCAGCTTCAATGATGCTTGAAGAAATCTCAGTAATGGTTCTGTTGTCACTCACAGAAACAGCTAGATCAAGATCAGCAGTTTGACGAAGTTGAAGGACTCTCTGATGGAGATTCAGAGCTTCAATGGGTGTTGATTCTTGACCAGCTCCTGCATTGAGATTATAGCTATGAGTTGCAAAAGAAAAAACAATCTTTTAGCGATTTATTTGTGGGTTCTTACCTGCAAAACAGAGAAAGGGAATGAGGAAGAAAATGTAAAGAAGATGTCTCATTTTTGCTTTGGCACAGTTTCTTTTCTTTACTTGTGTTTGATTTTTTTCTCAGCATATAAGAAGTTTATAAAAAGATGGTTTTTTTAAAGGGTACAGATGGAGAATCAAAACAATTTTTCTTTCAGGGAGCAAAAGAAAAAGGGGGAAATATTGCTTAGTGACTGTTGTTATTATTGGGTTGGAAATCTGTATTATTTTGATATTTTCAGGATATCTACAAAAATGGCGTCTCACAATGACATGAAAAATAATGCCGTTGAAACGTTGAATTTTTCGGTTTTAAAAAACCATAACGTTGTGACACGTGTCTTTTGTGGGCACATACAAGAAAAAAATTGGTTACATTGTTCATTTGTTTGACTGTTGACTGTTCACTGGATAGATGTGTTTTCTTTTAATCCATATTTTGTTTTGGCTATGTTTTGGGTTCCAAATTTCAGGGGTGAACCAAAACAACGATAAGGTGTAAATCGTTTTGTTCGGTTTTAGTCCGTGTTTGATTATTATTAACTAGTATTTTTTTTCAAGGAGATTTTGTTGGGTTTAAATATTTTGGATATAGACAACAAAAAAAATCTGTTTTATTAGAATATAACATTTTTCAGTTTTCAGATTGATTAATATAATTAGATTTTGGATCGGATCAGTTGATAATCCAGCTTAAACGGATACTTTTTTGGAGTATTATTTGAAGAAAAGAAATGAGGTCCGAACATAAAAGATCATTGGATAAACAAAACGTTATCGGCTTTGGAATCCGTAGAAGAGGGAAATTCACGGAAGGCATAATAATCGTGGGTCCTCGATGACGTGGAAAAAAAGTAGCTCTTGGTAAACATTTTGATGGACTTTATTACTTTAATGGTAGTTCATTCATATATTCGTATTATTCGAAGGCCTCAAGTGGTTCGGTAGAATTGGCACATAATAGGCTTCATTTAGGCCCTTAAATATAGCCTTAACCATGGCCCAAATTAGACCATTTGTTCGTCGGTTCTTTGTTCTAAGATTCACAAGCTGTTTTCATTCCGAGTTAATTAATTTAAGAGGTTGCGATTAAACTGGTATTATTGAGTGAACCCGGTGTGGGATTCTAAAATTGCTTTGAACGTTTTGATTATCCCGTCATAATCATTATGACAACACTAGGAAGGGATTTGTCTAGTAGCTTTGTCATGATTACCACCAATTATTAATATTTAATAAACCAGATGATTAAAATAGAACTAAAAATTAAGCAGATGACAGTGAATTTAAAGCATTGACCCATCCGACCCGTGATCTTCTCGGATCTGTCGGTATCATTAGTTCATTACATGCTTCTAATAGTTTTATCCAACGTTAATTTCTCTTTACTCGATTTAAAAGTATTTTTTTCGTTCTAATTCAGAAGTATAGTTGTTGGTCAAAATATGGTTATTTTACGACATTAGTCATGTAAGTATTTTTGTTTGTTTGAAACTCTAGTATTGAATACATTCACGACTCTTTCTTCTTTAAAAATAACACTTAACTAAAAACTGTAATCATTTCGTAATTCTGGCTTCTCTCAATAGAATTATCAAAGAGTGACAATAATGACAGAAAAATGAGTACAAAAGTGTTGAAGAATATTATTTATCTTGAGCTTTAAGTATATCTATAACACAAGTGCTCAGTAGATTTTATGTTTACGTGGAATATAAGAAAACCTTTTTCCTTTGGCCTTGGAATATTTTTTTGCCAAGAAGAAAATTTGTTTCTTCTTGTTGACAATGTACTTATGTACAAGCCAATTTTTACACAGAGCAGCTAAAAGTTAGAAGTATAGTTAAAACAACTTAAAATACCATTAAATTTTAGGATACCCTCGCCGTGTCCAACACTAGTCATAACTTTCATGCATTGTTTGTTAGTGAAATTTGAAAAAGAGCACATATGTAAATCAGTAAATGCCAAGTGGAAGAAAAGGGGCATCCCGCAAATGAAAATGAAAATGAAAATTGAAAAAAGGTATAAAGATGAAAGATAATGAGAAAGTTACTTGTTAAAAAAAAAAAAAGAGGAAAAGCAAAAAATAAAGGAAAACGCTAGAGAGCGTGTGCTTGATTAGGGCTGGGCAAAATATTAGTTATATTTGCTTTAATCCGTTATTCGTCTCGATTCGATCCGAAAAATCTGGATATCCGTAATTTTATGGAGCAAAGCAAATACTAAAATATAATATCTGTTAAAAACGAAACAAATCACAAATATTAAAAAAAATTAAGACGGATATCCGCTCCGCTCCAGTATAAATATATATGTATATATAAATATATAATAAATCATATAAAATGTATAATTATTATATATAAATATAATTTTTGTAAGTTTTTGTTTATAAATTTGATTATTATAAATATTAAAACTTAAAAAGTTAAGAAAAAATATTTTTTTAAAAGAAAATATTGTTATTTTTAACTAAATTTTGAATTTTTAATATTTATTTTATATATATTATTATTTAAATATTTTTGTGAAGCGGATCGGATATCTGGCAAATATTCAGATTTTTGGCGGATATCCGGAAAACGGATATCTGAATAATTACGGAACGAATACGGATCGAAAACATGATTATCTGGATGGAGCGGAACGGATCACGAATATCCCTAAAATCCAGGATATCCACTCCGTGCTCACCCCTATGCTTACCCCTTTGTCTATACTTGTCAATTACCATTAATAAACATAAACAATAGCCTGAGAGTCGGTGGATCTATAAACCATTTATTTTCTTTTACCCAAAACACAAAAGAAACGAAAATTTGAAAGAATAAAAGCAAAAACAAAAAAAACAAAAGGAAAGATAAAAGATAGGGATGTAACGTTGAGCCCGTTGTGTCACTTTATTCCAAAATTATGTGATTGGGTCTTCTTTCTTCTTTTTATTCACATCTTTTTTTTTATATTTATTCTAAATATAATAGACTCGTCATAAACTTGATTTATACACGTATAACCCATTTCATGTAAAAAAAAGCCCCCTGTCTGTGAAATTCGTTGCAAGACGAGGCAAGTAAAGTTTGTTTAGTTTTTTCAAGCTGCATTTTTGAATTCTCAAACAAAACAAATAAACAATACATTGGATGTATTGTTTCTTATATTCATAGGAAAAAAATTGATAGTATATTATTTCAGACAAAGCTAAAATTACTATTTACCAATAACTTAACAATTCATCTTAAAATCGAAACAGATATTTGTGGTAATCGAAAGTCTTATGAAAATTGGAATTGTTGGCCCTTATAATGGCCTACGGTGGAGTGGACCACAGAGGATTGGCTTTCCGGCTATAAAATCAGTCGAATTTTAGTTATTGTTGTTTGTTCTTAAACAGGAATTTTTTTAACCTGGCGTCTGAAGCTGGAGTTATTATTTGTTTCTAATTGTAATTGTAGTATTTAATAATGAGAATAAAATCAATATGGGAAATGAAGAAATAAAATCGAAAAGTCGATTATGGAATGGTATGTACGTGTCTTTTTCCTCCGTCTTGGTATCAACGAATCAAAGTCGGAAAATTCTACGTTGGACAGAAAAGGACAGTCACATTCTCCGTTAAAATTTACTAATACAGAGATTTAGGGACATTTTCGTCTTTAAGCAGCGAAGCCGAAATTAGATGAGGATTCCAAATTAAAATATTTTTTTGTGTGGAATTACAAAATGAAATGAAATGTAAAGCAACATGAGTACATGACCATGAGAGTCCATCCATAGTTTAATTAGGGTTGAATTTTTATTACAATTTAGTAGTCAAAATCCCCGAAGCTTTGATGTGAAATGTGAGGCTGTCTCTACTCTTCATTTTATTGTCGTCGACCTCCTCCAAATTGTTCACACTGCAACTAGTAAATAAATAGTAATATTACATATTTATATATTTATTTGTTTTTAACATATGTTTGTCGCACACAAATAATGCAACTAGGTTTTAAAGAATATGTATGGATAATTAAATTACTCTAATACAGTTACTGATTAACGGATAATTAAAGGAGGTAAAAGTAGCTTAAACGATCCCGGAATGCTGACGTCAGCAGCTTAAATCTCAGATCTTGAAACGAAACGAACTTTCGCTTCCTCTCCTCTGCTCTCACAACTTTCACTTTTTCACCTTTTTTCTTCTTTTTCAAAAACTATTTCTTATTTTTTTCTTTCCATTGAAGATACGATCTGAAGAAGAAGGAAAACATAAAAAAAAGTATCTTGAGAGACCTCAAAACAAAAAAAAAGGCAGGAAAAAGGTAGAAGATGAATATAGAGAGAGAGGAGAATTGTAAAACGGTTAATCAGAATTCGCCATGAGAGCTCCTCAATCGATATTCTTCTTCTTCCTTGTCTACTCGATCTTTGTATCCCTATTTTCATCCTCTGTTATCCTTGCTGGAAGCAATGGCGTGAAGCTAACTCGACTTGGTAGTGAGATTCATCGAAGAATTCTTCATCAGCCGCTTTTCCCCGAGACTACTCCTCCACCGGATTTCGAATCGACACCGTCTCCTCCTATACCTCTGGACACTCCCGATCAGCCATTTTTCCCAGAGAATCCGTCTACGCCTGACCAGAGTCAGTATCCTCCTCCTCCGCCTCCTGCTTCCGCTGCTGTCAATGGCGGGTTACCGATTCCGACGGCTACAACTCAGCCGGCGAAACCTGGGAAGAAAGTTGCGATCGTCATATCTGTTGGAATTGTCACGCTAGGTATGCTTTCAGCTCTAGCTTTCTTCTTGTACCGGCATAAAGTAAAGCACGCGAGCGATACTCAGAAACTCGTTAGTGGAGGAGGCGATGGCGGTTCCCGAAGATTCCAAGAAGATCCAAGACCACCGACTACATCCTCTACATTTCTCTACATGGGAACCGTTGAACCCAGCCGTGAATCGGCGAGCGATTCTCATGGCGGAAGTTGCGCACATGTTAATTCATCTCCGTACCGGAAATTGAATTCGGCTAAGAGATCGGATCGCTATCGGCCGAGTCCAGAGCTTCAACCACTTCCACCGTTAGCTAAGCCGCAACCGTCTGAGAACTCT